TTTTAAACTACAACACAGCTGGGAATTAACAATTCACATCAGCTGGCATTACAGTGTTTCTAATTCTTGGGTACAGTCAACTATACCTAAACAGAAAATTTTGTTTGCCTATTATTCACAGATCATGGATCATTTCAGAATTTGCAGCGATTCCCTCTGAAATATGATGACATCCTCAAGGGCTATTGAACCTAAATATTGGGAGATGTGAGTTTTCCACAGATGAATAACTTTAGGGGGATGTAAGTGTAGTGACACGGGTAAGATGGGTCACTCTGTCAGGTGGTTGACAGGCATTTACTGTGGAGAATGGACCTCCATCTCTCAGAGTGCAGCTTGTCAGAGAGCCTGCCTATCAGTCATCAACCAGTGTGCCTCAGTCCTCCAAAGAGGTCCCATACTGCAACACTCAAACAATCCATCCCCAATTAACCACACTGGGGTGTCATACATTTGAAACCCCACCTCTTTAAGGAATACCTGGGATAGGATAAACTAATCCTTCTACCCCGTTGTTTAGTCACTTGACTAAACAACTCCTAAAAAAAACTGACAGCTATATGCATAGGTAATCTACTTAGTCACTCAAAGTGTTAGGCTGGATTCCTGGCACATCTTGCAGCTTTATAGCACTTGTTTATATGAACACTCCATGTGCATGTGAGGTAGAGAAGAGAAACTAGCAGAGGCTCCAAATCATAAAGAGCTCATCAGCACCATCTACTGGTCATTTGTAATACAGCAAGTAAATAATCTGAGTCCTTGACAGAAATATTGAGTACTAATAGCCTATCAGAAATATTGAGTACTGATAGCCTAACATTCTAACAGACATAGAAGCTCAGATAAATATGACTAAGAGTAAGATATTATGTTACCTATCATTTATGATTCATAAATATTTATACATTTCTAGACTCACAAACCTTTGCTATGCTTATGCTGCATTCTTCATTGGAGATATGCATTGAAAAGACTTCCATTTGTCTTTCATTTGTCCAAAACCGTCAAGGCAGCAATGTGTGAGTGAAATTATTAGAGCTGCTAAGTGCTGAGCCCTGGCCTTCCTGCATGTTTAATGAAGTATAACCCCCCCTGGTCACTCTAGTGTGGGAGGTTGCATATGAAACTGAAATGACAACGCACCAGGAAAAGTCACAGATAGTAATATATTTGCTGATACGTAAGCGCTGTTAAAATGACAAATGCATATAAAAGAGGGCAGCAAGGCAGTTCTCGTACTGTAAATAGCTACTGTATATTGAAGACCCCAAACTAAAACCTGCTGATACTCACACTCACTGGCACAGGCACTGGCGCACACAAACAGTACGTACATAGGGCCTACTGTAAACTCACTTGCAACAAGCTTATACAAATGGTCTTCTGATGGTATCACTTTGGGCCTTATTAGCAGCAGTGGGCGCCCACAGCCAGACAGCTGGTCTATTTCCCTGTGATTAATGATTTAAGAAAGCCTTACAGTCACACAGCTGCCTGTAGAAATGTGAGGGAAAGTCGAGTGGATAATAAGAACTGACCATGAAGCAGCCAGCTTCCACAGTGACAAAGGAATTTCGGGCCTATTGACCATAGTCACGGTCCAGAATTTGAAAGGTTCTCTAAACTACCTACAAGAGTTAAACATGTTAGTGTGATGTGCATTGGTCATTGTCTTGAATTACAAAAAAACTAAATGTACAAGAATTCCTTCACAAAGGTATTAGCTCACAATCCTCTCATGTAATCTGATTACAAAAAAACTGTAACTGTAATCAGTTACGTTACCAGCACAAATATTGTAATCCGATTACAGATACTTTTGAAAACCTAGATGATTACTTATTGGATTACTTTTAAATTCAGAAAGGATGTTTGCAACAACAACAAAAAACGTTATGACGCCTTTCTGTTTTCTTGATGGCATTCAATTCAGCATTGACAAAATATGCAAGTTTAAGTTTGTTCCACCTGAGCAAGTCAGACCACAAGTCAGAGACCACTATTATGACAAACCAAATGATGACCACCAATCACAGACCACTATGATGACACACCAAATGTCTTTGATGGATCCTTTTTGTCTTCTTCTAATGCCTCTTAATGGAGAAAGTATTCAAAAATATTATGTTACTGAGTTTGGTTAATCCAAAAATTACGTTATTGATTGCTATTTTGGACAGGCAACTAGTAACTGTAACGGATTACATTTATAAAGTAACCTACCCAACCCTGATAGCGCCATTGTGCTTCCATTGAGGAATATATCAAGACTGGAAATAATGGGCTTTTCATCAGAGAGGGAAATAGCTAAACTTGGCAGATGTCAAGCAAGTCTGTCAGTGTGGATATAATCAAATCAAATCAAATTTCATTGGTCACATACACAAATTTAGCAGATGTTATTGCGGGTGTAGCGAAATGCTTGTGTTCCTAGTAATCCTTCTACCACCCCCCCCCCCCCCCCCAAAAAAAAAATTGTAAAGTGGTTATCCCACTGGCTATAGGGTGAATGCACCAATTTGTGAGTCGCTCTGGATAAGAGCGTCTGCTAAATGACGTAAATGTGCCCTTGAGCAAGGCACTTAACCCTAATTGCTCCTGTAAGTCGCTCTGGATAAGAGCGTCTGCTAAATGACTAAAATGTAAAAAATGTAAATGTAATTTCCCCAGAACCTCCGGGTACTGTGTCAAGGTATTCCTGTCTACCATACATTTCAGATGTTTCATATCAGCACAATTTAATACCTGATGCGATTGCTTTCAATAGACATGCTTGAAGGCAGCATCACCACTGACAGGAGTGCAATTTAATTAGCAGAATATATGTAGTAAAAGTAACTTCCTGCTCAATGTTAATGATTGCCAGTAAGCATAAGAAACCTTAAATGTATCTATCATTGTCTGTGTATTCAGTCCTGGCATTGCCTAATGCCTACTGTGGCTGACCATGGGGCTGGGCTGATGACACACTACAAGAGAGACAGACAGGTACAGACTGGCAGAATGAAATGTGTCTAGCCTTGTGTTATGCCGGCCTCATGAACCTCTGCTTCCAAAAGTAAAATACTTGGGAGAAACACAATGCTCAGTGAACTTCCTTGATAATTAAATCCTTTATACAGGGCTATGCGCCATCCCACTGGGCACACACTGGTTGAATCAACATTGTTTCCACGTCATTTCAATGAAATCTACGTGGAACTGAGGTGAAATAGATGTTGAATTCACATCTGTGCCCAGTTGTTTAGAAAGCAGATTACACATAGTGCTTAAAATTCTAACCGACCATGATGTCTCTGAAGCTGGAGACTCTTATCTCCCTCACTAACTTTAAGCATCAGTTGTCAGAGCACCTTACCGATCACTGCACATGTACACAGCCCATCTGAAATTAGCCCACCCAACTACCTCATCCCTATATTGTTATTTATTTTGCTATTTTGCACCCCAGTATCTCTATTTGCACATAATCTCTTGCACATCTAGCATTCCAGTGTTAATACTAATTGTAATTATTTTGCACTATAGCCTATTTATTGCCTTACCTCCATAACTTGCTACATTTGCACACACTGTATATATATTTTCTGTTGTATTTTATGACCTTATGTTTTTTTTTTTACCCCATATGTAACTCTGTGTTGTTGTTTTTATCGCACTGCTTTGCTTAATCTTGGCCAGGTCGCAGTTGTAAATGAGAACTTGTTCTCAACTGGCTTACCTGGTTAAATAAAGGTGAAAAAAATCAAATAAAATGTAATCTAATGAACCTTGACAAACACAAGAAAGTACATAAAACCAATAGACACATTGACAAGAGAAAGATTGATTAAAGTTTCAGCCCCTGGTGGAGGGCTTTGAGGTACAGCCACTGAATAAGTCACAAACTGTATGATGTGGGTGGTAGAGAAAGAAACCTGAGCACCGGTAGCCATTTACCGGAGGCATGAGGATCTGACTCAACATGACCACATGAGCAATGTGATCAACAGTGTCAACAAGCATACTGCGTCACTTGACAAAATGTTAAGACACAGTTCCAGGAACTTCTTTCAGCAACATAGTCTGGCCCTCCTCTCAGTTCATCATGACTATTGTGAAATCTCAGAGCAGAACGTTCTGTACACTGCACTGAACTGTAAATCAAATAGTGTTAATGTTTTGAAATCACTGAATGTGAATACTGAAATTCAGGACAATCGTAAAATAGCCCACTGAATCAAGTTGAATCCCTAAGAACTCACAACAATAGGCTACATGAAACCGATATTCTCTTTTACTTTTATCAGAGATGTGTCAGTGAGCCTCCTAAATCTAAACATACTGCCTGGAGGCACCAGACCCCCAGTCAATCAATGTACTGCACTGGCAAATGAGCACATTGTCTGGGTCGACATCCTGTGCACTTTGGCTCTCTGATAATCGGGCCAGTGAGACTTATACTACCCATGGCTTTACAGAAACTGAATGACAAGGGGTTTAACCATGGGAGACCACCACAGATGGGTTACCATCTGCCTGTAGAGGAGGAGCCTCTCTATATTACTTGAATTGATGTCAATGAGATGGTAAAAAATAAAATGAATAAGCCGCTATACAATTTTTTAAAATCCAGATATTGCAACTAATAATTATATAAAAACACATACTCACATTTACAATAGCTCAGACACAAATAAATAGAATAGAAAAAACAAAATAAATATTGTATTTTTTTTTCAGACACTATTAGGAATTAGATAAAAGGCTTTATAACAATTCAAAGAGAGAGTGTGCAGTTTATGAATTCAGTCCAGGAATACAACACATAAATGCATAATGCATTTATTTCCCCCAGTAAACTGACGTTACATATTTATTTTCTTTAGGGATTTAAAAAAATAATATGTGGGGGAGTATTTGATGCGGTTTTACGTGAGATACAAAGGCTGGCAGCCCAGCAAATAAAGTCCCATCAACGCATGACGTAGATTACAGTCAGCATTCTTCTCACCGGTGCGAGGTTTGGCCCTGGAACGCACTGCTTTTTTTATTTAAGTATTTCCATTTAATCACGACCAAACAGGGTCCCCTCCTTCTATATTTTTATTTCTCATATTTGGAAACCACACAACCTACAAAACTGACGTTCCTTCGGTGAAGGTATGATCGTTAAATCTTGTCAGCATTTAACTTTAGGTTTGGCTAGCTAGCCGGTTAACGTTAACCGTTCTAAAATGGCTTCCGAATGTTAGCCTAGCTAGCTAGCCACTAGCGTTCCATGCAATGTGGCGTTTCGTGCGTATGCTAACTGGTTAGCAGGCTATAAGCTAACTAGCATTTTAACTACAATTTATCTCGACACATTAGCAGAAAATGGCGTCCTGCCATTGGGAATATACAACTAATATTAAGCACTTGCCACACAGAACCGGCATATTGTTATTTTCATTTAAAAGAACGATAGCTGCTAGCTAATAAGCTTAGTAAATGTTGATATCGTATCACAAGACAGCTGACAATAATAATGTTGAAGGTGATATGACTGCTTGCTAACTAGCTAGCCAGCTAACGTAGCTAACTAATCCACCACATCCAACAGGTATTGAGGAAATGATGAGCTAGCTACCGGTAGCTTTAATTAGCTAACTAGTTAACGTTAGTTATTATTAATAAACTGATACCACGTTTGATCAAAACAGCCATGGGATGGCTAAGTTAACCATGCCATTGATTCGGAATCTCAGCATTACAATGTACTTGTCAATTGTGTCTAGCTAGGCAAGTTAGCTAAATGAGTCAGATATAGCTAGCTAGCCTAACGTTAGCTACTAGCCATTTACAACAAAGGATGTGTAGCTTCGAGTGAAACTAGCTAACGTTAGCTAGCTTTGTGCTGTATTCTAGCTCTATGCTGTAGCAGGAAGTGTATGCCATGCGTCAATGTATTCTTAATTTACTTTGTACTGTAAAAAGGCTTTTCTTTCTTCAGGTCGCTTTTGCCTACCCCCACCCTTTGAATATTATTATTTTCGTGATTCATTGTTGTCAAGCCGCCAAAGTGGAGAGTGTGATTGCAGAAGGGGGTGCTTCTCGTTTCAGGTAAGATTGTAATTTGTTTCAGTCTAAATGCAACTTGTGTCTCATGGGTCGTCGTTTTACTTCCTACTGATATCCTTGACATAGTGTAGAATAGATTATAGCTTTAATAGTCCTAGCTATGTCCTTTTGTTCACATTATTCTTCGAGTAAATAATATTTGTTCCACAGTGCTTCTTCGGGTGGGGGAGGAGGTAGGGGTGCCTCTCAACACCATCCCAAGACTGTCGGCAACAGGTACTATTCAAGCCATTTTACCACAACTTAATGTTACTCAAAACATTCTTACTTCAGATGTCACTAATGCTGTTGTTAATTGCAGCGAGTTCCTGGGGAAAGCCCCAGGATCTAGCGTTCAGAGATGGGTTCCTTCACGAAGCACTAGACGAGATGCCAATGCCTCCAATGAAAAAGAACGACATGATGCAATCTTCAGGAAAGTGAGAGGGTATGTATCCCTTAATAAATTGTGGCAAAATACATTCGATACAAAGACAAATGTAATCTTGTAAGCTGGTTGCACCACATAGAAGGAAAAAAAAGCTATCCGATATCATTGGTTCATTTGCAAGTCTGCTGATTTCAGTGAATATGTGTTACAGTGGTGCTATTTTCTAACACAAGATAATGCCTTGTGTCTTCAAAATGAAGTATTTTTCATCTTATGTTTCCTATTCTTTCCATCCTCAGCATACTTAATAAACTGACCCCCGAGAAGTTTGACAAGCTATGCCTTGAGCTCCTGAATGTGGGCGTAGATTCAAAACTCGTCCTAAAAGGAGTAATCTTGCTGGTAATTTAAACATCTATTTCTCAGCTCTGTGTGCATTCATGTTTATTATTGATCGAGTGGAAAATGGCTATATTGTTCAGTGTACATCACCCCTTTTTCAAACAGATTGTTGACAAAGCCCTTGAAGAGCCCAAGTATAGTTCGCTTTATGCACAGCTATGTCTGCGCTTGGCAGAGGACGCACCGAACTTTGACGGCCCATCGCCAGAGATCCAAACGTCACAAAAACAAAGCACCGTAAGCGTCTTTGTCATCCTCATCAAAGATTGATTACTACCATTATAGACAATGGTATCACAGGGTTAAACAACAATGTGATTAATCTCGTTTTGGTGTTTTTCCCCCCATCTAATCTTTTCATTTGGCAACAATGTGTGTTTTGCAGACATTCAGGAGACTTTTGATTTCTAAGCTTCAAGATGAATTTGAGAACCGTGCCAGAAATGTTGAAAGTGAGTAAACATTTGAAAAATGTGCCTATGTTCTGTGCCCTGTGTGGTTGACTGTGTTAACCGTTGCTCTTTTCTATTCCCTCAGTCTATGACAAACATGACAACCCTCTTACCTCTGAGGAAGAGGAGCAGCATGCCATTGCCAAGTTTAAGATGCTGGGCAATATCAAATTCATTGGGGAACTTGGCAAACTCGATCTTATCCATGAATCTATCCTTCATAAGTGCATCAAAACAGTAAGTCTAATACATTAGCACTGTTTTCATATAGTTAAACCATATGAAATGCATGTTAACTAATCTTGCGTCTTTTATTTCAGCTTTTGGAAAAGAAGAAGAGAGTCCAACTTAAGGATATGGGGGAAGATTTGGAGTGCCTCTGTCAGATAATGAGAACAGTGGGGCCTAGACTCGATCATGAAAAGGCTAGGGTAAGCATATACTCTTGAGTCATTTTATCTAGTATCTTAATATTATTTTCCATTTGGGCATGACTAATTGGTTTCTCTTGCAGTCTTTAATGGATCAGTACTTTGGCCGTATGAAATCCTTAATGAACAACAAGGACTTGCCGGCAAGGATTCGTTTCCTAGTGCAGGATTCCGTGGAGTTGCGAGAGAACAATTGGGTGGCTCGCAAAGCTTTTATCGATAATGGACCAAAGACGATGAACCAGATTCGTCAGGAAGCAGTAAAAGTTAGTTAACCATTCTTTGTGTTAAGTGCAGACAAATCTTATGAATCTGTAATGCCACGGCGTGTCTTAATACATGTCTGCTTTGTGTCTTGCAGGATTTGGGTGTTTTTATTCCACCAATGGCCCAGGGAATGAGGACTGACTTCTTTTTGGAGGGGCCCTTCATGCCTAGGATGAAACTTGACAGGGAAACTCTTGGAGGGTTGGCGGATATGTTTGGACAGATGCCAGGTACATCCATGACATGCTCTTGAGTAGTTTGAGCTTATTGCTGTCTCTCGAGTCCTGTTGTCCAACATTTAACGTGTGTCCTGGCTACTAGGGAGTGGAATCGGCACAGGCCCTGGAGTGATTCAGGACCGGTATTCGCCCACCATGGGCCGTCACCGCACCAACCCACTCTTCAACGGCCACAGTGGGCACACAGCCCCTGCTACCCAGTCTCAGTTCGAGATGGGAGGCAAGCCCTTCATCAAATCTAACCAGGTGAAAGTTGTACCCTTTACTAAAAGCAGTCATTTTTTAGTGTTCTTGAACTGCTCAAATCTTGATGGATATGGCATTGCATCCAAAGTAATTTCAAACATTTCTCAGGGGCAGAATCCAATTTTCCAGAACCAGAATCACTCACAGCAACATCAGGCTCAGTCTAAGGACATGGCACCGCGTTTCATCAAGAAAGGATCGCTCAACGCTGATGAGGTACAACACCTGGTAGATACCCACTCTTTTAAACCACCGTTTGCACAGGCAACAAGCCTAAATACTTTAATGCAAGAGATGAGAACGATGCATAATACCCTCTATTCCCCCTCTTAGATCAGTCTAAGGCCAGCACAGTCATTCCTTCTCAACACAAACCAAGTGCCAAAGTTGCAGCCGCAGATACCAACAATGATTCCTCCAAGTGCTCAACCTCCACGCACTCAAACGCCACCACTGGGACAGGTAAAGAAAAACATGCATACCGCTTTTATAGCATTCAGCTGGGGTTTATGCTTATCTAAAGTCTGTGCCCACTCTAAACGGTCCTATCATTTCTCAGCCTCCTCTACTTGGTCTGAAAACCAACCCTCCTCCAATTCAGGAAAAACCTCCAAAGACCACCAAGAAACCGCCTCCTGCAAAGGAAGAGTTGCTTAAGATGACCGTATGTTCCACTTCACTATCTCAGCCACTCTCTCAAGTTATACTTTTTGCCCCACAGAGGAAATTTGAAAGCTAACAGTCTTTGTCCATATTATATCTTATCAGGAGACCATAGTGACTGATTACCTGAACAGCAAAAACATTGATGAAGCTGTGAAAGGTGTAAGAGAGATGAAGGCTCCCAAACACTTCCTGCCTGAGATGTTGAGCAAGATCGTGATCTGTTCTCTTGACTGCCCAGACGAAGACAAGGAGCACGCCAGCACCTTGATCCACACACTCCGCACCGAGGGCCTTGTTACTGGGGAGAGCTTCATGCAGGTCAGTCTTCCAGTCATGGCAAAGGAAGAGCTTTTGTTGTAAGATATCAAAGGGTGTACTGTTGAGTGAATTTACTCACCACATGCCTCTTTTTTTTTTTTTTTTTTTTAAACAGGCTTTCCTCAGTGTTCTGGACCAGTGTCCCAAGATCGAAGTGGACGTTCCTCTTGTGAAGTCCTACCTGGCCCAGTTTGCGGCGCGAGCCATCATCGCAGAGCTGGTGAGCATGGATGAGCTGGCCCACCCTCTGGAGAACGGCACCCACTTCCCCCTCTTCCTGCTTTGTCTGCAACAGACTGCCAAGCTGAAGGACCGCGAGTGGCTCACTGATCTATTCCAGCAAAGCAAGGTCAACATGCAGAAGATGCTGCCTGGTATGTCAACATCTCCTCAAACCTTAGCCTAGAAAGCTCTCATGTTTTCACATTTGAACATGATTGTTGTGATTTTTACATTTGCCAAAACTCACATCTGCAGAAATCGACCAAAACAAGGATCGCATGCTGGAAATCTTGGAGGGCAAAGGCCTGAGCTTCTTATTCCCTCTCATGAAGCTGGAAAAGGAACTGCTGAAGCAGATCAAAGCAGACCCTTCTCCCCAGTCCATCTACAAGTGGATCAAGGACAATATCTCCCCCAAGCTCCACACTGACAAGGGCTTCGTCAACATCCTCATGACCAGGTATGGGGAAAGGGCCAATGCCCACATTGCGGAGTGGGTATGCATCTTGAGATGACTTATGTTAAGACTTGGTCTAAATCCCCCCCCCCCCCCCACCCAGTTTCTTGCAGTACATTGCCCAAGAGATAAATGCCAGTGAGGAAGAAGACCAGTTATCAGCCCCCACTAAAGAACAGCTGGACCAGGAGAAGCTGCTGCTGCTGGCCTTCAAGCCAGTGATGCAGAAGTTCCTGCATGATCACCAGGACCTGCAAGTCAGTGCCCTCTATGCACTGCAGGTCCACTGCAACGCTAACGCTTTCCCTAAAGGTACGTACGGGTCACAGGCCCAAATTATTACTTGGATCAATTTGAATGCAAACACATTTACCTCGAAGGGTCTTGTTTTTGTTCAAAACATGTTTTTAAATATAGATTATTTCTCTCTAGGCATGTTACTGCGCTATTTTGTCCACTTCTACGATATGGAAATCATTGAAGAAGAAGCCTTCCTTGCATGGAAAGAAGACATAACTCAAGAGTTTCCTGGAAAGGGAAAAGCATTATTCCAGGTAAATAGATTTATACTCCCAGATAATGTGTATTGCAACTCACACCATTGCAGGTGCATACCAAACTGGCTTTTTTTATTAGGCTATAAATGTATTACCCATGTCTGTGGTGCATCTCTGTTTGGGCTCATGGTATGTTCTCTCTCCCTGTGAAGGTGAACCAGTGGCTGACCTGGCTGGAGACTGCTGAGGAAGAGGAGTCTGAGGAGGAAGCTGACTGAAGAACCAGCCAAAAGCCTTATGGTGCAAAAACGCTATTGATATAATACTGCTTTTTTTGTTTCCTTCCCCATCTCCCCTATCCCATTATGATATGCATACCTAACCACTGCAACATTTCATTCCGCTATCAAGTTTTTGGCCATGTTAAGCCAATGCATGTTACGTTTTTTTCCCCCTTTTTGGCTCTTTTCTAGCGCTTAAGCGTATAATGGTTTGCCATCTGTTTTAAGAGCCCCTTTTTAAGATCAATGGTATTAGCAGCTTTGAATCTAGACCTTGGTTTTTCTTCAAGACAATTGAATTGCAAGGGCCTTGTTCCTGCTGCTGAATTCTATGCTCTTTTTTTTTTTTTACCAATTAGCAACACTGTAGAGATGCACTTTGCTCAACGTCATACGTGAGTCGTTGCAATATTCACTCATCTCTTGATTGTTATAAAGAATCCTCAACTGTAATCATTGGTTACCATAACATTAATGGTTTATATTTGCTTGTGTTTCTACCTCCTCATTATGGGCTTCATGTGCTGGGTTTGAATTACTTCATGTCCCCAATTCAAATAAACGCTTAGTCTGGACTAATGCATAAGTCTGTAATAAAAACAACTTTTACTTGCACAATAATATCCTGATTGTAAGAATTCAAATTCAGCCCTTTTTTAAGTGCTTTTTGTGGATGTGTGGCACATCACCTGGGAGAGATGAAATTATGCGGCCTTGTTAATTTATCAACCCTCTTTGCTGTGTACCTCCCTCTGTATCTGTCAAACATTGTGATACTTGAATTCCTAATTTCTTTACAGGGAACTACCAAACAATGGGTGAGTTGGTTTTGCATGGCTCGGTGCCCCGGGTGGGTGGGGATTTCACTTAGGACCAATGGAATGGTCTAAAATTTGTTAACTAGCCCACCGGGGGCCTCGGCCCATGCAAAACGAACTTACACATGGTCTGTTCTCATGCAACAATTTTCAAACTACGCAGAAGTGCAACATGAGTTTTTAACATGTTTTAATTGGTGAATAATAATTTGGTTTTATTACACTTTAACTCTGCCCCCCTCATGTGAAAATTTGAAGCCTGTTTGCCATAATGTCTGATCTAGATATTTATTGATAGTTTTTATGGAAAAAACATTATTCTCAACTTATTATGATCTGATGAAATCATGAGGTATAACTCTGTACAGTACAACTTTCTATAAGTGTTACAGAACCTTACAGTAAGTGTTAAGAATGTTCTTGTGTACCACTATTGCTTAACTTTCAAATAAAGTTAAACACTTGAGTTCACATAGACTTGTCCTGTGTAATATTTCATCAAGATTCAGGTATGTGTGAGCCCAAGAGGAGCAACAGTCCATTGAATATGTTTCACAACATGCTGTAACTACTGCATTAGTGCATGGTTGCTATGTATAACTCCCCAGTGGCCAAGGCAAGCTCTCAAACACTTCCTCTGTTTCTTGGCAGGCCTCAGAGGAATGCCCAACAATTACAGATATTCCTGTTATCATGGACGTGAACTTTGTTTAGATTTTTGTTTATAATAATAATATGCCATTTAGCAGACGCTTTTATCCAAAGCGACTTAGTCATGTGTGCATACATTTTTACGTATGTTTAAGGAATTCTTGCCTTAATATAGCATTGTCACACCATTATTTATCAGGCCATTCCAATACTGAAAGGTTTTATTGCAATGGACTGATCCTTTTAGAGAACACGTGATATGCATTTTGTAAGAAATTATGGTTAGAGATAAACTTGCTTATTGAAGTAGGTTGCAAAGGATGGATGTGAAGCAGCATTATGAAGTGGGTGGTTTGAGCCCTGAATGCTGACAGCTGTGGTATATCAGATTGTATACCATGGGTATGACAAAACATATTTTTTCTGCTCTAATTACGTTGTTATCCAGTTTATAATTGCAAAAAGGCACCTCGGGGGTTTGTGGTATATGGCCAATATACCACAGCTAAGGGCTGTGTCCAGGCATTCCACGTTGTGTCGTGCGGAAGAACAGCACTTAGCCATGGACATTGGCCATATACCACTCCCCCTCGGGCATTATTGCTTAATTATAGTACTGTAGCATTTTTGGGGAAGACAGTTGTATGTTAATACAGCATGTCCACAGCTAAATAAGGCACTGGATCTTCAGTGTATTTAGTGGGCTGGGGGTATTCACCAGACTTTTGATGAGTATTTGCAATGCACTTTAGACTATAGCCAAGGCCTAGTTGTTCACTTTACTTATATAGTCCCATTTCCTTACGAGCTTTTATAATTCTTAGATTTAGCAGGTAGCTTAGTGGTTAAGAGCGTTGTGCCAGTAACCGAAAGGTCGCTGGTTCTAATCCCGAGCGATAGGTGAAAATCATGTCGTGTGCCCTGAGCAAGGCACTTAACCCTAATGCTCTGTAAGTCGCTCTGATAAGAGCGTCTGCTAAATGACTAAAATGTAAATGTAAATCTGCACTTACAGAACTACACTGGTACCCATATTCAGAACCATGTTTATGCTACCAACACAGTGACAACTCTGAGCAAACCTCTACAACAGGGGTGTCAAACTCATTCCATTGAGGGCCTAGTTTCTGTTTTTCCCTTTCAATTAAGACCTAGACAACCAGGTGAGGGGAGTCCCTTACTAATCAAGTACAAGGGAGGAGTGAAAAGCCGCAGATACTCGGCCCTTCGTCAAATGAGTTTGACACGTGCTCTACAACATCCGATCTTCAGAAAGGCTCGGTCAGCTCCGTCAGACATACCCTGAACTGTTGTTGTCAGTTCCAGAGGCTGGCCCCACAGACCTGACCTCTTCACAAACATGTGTTTGCCTCATCCACCCCACTGTGGTACCTCCAGAATGGGGCCATGTATTCTGAGTCTGGATGTGTCTCAATTCTATAAATACATTTACAACTGCACCACCTAGGCCTGCCACCAGATTACTTAGCACTTCTTGTATCCATAGAGGACCTTCATTAAAAATGGCACATATTTACACTTTTACTATTAAAGCTAAACTTGTAATATGGCATTTTATTCAAAAATATTTTTCTGAATGGCAGAGGCCATGTTGATACACAAACAAGGCAAATGCAGCCAAAACAATTGCGACACATTTACCCCATAATCAGAAGATAACTAAGTGTCAAGTTGTTTTCCAATGTCATACAAGCAGCTTCATCATCAGAAATGGAAAAAACCCACATATTTATTTTGTGTTTGTTTATTATCTACATATAATTTTTCCCATCTCTGGGCCGATTTACTAATATTCCATGACGTCACCTCTTCCAATCATTTTAAGATACAAAATATATGGGTTACAGCTGTCAGACTACTTACAAGTCACATTTTCCATACATCATCAACAAAACAAAAGGACATGAGGTACAGCATCAATGTAAAAGTCTTAACAGTCTGGTGACCAAAAACTAGTAAAGACAACCCACATTATGGGCTACAAAGCTACACTGCATGTGCTCATTTCAATTTCAGGGTACAAACCAAGACGGAACAAAAAAGCCTCTACAAAAATTAATGTCAAAATAACCTCTTTTCTTTTCAGTAGGAAAAAATTCAGTTCTGAGATTGAAGCTTCAGTCGCTGTCAGAGCCAGAGCCGTGGTTTGAGGCCTTGTCGGCAGAGCCCTCTGGTTCTGATCCGTTGTCGGAGCGGTGTGGGGAGCCTGCCGGAGAGCCCGCCGGAGAGCCTGCTTCAGAGCCAGAGGCTGCGGCCGGTGAGCCTGGTCGGGACTCGTTGTCCGACCCAGAGCGGCTCCTCTTGCTCTCATTATCAGACTGCTCTGAGTCAGACTGCTGCTGCACTCTCTTCCTCTTCACTGGACGGTCGCTGCCTGAGTCGCTACCTGAGTTTCCGGAGCGTTGGGGGCTTCCAGCTTCGCTGCCAGAGCGGTTCCTGCCCCCGTCAGACTCACTGTCGGAGGCGATGCGCTTCTTGTGGCCGCCCTCATTATCAGAGCCTGAACCACTGTCTCTGGGGTTTCTGGGTGGTCAACAGACAAATAATCATAATGTATTAGTGTGTCACAAAACCCTTCTGAGTTGTATTTTCATGTAGCATTTCATGTACGAATGAGTTTATGCCCTCACCGGTCTTCAGCAATTTTCAGTCCATCCTCGTCTGATGAAGAGTCGGAGGACGAGATGATGGCCTTCGACTTGATCTTGCCTTTGAGAGACGGTGGCACAGGCTCAGCCTAGACAAAAACAGAACCGTTAAAACTCTGGGCATAAGGCTGGTCATTTGGGTTAAAAAATACCATTAAAAGGACAAAAAGACATTTAACTGACCTTCTGGAACTTCTTGCCGCCCGCTCTGGGTTTGCGTTGTTTTTTGGGCCGTGAGCCTCCCTCCTCGTCATCACTGCCATCGTCACCCCCTTTGGTGGGTCTGAAATACAGTCACAGCGCCACTCACACCAGGCCACTTTCCTACCCGTCACTACAAATAACAACAACACTTTCCACAGCAGTCTCACCTCCTCCTCTTCTTGCGGCCCTCCTCCTCACTCCCGCTGCCACCCTTCCTCTTCTTCCTCCTCCTCACTGGCAGGTCCTCATCAGAGCCATCGTTGACAAACTCATCAAAGTCACCCCCTTTCTTGCGCTGGGGAGAATGAAACAAACAAGAACAATGTATTCACACTGCACCCTAGAGCCTTTCTTTGAGATTCATATCGATCTGATGTGCCATGAGCTAATCATTGATCACCCCGGACCTCCACGTTGCACTAGCTGTTCTCTACACATTTGCACTCACTCGGCCGCCACCTTTCCTCTTCTCTTTCCTTTCCTCCTTCATTCCATCGGCGAAGGAGAGCAGACCCTTGGTCTTCTCCACGTACATGGCTCTCTGCTCCAGCAGCTTCTTCTGATCCTCTTCCTGCTTGGTTCTCTTCTCCTCCTGGTGGGGCAGCAGGAAGACAAGGTCAGTGGTTTAGAGTCACACTGTTATAAAGGAATACATTTACTGTGGACCAAAGAAACATGTTATTCAAGACATCACAGGTCTGTTTACTTAAATTGCTTATCCATTATGGTTTACAAGTACAGCATAGAAGAGGTGAGGGACTTGTGGAGATGTGACACCCCAGCCCACAGACAGACCTGTTCTTTATGCATCTGTTGGCGCAGGAAGTCCCTCTCCTGATCCTGCTTGGCCCGGATCTCCTTCTCCTCCTCGTCCTGCTTCCTGGCCCGAGCCACGTGGTACTGGGCCTGACTCAGCAGGTCAGAGCATTGCCTGCAACGACCCCACACAAACACAGCTCACAATCCAGGCTTAGCCCAACGTCTGATGGCTGGGCTCAGCTGTCATCCCTCTAAGTTCCTATGAGGTGTGATCTGAACTTTGGCTAAGAGTAGTTTATTGATTTACTGAAGGCTATGAAGTAATTACTGGCCTGAATTATTATTTTAGAGGGAAGATATTTGTTCAAACTGACCTGGCCTCAGTGGAGGCAAGCACTAGGTCGAACCTCATCTTGTCTCCTGCCTTGGCAAGGTAGCTGAAATACCTGAGACAAAAGAAAAGAGAAGATTAGGCTGAGAAAAGTGAAGGATTCTTTTACGAGAGGTGTTTAAGTGAGTTTAGGGCGTACCGGTGGGCCAGCTCCAGCTCTTTGACAGCACTGAGTACAGCCTTTAGGTTACTCTTCTCGTCCTTCAGCACCAGAGTGGCCAGCCTCTGCAGCACCAGGGCCACGTTGAACATCAGCACCGTGTCACTGGGGGCCACGTGACGCGCCTGGGGACACAGTCAGCCACACCAGTGAGTAACAGGTAGGGTTGCAATAAATTCCCTGGTTCCCCAGAAATCCTGGTTGGAGGATTCCGAATTTCCTGCTTATTCCCTTCTGATTCCGTGAATCCTCCAACCGGGATTTTGTGAAAAGTCAACTTTTAAAAGTTAACAGAATTTTGCAACCCTAGTAACATGACAATCACACAAGGGTCACCCTGTTTTCACATAAACAAGCTCAGCCAAATGAAGCCCAGCCATAGGGTTCCTCAAAGGAATGAGAGACGTTTAATTTCACACAAATCTCACCTTCAGCAGAGTCTGTTTGCACTCCTGGAGTTTCCCGCATTTGAAGAGTGCCCGAGCCAGGTACAGCAGCACCTCCGTGTTCTGATGCTTGTAGAATTTCTTCAGACAGTTCTCGTACTAACACCACAAAGAGTGGATAAGACATTTTAAAAGTACAATACAGGAATATAAACCCCCCCTGCAGTGTGTACTATGAGCCAGTACAGAGCCTTACCATCTGCACAGCGCTGATGTACTGTTTCTGCTCCACGTAGATGTGGGCCAGGTTGAGCCAGACGTCGCTGATATCAGCCGTGGCCTCTCTTACCTGGGCAAACACGTCACGGGCCTCACGGTAGTAGCCCTTATGGGCCAGGACGGCACCTGGACAGAAAAGACGGCAAACTGAGGTAAATACATGCTAATAGGTAAACACTCAGTCAAGTTTGAGTATTAAGCATTTATGGGAATACAATGAGTGAGAGAAGGCCAACAAACCTATGCCGTTGGCAGCGTAAAGGTTCTTGGAGTCGTTTCGTAGGACCTGTTTGTAAATGGCCAGGGCTCGATCCTGATGTCTCTTTTCCTGAGGGACACAACCACAGGCACAGACAGATGATGAAGGCACTGTTTCTGACAGTGATGATTTTCATGGCTCCACATCAAAACAATGAATATTTTGCCATACCTTCTCCCGGTCCCTGGTGGGCTGGTGCAGGGTCTGTAGCCACACGTTGCCCAGGGCCAGCATGGAGTAGGTGTCGTTCTGAGTGGACGGCTGCTTGAGGATACGCTCAAACTTCTTCTGACCCGGACCCCACTCCTGCTTGGCCAAGTGGAGATTCCCGATCAGGGACCAGGCGTCTGGGTGATCCTGATTGATCTGCAGAGCCTCTTTGAACCAGTCGGAAGCTTCATAGAAGTTTCCTTTGTCACGAGCCATTGCTCCAAGACGTAGGTAACCTGCAAGCAACAACAAAGGACCAATTGATACACACACGCACCCTAAAGAGACAGACATTAACCAAAAAGTATTGCGTGTCTTCAGTGCTTACAGTCGACGTAGTTGGGATGTTCTCTCAGGATGTTCTTGTAGAGTTTCTCCGCCTCGTGGAATTCGCACATGGCCTCGTAGAGCCTGGCTAGGTTGTAAGAGGTGGTGACAGAGATGGCGTTGTAGTAATGCTCGTCATGCTCGCCCTCAGCTTTGGCCCGCTCCAAAGAGGCCAGGAAGTATTTCTAAACATGGACAGACAAACATGACCAACCCTAAAATCAATTAATCTATTTATAGCTCTGTTGTGTCTACTAGGGTTGGGCGATGTCTGGAATGACACATCGTCCTGTCCAAACATCATTGATATACGATTGTATCGGTTTTAAAAAAATCTGGGCGGGTTCGCGTTGCGCACGGAGGGGTCAGTCAAATGGGGCGGGAAGAACGCACTATAAAGGACGCATTGTTAGGCCTGAACTGTGTTAGGCCTAGTTCTTTTTTAAAATCTTGTCTAGGCTGTAGAATGATTTACAAAATTGGTAGGGCTATGTTTCTCTTGTTCATAAAAATACTCCGATATCAGTTAGCCTACCTTTTAAAAAGGAATATTATAGCCATATCAAGTGTAGTCTATAGTTATTTCATTAGGCTACTTTCCCGACAGTTTCAGACTTTTTTTTAAAAGGACGTGACGGGATTTCACTATAGTACAGTCTGCCTTACTCCAAATCAGGGGGGGAAAAATGTGGCTCCTTGGTGGGAAAGAAAAGCCTGTCTTCGCCTGTTTGGCAGTTCTTCAGTTTCAGACCGAATGTTAAAGGTGAGCCAGCAGACCTGACCAAAGTCACTTGCAGAATATGTCAAAAGATAATCAGGGCAAAGGACGGACAGACTACAAACCTCCATCAACATTTCAAAGTCCATCATCCTGCTGAGTTCGTTACTCTGGGGCAGAAAAGGTGAACATGCTGGTGTTCCTTGGCAGAAACCTTTAGGTAGGCCTAAGACAAACTAGACCTAATGGTTCCTAATTATACATTTTTGTTTAATTTTTAAATGTAGCCTATATTCAAATGCATCTTACTCGAATGGCATAGACTATTCTAGCCTATCAAAGCTTGGTTTGGTTTTTGTTGCACTATTTTTTGTTATTTTCGTACTTATTTTGTTTAGGCTACTTTATTTATTTTGTAGGCATATATTTAGGATTTGTACAGTTCAATAGACAAGAGGCATATCCTAATAGGCCCATTCGTTTTTAGAATAAGCTAATGTTCATTCAAGTGTTATAAAGAATGTTAGGCTAAATAACTATTAGTTTTATCTGATTGTTGTTGACAATTTATTTTGCCTACACTTTGGTCAAGTAAAGCAGAAACGTCCCAGGTTAGTTTATGCTTCCTATTCCATTAGTCTATCTTGCAATTGTTTGTTCTTTCCCTCATTATTACTATACTAGGTGTTATTTAGGCTATTCACAACAACTTTCTGAGATGGAACTCCGTTAGGCCTATAGATTCATTCAATGGTTGTTCATGAAAGAGTAGGCTATGCCTAGGCCAACAAGTCACATTAAAATCGAATCGAATGGGGATTGGGTAGAAAAATGGAAATGAAGATGTTAAAACATTAAGCCAGACGGAGCGTCTGCTGCTAAAGGCCCATGATCATCCGACATTGGGTGAAAACACATTAGGCCCCATCTGACATTTTCCGCTGCACTTTCTACAATCTACATTGTTCTCTTGCATTATGTTAATATTCTGACTACCTCATATGTATTGAACATTTAGGCTATGGCAAATAGGGAATAGGCCATTTGGCATGTCCCCCTGCTGTGTGCTCACTGCGCCGTGCTGTCGTGCGCTGCCAGACTCCGGAGGTGCAGTCAAATTCAAATATGCTAAACCATCGTTTGTGACATCACGATGTCGTCACTATCGACGATGGCTGTCCAACATCGTCGATAGACGACACAATCGAAAATCACCCAACCCTCGGTGTCTACCATTACCACAAAGGCAAGTTCCGAAACTACAAATAACCATTCAAGTAGGTAATTGCTACAACATGCAATTACTAATTCTAGCCAGGTAGCTCTGCCATCCTCCTGAACTGTACCTTGGCCTCTCCCAGGTTGCCCAGTCTGAAGTGGAGAGCCCCCAGGTTGTTGAGGATCTCAGGGGGAACGTCGGCCTGGACCTTCTCCTGCAGGATGCGGGTGGCCGTGCCGTAGGCAGAGAGGGCGCCCTGGATGTCGGTCTGCTCCAGGATCTGGGCCAGCTCGATCCAGGCCTCCACGTCATCAGGGTACTGCTCAGTCACCTTCTTCAGATGACCCTGCAGAACACAAAGCCATTACATGATATTTATTTTAGCAATAGTACTGATTAACATCTACAGAGTTACAAGTGTAGAGATAATGCCACAGAGATCAGACAAACACTTATACTTCATGTGTGGTTCACCTGTGCATAGCTGTTTTACTTACTTTGGCAATGTCTCTCTTTTCCTGGTCATCTGAAGTAGCATAGAGAGAGCCCAGGATCTTCATGGTTTCATAGTTGTTGGGGTAGGCCTTTAGGACCTTTTCAAAGCACTGGGCGGCATTCTCCTTGTCTCTACGGTACACGTACATCTGCCCCAGGCCAAAGAAAGGCAGCACAAAGGTAGACGAGGCAAATTGGGTGGCCTGGTAGTAGTACTGGAAGGCCTGGTCATAGTCCTCCTGAAATACACAAGAAGGAGAGATGTCATGCCCATTCAATTAGAAAAGCAAGAGTCTTCCGAAAAATAAGCTGAGGCCTTAGCGCTTACCTGTACATGAAAGGAGCGGGCCAACTGGTAGCAGCTCTCAGCCTGCATCGCTTCCACCTCTGTGTTGTGAAAGGCATGGAGAGCCAGGTGCTGCACTTTACTGTAGTCCTGAAAATAAGAAAGTACAACAACGTGAATGATAAGGGAAACTCAGGTCAAGACATGCTACTATATGCCAGGAATAGGATGACAACCCTCTCACCTTTTTGAAGAAGAAGTGGTTAGCCAGGTGGTTGAGCACCATGGGGTTGCTGGGGTCGATGGTGTAGGCTCTGGAGAGGAGCTGCACTCCGTTCTTGATGGAGTCGGGCTCCTTGCTGTTGAGCTCCAGCACAGCCAAGCCCACAAGGGCTCCCACACACTTGGAGTTGAGCTCCAGGGCCCGGCCAAAGGCCAGACGGGCCTTCTCCAGCTTACTGAGCTTGACAAAGCAGTGGCCCATACCCAGCCTCACCTCGGCTGGTAAGAGAAATAGTGACAGTATGTTAGGAGAGACCAGGGATATTATTCATCTTAATATGACAGGTGCAAGTGAAATGCTTACCAGGACATCCAGGGTTTGTGCGTAGAGCCTTCTTGTAGTAGGCCAGTGCTCCCCTGTAATCCTTCTTATTGAAGGAGATGCAAGCTTTACCTGTTGAAATAAAATGTAGTGGTTAGGCCCTATTTCGAAGTGAACCTTTGTGGTCGTAATGGTAGATCTTTCCCTTATGTTTTACTAACCAAGTAGAGCAGGGATGTTATTGGTAGACTGGTTCAAGACAAAGTGGAACTGAGCGTCAGCCTGGTCCATTTTGTCCCCCTCCAGAAGGCAGAAACAGGCTCTTCCCAACAAGTGGTTCTGTTACAAACAAATAAATAGATTACACTAGGTTATTATTTTTTTGTGATGGGGAAATTAACTTTCACATTTTCCAATAATGGTTAAGCTGATTTTCTTACCTGGTCGTACATGATGATCTTGTCTGCCATGGTGTAGAGCAGTGTGGCCTGAGTGATGAGCTCCTTCTTAGCATCTTTGTTCTTCTCTTTACGTGCCTGCTGGACATAGTAGGCAGCCAGGGTGTCCAGACAGGTCATCTGGTCCTTCTCATGGTCTCTGTAGTCCAGGTTTCCATCGATACGGGCCGCTTCCAGCAGCTTGACAAAGTCCTCCGTCTTCGTCTGTTTGTAATACTCCAGCTAAAAGAAAAATCTGTTTTTGTTTATTTTGGTGACACACAATCCATGAACAAACCATCAGTCAGTGGGAATGCAACTACATAACTCACCAGGGAGGATAGCCCATTTCCTAGACCAGAGTTCTGTATAACATTTAGCCACCTTGGGAGATATTTGCCGACCCGTACGGCAACGCTTTTCCCACGTCGGAGAGTATACCCGTGGTCGGTGGACAGTTCTGTTAAGGAAATTGTCGTTTGCGTCGCCAGACTGTGCCCAGGAAATAATTACATTCAATTGTTAGATGCTACCAACCCCTCTCCAAATCAAAATTCCATGTTGTGTCTCGCTTGTGTGTTTCACACCTGTTTGTCTAGCTAATCAGCCTCACAATTGGGCAGCATGCTGCCGCAAACAGGTAGAAGAACAGAGTGTGTGCGCAAACATAGACATCTAACAATTTGATTAAATTATTTCCTTCGCCGATGCATACGACAATTTCCTTATCAGAACCGTCCACGGATATACTCTCCGATGTGGGAAAAGTGTCTCCAAACAGGCACAGGTCGGCTAATATCTCACACAGACGGAATGTTACTGTTAAAATAACTGTATATGGCGGCGAGCCTGTAGGGCTACAGGGAGGAGTTACAGGTAACAGTAGAAATTACAATCTAACTGTATTTGATGCAACACTCATACAGAGTAATATGTGCAACTATCAATTCAACCATATTTTTAAGGAATTTCCATACCAGTCTGTGTATTCATACTTACAGCAAGAGCAATCCATATGTGCAACTGTGTATGTTCCTGTTTCAGGATACTGATGACCTCATCTCCTTCTGGCAGCTGGTCGAAATCAAGCTCAATAACCTGCAGAACAAATCATTGATTCACTAACAAGACACAGGTCTATGTGAGCACCAGTTCGTACACATACAACATGACATGTGACCTTTAACCTATGGCTAAAAAGCTTGATCAGAGGCTAAGTTATTTTATGAAATGTTTTGACTGGGGACAAGAAGTGGTTGCATTTGATTGGTTCCTGAGTCTTGTATCTCACGTTAACTAGTTAGATTACTGAATGATCGGAAAGACAATATCACCTGTAGAAATAGACAACTTATAACTCAAACATGGGTTATGACCAATAATTTGCATGACTGATAGTAAAAAAAAAAAAAAAACACTTATCCGAAGTTGTTAGCGATCTGGCTGACGTTAGTCAACAAACACAGGGCAATACTACGTTAGCCAACGTTAGTAGACTAGCAATAGCAATCCACGGTCAAACAAAGCAGCGTAGCTAGTCCTTACCTCGTCGGTGTCCCGTAAGGGGATTTCAATTGAACCCCGAGACATCTTGGCTGATGGAAATCCACGTCCCTACACCAATATATTCCCAAAATTTGTTCAGCGGTCCCCGTGGTCTCGAGTATCTTCCTCCACTTCCGCCCTAGAACAAATACATGGGTGTTCACAAAACAATGTCCGGGTAGTACAACGAGCGACTGGTGGGATAATATCACCCACTGGTGTAATACCGGTAGCAAATAAACATGTCCTCCTGACTAATACAGCTGTTGTTCTCTCTCATCTTGGCAGGCTAAACTTCTTTCGACTGAAAGAGAAACATTCTGTATTTTCACAGTAGTATTTGTTGTATTTTCAAAAGTAGTATGTCTATTTGTTGTTTAGAAATCTGTAAATGTTTGTTAATAACAAAAGGTGGTATGTTCACTATTTTACCATGTGCAAAGTAGGGACCTAGAATTTGTACAGTATGCTGCACGCCAGAATGCCATTCCATTCAAGCCCGATAGTGGTCGTGTTCGAGAGCATCAAAACCGTGATGTATTAAGGGTACATTGTGTCTCTGATCTACAGATAATAAAAGACAAGAAAGGGAAGGACAGGACAGGACAATCAATCAATCAAATTTGATTGGTTGATTGATGATTGATTAAGGGAGGGAAAAGTAAGACATTAATAAAAGCTGTGATAATCCTCTGTGATGTGTTTCTGTGACCAGTGCCCAGTTCAGGTCTTCATTGACCCTGCCCTATCCTAAAGAATCTGATTGCATCTGTATAAAAAAACATCAACAAGCTGGTCCCGTGTAGCTCAGTTGGTAGAGCATGGCGTCTGCTAAATGACTTAAATGTAAAATGTGATTTCCTATTGGTTTATACGAAAGATGTTATGCAGATGATCTAGAATCATTTGATATGTTAAACTGACTAATGTTAATACAAAAAGTCCATTAACTGCGTTATTGTTTGCTGGCCTGAGCCAGCAATCAGTGGAGCTGAAGGGAGGGGGTGGGGTGTCAGCTGGTTTTGATGTGTGGCAGTGAATGATCAAAACAGGCAAAGGCTACACTCACTGAAGATCATCTTGAGGGTTTCCCACTGCAAACTGGCAGCAATAGAACTGTCTAAAATTAGATTGCATTTTTGACCAGTTTGTGTGATAAGATGTAGCTAGTTGTTATACGTTTTCATATGAACATTTTCTGCAGCTTTCAAAGGAATATTCCTCAACTGGGAGGTAATACTTTATTTGTATGTATTCTCACCGTTTTCTAACATATCTAACATGCTTAGGGTAAGTATATATGTCTTGTGTAACTTCATAATGCAATCTTGATTAATTAATAACTGTAAATATCTAATGTAGGCTACTTGACATCTAGTAAGCTTAAACAATCACCCTCTGTTTTGTTCTGTAATGTTTCCACTGTCTTTCTTTGCTTTGTGTGCTGTTGACTGACCTGCAGTTTCATTTACATGACTGTCACAAATCTAGTCCCTGGTTAGGTTAACGTTCTGAAGGGTCATTCCTTTCTCTTGCCCAGGGACCCAAAAGGAAAAAACACCTGAGTTCAGGGAACATAAGTTAACAAAATAACATTCACATTCTAATGGGCCCTTAATACATTACCATGCATGTAAGTATGGTAGTATATGCGGATAATGCACTTCTACAGCGATAGCTTGTTAAGGACTATTCTAACTCAGACTTTCCCCCCATAATCAAATAGACAAATTTGATATTTTACATATAAAAACAACACTTCTATTCTAACAATTTCTTCAAACTTCAGACTTTTTCAGACTAAAAGTATTTTATATGCATTGTCATATTTTTCTTTATACAGAGAGATGTTATGGCCTCGGAGAACTTACTGAATGGAGGTCAGAGTTTTCATGGTGAAAAATCTGAGTCTAATCTTCTGAGCAGCCACAGTGAGAACCATGAAAGCAGCAGGCCATCAGCTCAGACCAGGCCGATGCGAGAGGACAGAAGGGGATACATAGCACCAGCTCTCTCAAGGGACTCTGGAGTTAGCTCCATAGAGCATCACCAGGTGCCGGACAGCAATGAAAGTAAGCAATGATATTAATATTGACTTATTGTCAATGGCATAAAACATTATCATCATACAAAACATCTTGATAACCAAGCATTATTTTTTTCAGAGCAGTAAACGGAATGCTTTTCAAATACTTTTTTTGAAAAAGATGTGAATAGACATTTAAGTTTAAAACTACTTTCACCACTGCACTTTGACTTCTGCATTTGCTTATTAGAAGTTGTACATGACAAAGCCTAACGGATGTTTTAGTGTGGAGCAGCTGTGGACCAGACGATTCTACTGAAGAAACCGTGGACACAAGTACATTCTCTGAGGAAGAGCTTCTTGATATTACATTTGAGGCATGCAATACCACTGGCACAGGTACAGGTCATCTCTTGTAATAACAGCTGTACATTACTGTTCTTTGTTTACTGGCATGCTTACCAAGTCTTTGTTCTCATTAGGAGAGGTTCTGGCCTCCACGATCATGCAGTACCTGCAGACGATGACTAGCCAGAGCCCAGAACAGGACAGGCTGAATGCTTTGAATCGCATGCTGGACCCTGAGTGCCGGGACCCCGCTATTAGCAGGGCCACATTCCAATCCACCATGAGGGAGTGGATTGCCCAGTGCAACCAGGATGGGTAAGGAAAAATCCTCCAGACAGCTAACTGCTATAGAATGTTCATCTGCAGCAGCCTTATAATCAACAACATGCCTCAGAAGTTTTGCCACAAAAAATGACTGAAATTTGTAGTTGATTACATCTGTTTATGTGATTTATTTGTATAAGACATCGATAAGCCTGCTAATCTGCTTCACACCTATAATTGGAGACTAATGATTGTTTGTATCTTTCAGCATGCATGAGGACGACAAACATATTTCAGGGGAAAACCCTTGTAAAGTGCCTATAAATGGTAAGGTTTTACTTTTGTAGGCAGCCAGGGAATCCGTCTCAGATTCCAGTGCAATTCACTCACTAATTGTGTTGCACTTTCAGGGATGGATTTCTCCGGTCCTGAGATCAAAACTGCCTTCTCAGAAGGAGAACAGTGTTATTGGTAAGTTATTCAGCTTTTCTCAGTCACTCATGATTTGACTCTTTCTATACAGTACTATTTCTTTATTGTACTGTATTCAACTGGCTTCCAGTTGAATCACGCATCCACTACAAGACCATGGTGCTTACCTACGGAACAGCAAGAGGAACTGCCCCCCCCCCTTTCTATGCCTGTGATATGTGTTTGTCCCACCTAGCTATCTTAAGATGAATGCACTAACTGTAAGTCGCTCTGGATAAGAGCGTCTGCTAAATGGCTAAAATGTCAAATGTAAATGTATTAATGCTATAAATCTGACTACTCATTTGGCTCTAGTGACTCCAGGGAGCTGCTGGCCACTGTGGCTGAGCTGAAGCATGCGCACCATAGGATGAGTAAGCAGAACAACAGCCTGTTGAGGACTGTATCTCAGGGTGAGGACACCAACTTGCAGCTCACAGTGGAGATCACTGAACTAAGTGCCAAGCTGGCCAGGTACTGTCTGTGAGGATGGAGCAATATGTTATTTTGATATGGTGGAACATTATATGGATCCATTATTGCAAGGCATGGTAGTTCTGAAGATTTACAGTTGTAAAACTGTCTGTGTGACGTCCCCAGTGCCCAGCGGTCAGCAGGGAGAACCAGGTCCCTTGTGGAGGAGCTGGAGGAGGCCAGGAGAGCCCTGAGGGAGGCAAAGGAGAGAGCCAGCCGAGCCCAGGCTAGCAGCTGCAAACTGGTACTGCTCTCTGAGCAGGGCTCAGCTAGAGAGACTGCTATTGTAATAAGGAAATTACATATAAGGAAATGGCGTACAAATGGCTTAGGTTTAGCCAGAGGGTGGATGATTTTATTGGAATTTATACATTTCCATTTCCATTGCACCTTTTTTCCATTTTAGAGCAAAGAATGTGACTGTCTGAAAGCACACATTCAATTGCTTGAAGAAAAGGTAACTTTGATCTTTATTATTATTTTATAATGCATGTATAAAGTTTGTCATGTTACATACTATATATTATATGTGCGTAACACAATCACTTTTATATCTGCAGAATGAACAACTCACACTCGAGGGGACTTGTTCTGAAGATTGTCTCAACAAATTGAGGAAGGTTAATGCTGAGATGAGGGTAGGAACTTTTGGCCAGAACATCTCTGTCTGTCACTGAGATAGGAGTCCAGTAATGGAGATCCCCTAATTTGTTTTGCAGGAGGAACTTGAAGAGACCCTTGTCATGCTAGCTGTAAGAGACAGGGAACTCACTAAGGTTAGTATACCATATCTTCACACATAGTGGGTTCATTCTCTGTTTTACAATGACTGCATTGGTAGATTTAGATTTTTTCCTGTTCCTTTCTAGAAAGACATACTTATGGATAAGCTGAAGAACTCTCATCTGGAGAACCATAGAATCATTGAGGTATCTTCATAATAACATTCATCATTTCAAGTGCCTGCTGTTATGCCTGTGTACTAGCAGAAAGTAGCTCTGATCGTTTTTTCCCTGTCATTGAAGGGGCTACAGTCAGAGTTGATGCATTTATCAGAACATTCCCAGCAAGCTCTTTTGAGGTAAGTGCTGTCAATCATTTCTATGTCCATATGCTACTCATCATTATTTTTGTTACCAACATCTCACCCAACAGCTGTTCAGGTGACATATTTGTTTGGGCTTATTTGTTACTTAGAATGTATGTGAGTGACATCACAATGGGACATGCTAGGGGTCAGTGGGGTCAGTGTGTTTAACCTGGTGGTGTGCTGCTGTAATTCATAGGTTTGACAGGCACTGTAGCAGTCCACAGGGTTTCCAGGGAAGGAGTGGAGGTGTTCCTAATCACCGCTCTTTGCATGCTGAGATCCAGGACATTCAGCAGGTGACAAAGGCTTTAGTTCTGCAGTTGGTTATCAATAGCCCTATCGTGTTACTATAGGTTTATTGTAAGGATGTATTTCCCCCAGCAGCGTAGGGGTCTGGAGGAGATGACTGGCCCAGTATGTGGGGTTCGGTCCCCTCACACTCAGAGGGACGATATCCAAAACATAATTCAGAGGATCAAGTCTGCTGAGCTGGCCCACCTTCTCCATGCACACTACCCAGAGAGGGTGAGAGCACACGCACACGCACACGCACACGCACACGCACACGCACACACACACACACACACACACACACACACACACACACACACACACACACACACACACACACACACACACACACACACACACACACACACACACACACACACACACACACACACATACACACCTGTCACCTGAATGATAAAAGTGTAGGAAGCTGTTTTGAGGGTCTGATGTCTGTTCAATCACTCAGGATTCTGTTGGTTGTTGTGCTGTTGAGACCCTGGAGAGGCCATATCCCCACAGCCAGCAGCCACAGGCTAGCATCAAGCAGCAGCTGGTTAATGTGTATGTGAGTTTTTATCCCCTTCTCTCTTCTGTTGTGTTTACGGACATATTAAAAGTACGACATTGGCTGCTATTTATTGAAACCCATTCAGACAATAAAAAAGAAAGCCTGGTGTTGCTACTTGCCAGAGCAATTATATGGACTACCATTATGTCATCAGCAGTAGTTACTGGCTTTCTGTCTAAGATGTTAGAGTTAAGTGCAGTTTTAGGATCCTTGGATACTTCAAGATGTAACAATGTGTGAGTGAGTTGTTTATAAAGTCCAGGCTGTTCTTCCAGACTGAAGGAACTGGAGCTGCAGAGGGCTCTGTGGGAGGACAGACAGGAGAAGGTGGCGGAACAGCGGAGGCTACAAGAGCAGCAGGAGCAGAAGCAGAAGCCCCAGGCCAAGAGGGCAGCTGTGGTGAACTGGTGGAGAACCCTTAAGGTGGAGGGGAGTAGGACCAAGGCCCAGCCGGAAGACACCCTGACCCAGCCCAGCCAGGCCCTCACTGAGACAGAGTCCAAGCTCCAACAGGCAGAGCACACCATCACAAAGATTAGGGAGCAGGTATGCCACCTTGAGGCGGCTCTGAGAACTGCCCAGGAGGATGTTGCTGAGCACAAAAACATTCAGGACAGGGTGGGAGTTCTTCACAAAGACAAGGAGACCAACACGGTGAGAGAGGGACCTGGCTGGGCTGGGGAGGAGGCATCAAAGGAGCGTAAGGACGTGGCTGTGGCTACAGACCCTGTGGAGGACCCAGGTAGATCAGAGAAGGTAGCAGCCCAGCTTTTGACCTCGGAAGGTCTGCTGGTGACCCTCAGGAGGATGGAGGCCATGGTCAGCAGTGCCCTGGAGGCAGCTGAGCTGGTCAGGGAGAGTCAGCGAAGGGTCAGCCAGGTCAAGGAGAGAATGGAGAGCATCACTCAGAAGATGGAGGAAGCTCTGACCAGAGCAGTGGACACAGAGGGTCAGCTCAGTGCCCTGGAGGCCAGGGTCACAGCCAAACCTCAGGTCAGTTTGTATAGTCTTTTCTGTGTATTACAGGAATAGTGAGCTCAAATAAGCCCTAATAATACAAGTTTAGAATCAGAATTATTCTAGTATCTGCATTTTGAATATGCAGCCCCACATTTACGCTCACATGTCTGCTTTTGCAATGATTACCAATGATCTATTATACTAGGCTGTGTTTGTTTTCCTCCGGTAAAACCCTTAAAAGTTATTTACAGCCGTTTAATTTGCATTTCCTCTCTCTCTTCTGTTCCGAAGTTGCCAGGTCCTATAGGGCAAACAGCCCAGCCTGATGTTGAAGCTGTAGGCAGAGACAGACCCAGGAACCCCTCTCCACCAGAGCCTGTGAGCGACAGCTACAGCAAGTCTCGATGGCCCCTTATAAGCGGTATGATGAGACTACTACTACTGAAATACAGGGCAAACACAGCATTTGTATGTCACTGACTGTAGCAGTATTAATTAGCCTATTCTACTGTAAGAGGAGAAACACAGAGAGAAACAAATTAGTTAGCCACTTTCCTTTTTATTAATAGTCCCTGGGGATGCTACTGAAATAGACCCAGCAGACTGTAAGGTATACAAAGCAGCTGGCGCAGAGAGGCTGAAGGCCCCTTGGTGAGTGTCAGTCATCATGAAGGGTTTACTGTGACCACCATGGGCCTTTGCCCTTCTTTTCTGTGTCTCAGAAGCCCTTTTATCTGGGGAGGAATAGAGGAAGCCCCTCAGTAGAAACACTAGGCTGTAAACAGTGAACATTTGGTGTGGTTTGCTCTCACAGCTAGAGGGAAGACCAGCTCTGTTTGGTTCACACGAAAGGGAGCCATGCTCATGTGCCCTCCATGATGGGAGTCCATCTATGCAAAGTCACAGCCGTATTGTTTATTTGTTCCCTAGCCTTCTTCACGGTCAAGTTGATGAGTTTGGAAAATCTTGAGAATGCTGGAGATCAGTGGTGGTTGTTTGGTATAAACAGGCCTACTGGTCAGTGTTTGTAGTGTGTTGGTGATCAGATCAGGACAGTAGGTTTACAGTACAGTGTAGTTTATCACCTGACCCTTGCACCTGTTCTGCCAGGGTTTTGTGGTGATGAGTAGTCTTCTATTTGCTTAACAAATGAAGCAGCTGCCATGAGAACAGCAATATGCCAGAAGCATCCTCTGATGCTCAAATAACATCATTACACTGACCTTATGCATTCTCACCTGGCAGACATTCTCACACAACCATAGAATATGGCACATACTGCATGTAGGTAGTACAGGCACTGCAGGTGGGATATGTGATATGTGGACTACTGAAAGCCAGCACCAGGATAATGTAATACCTCTAGATGTGGGCTGTGTGTAATCTAACCCAATTGATATGGCTCCTGGCTGTTTTCACTTTAGAAGTAACTCCCCATAAAAGGAGCTCTGGATGCCAGCATCAGCTCTTGCTTGACATTAAAAATCAAATGGAATCCATCCAGTAAGACAGGATGAACCTCCAGCCCTCTCTGCATGGAAATGAAGATATTTGGAATATACCTTGCAAATGTAGGCCTGTTAAGGTGTTAGTAAAAGGCCAGTATTCCAACACGCTGACTGTAACATCTCCTGGAATAAGCTTGTAGGATAGTAGCCTTCGTCTGTTTACCTTGTTATCTACATTCTACTAAGTCATTCTACTCCTATTTACCCATAAAACCCTAAAAGCAATTTTATATCCCCTGCACATCGTTTTTCATACCAACCAGGAGAGTTTAATATGGGCTAGTGTTTATTAGAATATATTAACCTGAATTCAAGTATGTTTTGTTCATACTGAACATTTTGTGCCAAAACATTTGTATTTAGTAGTACGGTAAACTAAAGCAATATTGTACATACAGTACTGTAGGCCCTATCATTATGTACAACATCACTTGTACAGGTGCTTATGGTTTTACATGAGTAATACCTATAGGACTAGAGCAAAGACTTGTAGAGCAGGTGTATGTCACTATCAAGAGACTGGCTCAATTCACATACACATGTAACAAGATATGTATATTTGTTTACTGAAATCAGCAGTGGCAGGGGCGAATGTGACATTTCTACTATAGTCAGAAAGCAAAAGGGCTCTTATGACCATTTATGCTTTTCTGAGGCTGAGAGCTCTTGGTGGCGACATTGTAAAATAAATACTACACAAGAATGAAGTGCTTCCGAGATGTTTTGCCAACGCGAGGTGCAAACTGATGTTTTCCTGTCTGTCCACTGTTGGAGTTAAATAGCTGAGATGTGGTTTATTTTCATCACAACCTGCCTCTGACCCCAGAATGAATGAATTATAGATCCTTGTGATCATTGTATTTCCCTCTGTAATTAGATCTAAAAACCATGAGCACTTTTTCAGTGATAAGGATGCTTCAAGTAGCATGTAGCATTGGTGTCATTTTGATTTTTGTTTGTTCGCAATGACGTAACGACAGTGTCTTTCAGGAGAGGTTCAAAAGGATATGACACAATAGACCTATCATGGACCAAGTGCTTTCAACCAGAGGATCAAGCGTCCCATGGAATTGGTTGCCAGGTTATTGTTGCCCCTAGAAATGGAGGTAGGGGGTGAGGTAGAGGACTTCCTGAAATACTGTCCGGTCCACCAATTAGACAGACAGCTCACTCGGTGCGTCATCCTCAGAGGAATACTCCCCAATTTAGTGCATTTTAATGCCATTCATTTACATGACATACAGTACAGTACCAGTAACATGCAAATTGAGCCCCTCCTTTCTCTGGTTTGGTTCAAACAGGGGCCATTTATTCACAAACTGGAGGAGGCAGCAACAGTGGCAGCAAGGTAAGATTATTTTTAATTTTTTCGGTACTTTAGGTGTTGTATAGGCTAACATAACAAATAATAAATATTGTTTGCAAGTTCATATTTTACTACACGTCTTCTCCCTTTTCCTACAATTCTGATCTATTTAATTTATTTCCTGATGTAGTGACAGTTCACTGTCTGAATCATTATTATGTTTGTCTTATAACCCAGATGACTAAGCTCTTTGTTCTCTGTATATGTTCAGTAGCATGATCCCACATGTGCTGACAGCCTGTGCATCTGAATGGAGCTTCGCGTTTTGATCTAATTGAGTTAAATATGAGAGGAATATCTAGAATGTTTTCTACAGCCATTTCTCCCTTTCTCTCTAATCCTTTCTGGGCTTCAAACACCCAAACCTGAGATAAACAATTATCCATGTCAGCCCATATTAGAGCAAACTGTACTGCTGCTCCCAGAACAGTGAGATACAGGCTAGCTGTGTCATTATTGGATCATTTAATAATCACACACTGACAGGAGGCCTTTTCTCTTTTTGTTGTGATCTGATTTAAAATGTAAACAGGTTCCATAATGTGTCCGCTGTTACTGGTTCTACCTTCCACTTACTTAATGTGATATGTAGTATCCCCTGTTTCTCATGCTCTCTAATGGTCTTATGGTCTATTACTGTAAAAAAGCTTATAAACTCAGATCATCCATAACATTTGAGAAGCTTATCAGGAGAGCTTTTTTAGTCTGTGTGCCTCTGTATGTAGAGAACAGAGGATGCATATGTGTGCATGAGCATGCATGCATGTGCGTGTATGTCTGTGTGTTTATTTTAGGCGCTCAGTAGGAGCTACCCATCCACCCTTCATTTCTTGAGGTTATGTGACTGCTTGGAAGACTGTTTACACCCTAAACTGTGTCCTAGACTCTGATCTGGTGGGGGATTGAGGAATTATAGTTTGAGTTATAGGGTGTTTTGATCAAACACACACATCCAAACTCTACCCCTCCCTGGTCAGACCTCTGCCCCCACAGAATGACCACAGAGAGGAGAAAAAAAAAGCAAGTTGACGCTCCCAGGCAGAGTACGTGCTCAGAGTACGAGCTCAGAGTTGGAGCTCAGAGTTGGAGCTCAGAGTTGGAGTGTAATTCAGGAGATGTGATCAGTCAGGGCTGAGTGGAGCGGAGCGGCAGCCTTAGAGAAGAGCTGTACACATACACAGCAGCAGCCCAGAGAGGCACACAGATCCTTCTCCTTAAATGGTCAAAGCTCCCAGGAGTGAAAGAGAGGCTGGTGCTGGGGAAAAAAAGACGGGGAAAGGAAAGGAAAAGAGACAGCCAGGGATAGCTGGGTTTTCTGGGAAAAAATCTGGGAATGACAGTTTGACTGAGGGAAGGTTCTGTCGGGTGTTTTATGTGGAGTTTATGTGGAGCTAAGCAGTGAAGGTGGTATCTCTCACAGGAGATTACAGGTACAGCTATGATCTATTCTCTGCTCTGTGGACAGGTAGAGATGATGTATTGTACGCACGTTTTATTTGTTTAAAGATTAGAGGGTCTGCAGCTGCATGACATGCACTTTATCGTTAGTATCTTTGGCTATGTACATTTGCACTGTTCATCATCATTTTGGGGTTATTATGATTTTGTTGGAATATGCATACTTTTGGTGAGGGTCTATAGGCTGTCACTTATTGGGAAGATGGCAATGGTTTGCTAAGGGGGAATAATAATTACAAGAGTTGGTTGGAAGTTGCACATACTGTGATTCTATGCATGACCAGCAGATGCTAATGACTTATTTGTTTTATTGCTATACTGTATATAGCCATGATAGCCTAAATGGCATTGGTATTTTGAACAAGCTCACTTGCCTTCCCCTCTATCTTTCGCCATCCATCTCTCATCTTTCTCACACTCTCTCCATATCCTGTTATCTGGGATGGTGGCTGTGTAACCACCACTTCCTCTGCCGGTCCTGTACTCCCTGTGCTTCACACAACCAAATTTTAAACAAATCTGGCAACAGGCAGAGGGCTTACGTAACAGGGGAGAGGGGGGGTCGGGGCGAACGCTCTGCTCAGCTCACTTTATCATGAGGGAGCAGCGAGGCCAGGCCACTGCCTTGCCGTGAGGTAACTCTGTGGCCCTCAGGGACCTGCCTGCTAAAGGGGACCGGCTGGAGGTTCCCGAAAATAGCTCTGGTCAGGGGAGAGAGAGGCTGAGAGGCCCTGTGTGTCCAGTGGACAGAGCCTTGCAGGCGTGGATGTACTCCTGGGCCTGGCAGGAAATAATCAGAGTGATTCAATTACACTGCCATATTCATCTCATTGTCTCTCTGTTTAGACTCCTGCAGCTCAGCTTGGCCCCCTCGACTCTGTTTGCTTAGAAATGTACTCTCACTGTGGACTCCCAGAAACTGTCTCACCCACTAATCTAGTTGTTTCAACTAATTTTTATTAAGTAACTGGTCCACAGTGTTTTTTGTTTACTCAACTTTTTGTCCAAGTGTTACCTGAACTAAAAAAAATGTTGGCCCAAACTTAGCGACAACTTGACAAAAATTCTATCAAATGATGTGTTTGCTCAACTTTCTCAAATGTTCATTTTACTAGAAATTATTATTTTGGCACCTTACCTAAAAAATGACTGTGGAACTAGTTACAAACACACACAGTGCTTTTAACATACAATGTTTTCAACTTACGTATTTGACACACGTTGACGTACATGATTACATTGTGCATGTTCATTTATACACTAATTATTATTCAACATGCCCTCACCTGGAATTTGAACTCACAACCTCTTGGTTCAAGGCATTCTGATCTTCCTGCTACGCCACCCAAATAATAATTTCTAGTTGAATTAACACGAGACAATTTAAGCAAACATTGTTTTAATTTGACTGAATTTTTGCCTACGTTTTCTCATGTTGGAGCTAAGTTTGGGCCAACAAAAAATGTTAAGTTCAGGTAACACTTTGACCGAAAAAAAAGCTGTGGAACCAGTTAGTTAATAATATTATTTATTATTATTTTTTACAGTGTGTCAAAACCCTTGCAATGTTGCACTCTCACAGTACAGCAGTCTTCCTGGACTGCTTTTATTTGTCACTGGGTGGCTGTTCTTTAGATCATTGTTTTATCCATATCTTAACTTTGTTTGAAAGTGTTCTCTCCACTTCATCTCCTTCATCATGTACAGGTATAGAAGTGTGTAGGAGTAAATACGCAGGCTTGATGAGGAGGAGACCTCCGGTACTGAACCTGATCTCACTACACCCTCACACTAATGGAAATAGTCAAACACGGCAGCATTCTCTGATGTTTGATAATGCACTAGAGATTTATAACAGCTTGTTATTAACTTTTATGACAAATCATTTATCTGTTTATTGTAGTATGTTAGACAGGAGATACGGGTGCATTTTGTGTTGTATATGAATGGTTCATCACAGCTCCAGTTGTAGGAAGTTGGCCTATCTGGACATTGTATTTTGTGAAGGCCATAACAGGACAGTGATTTAATTTGGTCAGTGTTGGGTCTTGTTTTTCTGATCAGAGACTGGCACACGGTTCTCCTGGCTCATTTGCTCAATGTGATTATGGAAAATAAAAGTCCTTACAAAGGGGTCAAGCAACTCCAGTTATATTATAAGTATTTTAAACTGAAAATAAATAGTTTTTCAAAGTTTTGTATTAGCTCACATTTGCTGTTCCTGGGTGTTTTTTTAAAACTCTATAAAAACGAGTAGAGAATAAGAACATAAGTACTTTCATCTTCCTGAGGCCTGGTCTAAATATCCTTCTTGTTCCTAGGAGACCGCTAAACAGTCTACTTCCTCCCTTGTGAGGGATGGCTCTATTAGCCTCACGTTCCCAGCATCCTCTAGCCATGTTAGCCATGTTTGTCATGACATTTATCAGCATACACTGTTCCTGTACTGTGTCTGAACTCAGGACTCAGGAAGCCATTCCTCAATGAAATGTGCACTCTGGATTACTTATGAGCAAAGATAAGAGGGTGATGGTTTTGAATGTTCTACAGCTTTTAATGTATTCCCTTCTGCTTAGTGAATACTGAACACAGAACACTCAATCCCTCATTGTCGTGATGTCAGAAAAATCCATTGATGCAGTCTCTCTTTTTATTTTTGATTTTTTATGTCAAAATAGGCTAGATCTGATACGGCTAACAGCCCCATAAAACATTAAATATAGATGTTGTTTTCTGTCTGTCAGAGCTGTGACGATTCAGAGGCACCCTGCAATGATGACAACAAACCAAGCCAAGTCCAATGTCCTGACTTTGTCCCAGACCAAAAGCACAACAGTACCAGCAGTGATGGTCCTGCACCTGCATTTTTAGGTAATAGATCCACTGCCATCTTCAAATAAAAATCAAATGTATTTGTCACATACACAGTTTACAGCAGGTATAAAAGGTGCAGCGAAATGCTCATGTGCACCTCACATCTCTTCCACTTCCTTTTGGCAGGTAAACAGTGCTAACATTCATCTGCCTGTCATTTTTGCTCTTATCTCCTGTCTATCTGCTTGTTTAATGTGTTTTGTTTTCACACGTCTGCTACTTTGCCTACAACATGTTGTTAGTGTGACTGGGACCTCCCTGTCTGACCGTGTTGGTTCCTCCCTCTCGTAGGTTCCATCCCAGTGTCAGAGACACAAACGCCCCCAGTGTCCCCATCCCAAGTCTTCCTCCAGTACGAGTGTGCACCTCCTCTTACCGTCCCACCGGAAACACCCCCTCAGTCTGCCTGTGACAGTCATGCTGCTGCTCACACTGAGGAGAATGTAGCAGGGTTAGTGTTTATATTCTCTCTTTTACAGGAAGAGGATATTGCATGTGTTTAGATTAACATCCCCCCACACTGAAGAGCTAGGCTAAAGTGAGACTGTGCAGGGATGTCGGTGTTTACATGGTCACACACCAGCGCCCCAATAATATACAGTGGCACTCAGTATGTACCTAGGAGGAAGCGGGAACTGTCAGAGGATTGCATAAAGTGTGTTAGGAAAGGCCCACCTCTCAGGGTTTAACATGAGGAGGTGGTGGTATTTCACAGAGCAGGAAGCTGTGGAAGTTATCTCAAATATTCAAGCTGATATACGGGTTATAATTGTTTGATATGATTTTGGAGAGATTTCCCTGTTGATTATGGATTAAGAACAGTGTGTTGATGTGTTTGATCAGTCTCAGAACGGAGGATCCTTGTTGCCGTGACTACTGTCAGTCAGAGACCCGCGACTGTGGGAGTGGCCAGGCCTTGCCACCTGGAGACTGTGGGAGGAGTCAGCCATCAGACTCAGGATACAGTGCTGGTAGTAAAGCCTCTGAACCAGAAGATAGTGGGAGGAGCAACAAATTAGAACCAACAGATATTGGGTGTGATCTAGAGCACTGTGGGAGTTTCCATTCTCGAGATCTACCGACTGTTTTAATTACATGCTTAGATAAGGTAAGTTTAGACTGAAAACGTTTTAATGATTACTTTAATGAGGATAGCCTCTTTTATTATTTAATGCTCGGGTGATTCCCAAATCACTGTAGTTCAAAAATAAATGGGCAGAGACAGAAACATATAAGCAAGTTACTTTATCCATTTAAGGTGTACACATCCTTCCAAAGCCATGGTTTCCTACACAAACACCCCCTCCTATACCCAGGAACAGAGTGAGTGGTGCTTGAGGGCTGCCTGTGGGGGGCACGGGTTGGCTGATGGATAGAGAGGCAGGGCAGGATGAGGGGGGACGGGCTGGGCGGGGTTGGAATGGAGGCAAGGAGCCCTGGAGTGAGCCCTGGCAAAGACCATTAGGCTCAGAGAGGGAGACTCCAGTAAGAATGTGACCTCTGTCAACCCCGACAGTGCTCTGACTGATGGCATGTCTGATTTGGATGTTTCTGGCTCTGCTGTATGACATTTTCCCAGTGTGTTATTTCCATAGGCATATCGAAATGGATAGGATAAATGTAACTGTGTTTGTTTCCCCTTTACAATCAGATTGTGATTGTGTGGTTAGATATGCTCCTTTTCATGTAAATATGGTAGTTCAAGCTAACCTTGCTCTATGACGATTTAATTGCGACCCTGCTAACCTTTCATCCTCCATTGTGTTACCTCGCTGCCCTCCCAGTTTGATTTGCCTGTCATAGATGTTTAGATTCGTTGCAAGGCAAGGGTATCTTGTTTTTCTTTGTTCATTCTCAGAATGAAATAAGTCTAATTTTAATAGCTGGAAGAATGCGTTCCTCTGGGATTCCCGTTCTCCCAGATTAACTTGGCTCATCCGCCCCCGCCTCTGGGGAGAGAAAGGTCACATTTGTTTATGCACAGTTCTGGAGGCTGCGGGACTTGCTAGTCAGGTCTAACACTAGAGAGAAGCAGCTGACATATCTGTGTGGTGCTTTTGTCTGAAACATTATTATAGTAATATGCCGCTAGAGAGTTGTGCTGGATCTGGAATATTGCAATGATAATTCATTGCATCATAACCAAGTTATTTGAGAGAAGGGCAATTCCATTGTAACAGAGTGATACAATTCCATTGTAACGGGCTGATGGAAACATGAAATGCCTGTACAATTTTATAAATGCCGACAAACAATTTGTTCGTTCAACATGGTGGGATCTTTTTGTGTCGGTAAAATGTATTATTTGAGAAATGGCGGTGGAAATGCCTTTATGTGGAAACATTGATATAATAACTATCATATTGAAGTAAATTTGGAGTCACGCGATGATATGTTGTGTGGTCCTCCCACTATGACTCGGGAAAGCATGCAGTTTATTAAGCTACAGATGAAATACATTATGATGAACTTCACAGGGTGATTAATGTGCAAGGTGATGCAAGGTGATGAGCTTGCTCCTTTCCAATAAATATTGAGGGTCTTATTCTGGTGACATGATGATCAATGGTTGGCTGCCGTTTGACAAATACAAATAATATCGCTCTTATCCATAGTAATCTCATAATGTACAGTGCATTCAGAATGTATTCAGACCCCTTCCCTTTTTCCACATTTTGTTACGTTACAGCATTACTCTACAATGTATTAAATTACTTTTTTTCGTCATCAATCTACACACAATACCCCATAATGACAAAGCGAAAACAGGTTTTTAGACATTCTTGCAAATGTATTACAAATAATAAACAGATATATGTATTTACATAAGTATTCACACCCTTTGCTATGAGACTCGAAATTGATCTCAGGTGCATCCTGTTTCCAATGATCATCCTTGAGATGTTTCTACAACTTGATTGGAGTCCACGTGTGGTAAATTAAATTGATTGGACATGATTTGGAAAGGCACACACCTGTCTATATAAGGTCCCACAGTTGACAGTGCATGTCAGAGCAAAAACCAAGCCATGAGGTCGAAGGAATTGTCCGTAGAGCTCCGAGACAGGATTGTGTCAAGGCACAGATCTGGGGAAGGGTACCAAAACATTTCTGTAGCATTGAAGGTCCCCAAGAACACAGTGGCCTCCATCATTCTTAAGTGGAAGAAGTTTGGAACCACCAAAACTCTTCCTAGAGCTGACCGCCCGGCCAAACTCAGCAATCGGGGGAGGTGGGCCTTGGTCAGGGACATGACCAAGAACCCGATGGTCACTCTGACAGAGCTCCAGAGTTCCTCTATGGAGATGGGAGAACCTTCCAGATGGACAACCATCTCTGCAGCACTCCAACAATCAGGCCTTTATGGTAGATTGGCCATACGGAAGCCGCTCCTCAGTAAAAGGCACATGACAGCCTGCTTGGAGTTTGCCAAAAGGCACCTAAAGGAATCTCAGACCATGAGAAACAAGATTCTCTGGTCTGATGAAACCAAGATTGAACTCTTTGGCCTGAATGCCAAGCGTCATGTCTGGAGGAAACCTGACACCATCCCTATGGTGAAGCATGGTGGTGGCAGCATCATGCTGTGGGGTTGTTTTTCAGTGGCAGGGACTGGGAGACCAGTCAGGATCGAGGGAAAGATGAATGGAGCAAAGTACAGAGAGGTCCTTGATGAAAACCTGCTCCAGAGCACTAAGGACCTCAGACTGGGGTGAAGGTTCACCTTCCAACAGGACAACGACCCTAAGCACACAGCCAAGACAACACAGGAGTGCCTTCAGGACAAGTCTTTGAATGTTCTTGAGTGGCCGAACCAGAGCCCGGACTTGAACCCGATCTAACATCTCTGGAGAGACCTGAAAATAGCTGTGCAGCGACGCTCCCCATCCAACCTGACAGAGCTTGAGAGGATCTGCAGAGAAGAATGAGAGAAACTGCCCAAATATTGGTGTGCCAAGCTTGTAGTGTCATACCCAAGAAGATTCCAGGCTTTGCTTCAACAAAGTACTGAGTAAAGGGTCTGAATACATACGTAAATGTGATATTTCAGTTTTTTATTTTTAATACATTTGCAAAAATGTCTAAAAACCAGTTTTTGCTTTTTCATTATGGGGTATTGTGTGTAGATTGATGAGGGGGAAAAACTATTTAATCCATTTTAGAATAAGGCTGTAACGTAACAAAATGTGGAAAAAGTCAAGGGGTCTGAAAACTTTCCAAATGCACTGTAGGTAGACTACCCGCACTGTATCTGCGAGCTGTTGGTTAAACCGTATGTGCCAAGACAAGAGTGGGCACATTTGCTATATAACGCAACAGTGTTTGTGACAAAACCATCAGTAGAGTTGAAAATGCGATGGAAACCCATTTAACCTGTATTTTTCATTCAGTAGATGGGAATTTAATGGAAAAAGTCATTTATTTGCACTACATCATCGCGCACAGACTTTTACCCGCAAAAGGTCAGTTTGATGGAAATACATCTCTGGTGGAAAATGGGTATATTGTTTTATTCCGATTTTTGAATATTCGCATAAAAATCTGTCGTAAATTGGATGGAAACCCAGCTACTGTGATTGTTTACAATCAAAATAGTCAAAAAGAAACAAAAATAGCTTCTTATCAAGAGCAATTTCTCAAGCAATAATTTTGCTAGGACTGTCTGGGAGTGGTCTGAGTTGGGAGGGGAAAAACTGAAAACTAGCTGTTATTGGCAGATAGGTTTGGAACTCTCTTTCTTATTGGTCTATTATTAACTAATTTACAGCCTATTGACGTCACCAGGCAGGCCAAAACTCCATCCCACCAAAACAGGGCTGAAAGTTCAGACAGTCTTTTCAAACAGCTCTTACACTAAAAGAGCATTATCATAATTTTCACAGTATTATTCCAACTTCATAGTTTGGAAATATATATCAATACACAGAAGTCTATACACAGAAGCCTACTTTTAACAATTGCCACTGAAAATGTTACTAAAACACATTTACTAGAGGAATAGTGCAGATGCAAAGTTTGGTAACTGAATGATCTCCCTCAGTTTTTGATTTGACCACATTTTCCAAAAACTCAAAACTGATTCAAAGATGTCTGCAGAAAGAATGGGGTGTTAGCTATGATATGGCACCTTGAGTTTGAAAAAATCTACACTGAACAAAAATAGAAACTCAACATGCAACAATTTCAAAGATTTTACTGAATTAGAGTTCATAAAAGGAAATCAGTCAATTGAAATAAATTCATTAGGCTCTAATCCAATGTTTCCCAACCCTGGTCCTCCAGTACCCCCAACAGTACACATCTTTATTGTAACCCTGAACTAGCACACCTGATTCAACTTTTCAACTAATCATCAAGCCCTCAATGAGTTGAATAAGGTGTGTTTGTCAAGGGCTACAACGAAACTTTGTACTGGAGGACCAGGGTTGGGAAACACTGCTCTAATCTATGGATTTCACATGACTGGGAATACAGATATGCATCTGTTGGTCACAGATACCTTAAAAAAAAAGGTTGGGGCTTGGATCAGAAAACCAGTCAGGTATCTAGTGTGACCACCATTTGCCTCATGCAGTGCGACACATCTCCTTCGCATAGAGTTAATCAGGCTGTTGATTGTGGCCTGTGGAATGTTGTCCTCTCCTTTTCAATGGCTGTGCGAAGTTGCTCGATATCGGCGGGAACTGGAACACGCTGTCATACACGTTGATCCAGAGCATGCCAAAAATGCTCAATGGGTGACATGTCTGGTGAGTATGCAGGGACATTTTCAGCTTCCAGGAATTGTGTACAGATCCTTGCGACATGGGGCCGTGCATTATCATGCTGAAACATGAGGTGATGGCGGCGGATGAATGGCACGACAATGGGCCTCAGGATCTCGTCATGGTATCTCTGTGCATTAAAATTGCCGTCGATAAAATGCAATTGTGTTTGTTGTCCGTAGCGTATGCTTGCCCGTACCATAACCCTACCGCCACCATGGGGAACTCTGTTCACAACGTTGACATCAGCAAACCGCTCGCCCACGTAACGCCATATGGCTGTCTGCCATCTGCCCGGTACAGCTGAACCTGGGATTCATCCGTGAAGAGCACACTTCTCCAGTGTGCCAGTGGCCATCGAAGGTGAGCATTTGCCCACTGAAGTTGGATACGACACCGAACTGCAGTCAGGTCAAGACCCTGGTGAGGACAATGAGCACACAGATGAGCTTCCCTGAGACGGTTTCTGACAGTTTGTGCAGAAATTCTTCAGTTGTGCAAACCCACAGTTTCATCAGCTGTCCTGGTGGCTGGTCTCAGACAATCCCACAGGTGAAGAAGCCAGATGTGGAAGTCCTGGGCTGGCATGGTTGCATGTGGTCTGCGGTTGTGAGGCCGGCTGGACGTACTGCCAAATTCTCTAAAACGACGTTAGTGTCGGCTTATGGTAGAGAAATTAACATTCAATTCTCTGGCAACAGCTCTGGTGGGCATTCCTGCAGTCAGCATGCCAAATTCACGCTCCCTCAAAACTTGAGACATCTGTGGCATTGTGTTGTGTGACAAAACTGCACATTTATGATCATGCTGTTTAATCAACTTCTTGATATGCCACACCTGTCAGGTGGATGGATTATCTTGGCAAAGGAGAAATGCTCACTAACAGGGATGTAAACAAATTTGTGCACAAAATTTGAGAGAAATACGATTTTCTGGGATCTTTTATTTCAGCTCATGAAACATTGGACCAACACTTTACATGTTACGTTTATATTTTTGTTCTGTATATTTTGGTTAGTAAGTGAAGTGGAAATCACATCATGGGTCCTTGATCTGGACTATACAGAAATGCAATTATGAATGTAATTCTATTAATGGTGATACATCCTGAATAAGTAGAAAAATGTAATATCCTCCTTTGCATGTTTGGGTATTATTCTACACACTGGCTATTATTCTACACACTGGCTATTATTGGTACAGACCCGACCAAATCTGTACCAATCATAGACGTCTATGTTTCACAAGTTTGGACATCGTACAGCACAGTAGATTACAGTACAGTAAAGAAAAGTAGAGTAAAGTATAGTTTAGTAAAGTAGAGCACAGTACAGTACAGTAAAGCATAGTACAGTACAGTAAATAAAAGTACAGTACAATAGAGTCCAGTCCATTTTAATGTACTCTACTGTACTGTACTGTGCTGTACTGTACTGTACTGCAACTGCAACTGCGACTGTGGCAACTACTACTATGATTTTCCATTGTGGCCAATTCAATTGCAGTCATTATGTTACAGATTTTCCAGTCACTCTGTTACAAATTTGGTAACAGTGATGCGTTTTAATCACTTAATAATTCATAAATACTATAACTAATTGTTAGGTCTACCTTTACTTGTTACTTCTGTGAACTTTCATATCCCCCTCCTCATGAGGGAGAGAAATTAGAAAATATCTTAAAGATATGTGGGTTTTTGATAACAGAATGACAAGCCACTTGCCAATATTTCTAAACTTACAGTCAAATCGTTTCTGTAAAAGTAAATATAAGTGTTGATATTAGTTGGCAGGGGTCTTTACTTCAACATTATTGTGTTTTAATGTATTTCTGATACCTTTTAAGACTTTTTCTGGTAGATGTTTTCTAAGACCCCTTTTCCATCTGTTTATCCAGAAATTAAAGCCTTTACTTATGCCACATTGTATGGATGGAAAATGATTGAAAAACCAATCTATGCCTTCATGTCCCAAAAATATAGACTCTTAGCTTTCATTTGACACCAAATTTCATATGCTAACATCAAAGCGGTGAACCGATCCTGCAGGTTCATGCTCTACAACATTCGCAGAGTACGACCCTACCTTACACAGAGAGCGGCACAGGTCCTAATCCAGGCACTTGTCATCTCCCGTCTGGATTACTGCAACTCGCTGTTGGCTGGGCTCCCTGCCTGTGCCATTAAACCCCTACAACTTATCCAGAACGCTGCAGCCCGTCTGGTGTTCAACCTTCCCAAGTTCTCTCATGTCACCCCGCTCCTCCGCACACTCCACTGGCTTCCAGTTGAAGCTCGCATCTACTACAAAACCATGGTGCTTGCCTACGGAGCTGTGAGGGGAACGGCACCTCCTTACCTTCAGGCTCTGATCAGACCCTACACCCAAACGAGGGCACAACGTTCATCCACCTCTGGCCTGCTAGCCCCCCTACCTCTAAAGAAGCACAGTTCCCGCTCAGCCTAGTCAAAACTATTCGCTGCTCTGGCACCCCAATTGGTGGAACAAGCTCCCCCACGACGCCAGGACAGCGGAGTCACTGACCACCTTCCGGAGACACTTGAAACCCTACCTCTTTAAGGAATACCTGGAATAGTATAAAAGTAATCCTTCTCCCCCACACCCCCCATTAAAAATAAATAAATAGGGTGGTTGTCCCACTGGCTATCATAAGTTGAATGCACCAATTTGTAAGTCGCTCTGGATAAGAGCGTCTGCTAAATTGAACGCAACAGCAGTTATCAGTGTTCACGTCTGATCTGCCAGCCACTAAATGTCAAATCAGGCTAAAGTCGTGCTTCAAATGGCCCCGCCCGTTTTTTGGGCGATTTCAGTCAGGTTGAAAATCGCCCAGAAGTCTCTCATAGCCTGTCATGTAAAATCTATTTTTTTCACATTTCAAAGCTTTCAATACATTCTCTATGGGTGTCTGTGGGCTTGCACTTACGCGCTTTCGTCATACGTGACGTAACGTTGAACGTAACTAAGACAATGGCGGCTAGCAGCGTCTCTGTTGTGACCTGCAGTGTGGCGTTATTTTATGTTTTTAATTTGTAGACTTAGTTTACAAACATTCTGCAAACATTCTGCTTTGGACTGATCTTCGGTTTTGGACTGATCTTGTTGATCGTGTACATACCCGCTACGAACGGACTAAATAATGAAAACGCTGCTGGCAGCGGAATCCCAATACAGCTGGGAGACTTGGCTGGATGACAGAGTCCCGGACAGAGAGGTGGAGCCGGCCGGCTTCACCCTGGTCAGAGCGGACCGCGATCCTGGTAAGAGAGCGACTCTGTACCCCGACATTGAACTGCTTTCTGTGTCATTGAACCTTACTATTGTTGATAAAACAAGTTTACTGGAGAACGGAGACCAAGTAGAGACTTTTGGACAAGGTGGATAATTGTATAATATAACGCAGTTTATTCAGAGGTAAAGATATCTGGAATCGCGTGCACGGACCCGTTCGTCAAACTCGTAGGGAGTTTATCAGAAGAGCCCCTAAACATTGTGTGCTGACATTTTATACAATAAAATGAAGTAGGTTGAATCTAGTAGTTCTGATCTTCTGATTGGTCCTGATGAGTTGGGCGAGGTCACCTCCAGGCTAGTGTCACTGTTGCATTGGCTCTGAGTCGGGTTCTCTGTCTTCAGATGTTCAGCCTAAGAGAAGAGGATTTGTGTGTGTGTGTGTGTGTGTGTTTGTTATCAGTGTGTGTGTGTGTGTGTGTGTGTGTGTGTTTGTTATCAGTGATGATGTGTGTGTGTGTGTGTGTGTGTTTATCAGTGATGATGATGTGTGTGTGTGTGTGTGTGTGTGTGTGTGTGTGTGGGTGTGTGTGTGTGTGTCCTCAGGGCAAGAACTCGTGAGTTGGAAGAACTGAGAGACCTATGGCGTGGGTGTTATCCTTAGCCACCTGCTGACAAGGCTGACAAGATAGGACTCTTGTTCATTGTATTGAATACAAAGGCCCAACACAAAATGGGTCATGCACAAGATTTTAGTCAGACCAAGCTATAACATTATATATTTACTACGACAGTACATTCAACCAAAAGCTAATATAACAAAGGCATCAGAGATTATTTATAATCTGTCACAGAAACTGGAATCCATCTCCCCAGATCAGTCAATAAATGCTTCTGGTATTGACTTATATGCTGCCCCTGTCTTCATGTTGTTGCTGGACATATCTTTTTTAAAATGTGTGTAGGTCACCTAAATCATTGTAAATGTAATGTAATAAACTTCAAATGTTGGTGCTCATTGGTCCTTTTACATGGAGATGACCAGAATACTGCAACTGCAATACTATTTACATACTTTGAATGTATGTCTACAAGGCCCTTTCCTTATGATACCATTGGTTTTGTCTTGCAACATCAAAGTTCAAACAGACAGAGCCACCACCAGTTGGCACACCCATTCATAAGCAAATGTATCAATACACTCATCCTATTTGAGGAAGTGTCATACTTCTTTGTGGTTTCCTTGATAGTTAGAAGTATATTCTCACTTGTGCATCTGTGACTTCCTGCCTGCATACATATAATTCTGTTTACAGGAAGGAGGGGGCCACGAGTTGTACTGCTTTCCCTGGGTTCAGACTGAACAGCAGTTAGAAGAATCCCCTACCCAACCCATTCCAGCTGAGAGCCCCTTTTTTTTCCCCCTGACACGACCCCGTCCCCCACAGCCCCCCGTCATGCCCGTCCTCCCTGAAGAAGAAGAGGATTCCCCTGAGGAGCTCGACAGTTCCTCCAGCTCACCCAGCACAGTGAGTACCTATCCATTACACTAAACCTTCACTCTAAAGCTGTGGTATGTTTCACTCAGAGCTATACATGGCACTAGCTCATCAATACTGAACCTAGAACCTAAGGTTCAGTATTGACAAGCTATACTGATTTGCAATGAATATGTTAGCAACAATAGCATATGAACAATATGAGCATTAGGCTTAGATCATATCTATGCTCATAGTGTTGCTCACATATTCATTGCTAATACATGTTAATGTGTTATGGATGTGTGTATCTTTAGTAACAATGAATAGAAATCCCTTCACCGTCCCTCACCAGACTTTACTTACTTCATGATGTGAATTTGGGATTCCTGTGCTTTATGGTCTGCTTTCCAAAAATGGTGGCTTCCCCACTTCTATTTTTGAATCAGGAACAAAGCTTCACTCAGCAGTGAAAATATGTAATTAATCCCAGCAAAATCATGAGCAGGATGTTCTTTCCTCTTCTGTCCAGCTCACTAACTTTTTTTCTTCAGTCCCTCTTATTACCCAGTTTTTTTGTGTTGATGCGGTAATTTGCACTGCACTGGTGGTCAAGAGAGGTTAGCACAGTGTGTCCAGAACACTCCAGATCTTGGCTCTACTCTAAAGACTGAACTGTCTCTCGTTGTTTTGTTCTGTCATCTGTTCAGATCCTGTGGCTCCCCACCCTAATATTTATTGAGTTGAGTAGACAATACAGATCTGTGGATAGCTTGGATGTTTTATGAGTCTCTGAATGTGGCCTTGCCCGCAGTCCTGTATGTCTCCCAGAAAACATGCTATTGAAACTCTCTTAGTCTTTGAGACAAAAAGTAGAGGCTTTCTGAAAGCTGTCTGTTTACAGTCAGGAGCTATATACGGCTGTTTGATTTACACTGTAGAGACACAACAGATTTGTGTTGAGCGGATGGCTGCCTCACCAAAACCTCTGAGTTACTCCTCCTAGGAGTATACTGTCATCCGTCCCAGTCAGTCATTAACACAGCCTAGATAAGACTTCTCTGAGGAATGCAATGAGCCTCTGTAATCTAACCTGGGGGTATGGCAACCGTATAAAATTATCCTCCTTTATTAAACAATAGCCCTGGCCTTTCAGCAGTTTTAGACTGTTATAGGGATATAATTTATTAGCATTCTCTTCCAGGACAAAGGTCTCAGTGAAGCTCTCAGTGAAGTATCATTTAATGTCTCACTGTTTATTTGCATACTTTTATCTGAGGATAGAACTAGGATACTAGGATATAAATCTAAAATGAAAGAGGTATATAAGCCTGACCTTTAATGTTGGAAATATACTTAATATGGTTGACTTAGTTACAGATCACATGGTTCAAGTGAGTGTTCATTCTGTCCTTCCACTCTCCTGGGATGCTGAGGTCCGGTGAGTTCAGGATGTGTTTAATCCAGAGGGACGTTGTCTAGAGTTTCTGATGTTCAGGGGTTCAGGTTGTTGACATTGTGCTGCTGAGCTAGAAATGCTGCTGCTGGAAACCAGGGACCACCTGCTAGTCAACAGAGCTAAGTGTCTCACTGAAATACCCACCGATAACAGAGGACCACAAGTTTATTTTATTTTCCCCTTAAAAGTGCTTTGAAATGGTTATGCCTTGAAGTTGAAGTGTCCTTTTCCCCCTGCGGATTCCACCACGTTCCCCATACAGTCCCAGTCATGGTCAACATCAGGGAGGGCCTAGAGAGACTTTAAGGTGTCTGTTTGGCTCTGTCTTCACATTAATATCAACATTAATAGCTTAAGAAAACAGCAAATCTTCAGTTTGGGGAACCAAGTCACCAAACATCTCTGTGAAAGTGTATACACAAGATGTTATAGATGTGTACATAAGCAGGAAGGTTAAAGGGTAGAGAATGAGAAAGTTTTGCTGCCTTTGCAGTGACACAAGCCATTTGGTGACATGTTTACTCAAATATCTCTGTAATCTTTGTTTTGCATGCTTTTATGTTTCGAATGACTTAAATGAAATTGTCCCCCAATTTACGTAATTGCAATAACAATATCCATATCTATGAATTTGCCTTCTATTTGAGAGACAATATCTGATTTTTCAGGTGTCAGGATCCCATTTCTGTTATCCAGGTCCCTCAAAAGTCCACTCAAAACCTTTTTCATGCGGACTAGTTCTGGTCTTGCTGCACAACAAAAGTTACACCTCTCCTAACTTATTTGAAACCTTTTGTTTCTCACATATCTTTCTCTCTAGTATACACCAGTTGAAAGTAGAGCAGTTACCATGGCCATGCCTGCTCCCACCATTGTCTTCCCAAAGCAAGCGTCCGTAACCGTGTTCCAAGCAGACGGTCGCCCTCTGGAACAGACCAGGTACATGTGTTATTTCATCCTCAGAACAGGACTGTTCATGTCAAAAAAGCTTGAGAGCAATCCACCTCTTGAAAAATGAGCCACTTTATCCAAACCAGCATCAAGATATTTCTAGAAAATAAAATCGATCCTCCTTCAAGTGTTTAGAGTAGCTAAATGTAAATAAAGACTGCGTTGTAAGAAAATGGCGTCTGTTAATTTTAAACGTTTCTCTTTCCCAGACCACACAGTCCCAGACCTTGCTTGTCCCGAAACTCCCTGGGAGGACCCATCACTACAGTCGGTGGGTACAGTCAAGTACTTAAAGGCTAAATATAGCCTCATGTTAACAACACTTACATAAGTCCATTGTTCAAAATGTGTGTTCCATTGTGATTTTTTTCAGCATAATATTGTATGGCTAATTTAATTCCATCTATTGAAATGTCTAAGTTTGGTCATCAGTGTCTGACAGCATAGAGAACAGGGGCCCTTTGTCCTTAGAAAAAGCAGAGCCAAAGCTCTCAGTGCCTGGATGCCTCTGCTTTGATTACTATTGATGTTGGCTTGTTGCTCTGTGCTGAGCTCAGAGAGAAGACTATTGGTTGTTGCCATTTGTCTCTTATTGTCTCTGTTTGTGTTTTAATTACGACTTGTGCGTGTGTACATGTGTATCCTTCTCAGACAGCACAGGCAATGTGATAGACCTGGTGAAAGACCGTCTGCCTGAGCTGCAGCTCTCTGAGGAGGACCGTCAGAAGAACCTGGAGCTACTGCAGGAGGCCAAGAAAGTCAGTGACCGCTTCCTGAGCCGCAGGGGCCGAAAGTCCACCTGCAGCCTCTCTGAATCCCCCACAGGTGAGAGACAGTCACTGGTTTACAGACTGGTATACAAGTGAAACAGGGAAATATACAAGTACTTTACGGTAAGTCTTACTTAAGACAGAGACAGACAGATGATACAAAATATGACACATTAATAAGCTCTTCAGCTTAAAACCACTATTTACACAGTAGAGATTTAATCAGCTGGTGAAATGTAAATTTGGTTTAACAATATTTTTATTATTTTAACACTGGTTATGAAATACAATGAGCAGCCAACAAACCCACAAGTCTGCTAGCTGAATTGCGTGAGTGAGTCATTGTAATTGCTGTATTTTTCTATCTTGGCTTCCGGAGTTATCTGAACATCACGTACGTGCCCTCATGCCTTCGTCTTGCAGCATTCTGAATGCATGCCAGATAATTCCAGTCTTCCCTCACGTAACAGACTACAGTAGCAGATATCAAATGAAGTCCCAATAACTATAGTTTTTATATTGCGTTGTTATCTGGAAAGCGATGCTGAAGCAGTATACTGTACTTTCATTGTCCAAGCATAAAACAAATGTGTGTGTTTTGTCCACAGGTCTCTCTCCCAACCACACACCATCTTCCTCACCTGTACCGTCCAGAAGCACCTCTCTTATCACAGCCCCTCAAATAGGTACGTTCATCTTTCTGTCTGTGAGATAATATTGACTCTCTTCACTGGAGAGCATGAAAAGCCCTGCATAAAAAATATATACAAATATTATAAAACCTTTTTCTTTCAGCTGTAGCCACAGAGGTGAACTATGCCCCCTCGTCGCCTGTCAGCCTGGTAAGACCACTATGCATTATATTTTTCTGATGCACTCCATAATAGTGTTTTAACAGTATGTTGATGTGTGTTGTTTTGTGTTCCTCTCTGGCAGCGATTGGAGGTTCTGTCTGAGAGGGAGCAGGCTGATACTAGTACACTGGAGCATGAGGTCAGCATAGCACTCTCACCACCACTCTCATTCTCAAGTGGCACCCTGGAACAGTTAGTCAGACATGGAAATGCATTACATAGTTAGTAAAACCCTCATGAGTTTACACTCCAGAATAGCTATGCTCATAGCTATGTTGGATACAATAATTCATTTACGGTAGAACATTGTAAATGTTGACATTCTTGCGCCCCCTCTCCAATAAAATCTGATTAGTTTCTCCTGAATTGACAGTGTTTAAAGAATAGTGATATTATGTTACTGCTGTTCTTAGAGCACCAGGAGGCTGGTGGACTGGAAGCCCAATGAGAAGCGTAAGGTGTCCTCAGGCACCCTGGCTCCCCGCTACTCTGGTCCCCCACCCCCCAGGGAGCCCAGTGGGGGCCAGAAGGAGAACTGTGACCCCCGGGTAACAGCTAAGAATTGCTTAGCACCAGTACTAGTCAATAAGCCAGAGGAGGGTCTGGTCCGAGCCCCTAACCAGGCCCCTGCTACTGGGGTGGCCAAGCCTGTCCCTCGGCCCCCCACTCAGCAGGCCCCCTGCACGGCAGAGATCAAGACCATCGGGGCCTTTCCTCCCCTCATGAGAGCTGTCTCCTGGGACACTGTTGGAACCCTCAACTCCAGGAATGGGGCTCCAAGTCTCCCCCCTACAAACGAGGAAACCATCTCCTTTCAAGACAAGACCCAGGATGCCTTGCTCAAGTCCTCTGGGTACAAGGACTTCCCTGTACAGCCTGTCAACGTGCAGAAACTGTCTAAAATAAGAGAGGTACGATGGGAGCCTTTTAACTACTGGGGCTCAACCCTTGAGTTTCACCTGATAGCATTAATGTGACATTTACTGCATGTTTTGGGGATTTAAGAGCCTTTTGTTTTGTTCTTGTAATGTTTTGTTCTTGTAAACGTGTTTTTATGACCTATTACGACATGAAAGCTTCTGCAAGTTCTTAAACATCCTAATTTGCACTGTTCTTCTGTATACAGGAGCACAAGCTGATGCGGAACCAAAGCATTGTGGGGTCAAAGTTGGCAGACTTGAGTGAAACAGCTGAACAGGAAAGAGGTACTGTGTTATCCCTGTGTCTGACCTGGAGAGGAGACAGTGCTGTGTGTAGTGCTGTGTAACAGTAGAGAGGATAGTAGACTTTTATCTAGTAAGGGGGAAAGGAGTCAAGGATCCCAGCTACGTCACAGGATGCTAGTCCTTACTGACCCCAAAAGATTTTCCTTAGAACTGAGGGTATGTTCTGTTCTAAATTTGGCACAGAGCTTTACTTTATTGGCAACCTGAACTGTTATTTGAAGTTTGCACCAGCAGATGGTGTTAGTGTTAACTAAAACATGAGAGCACCCAGTCAGCTAAAATTGGTTTGCAAAAACTTTGAAAGGACATCATTGAAATAGTTTGTGATCCAAGAAAATTGCAGTACAATGTTGTTCAGAAGTACGTCGATTATCAAATGATAATGTGGTCCTCTGTAGCTCAGCTGGTAGAGCACGGCGCTTGTAACGCCAGGGTAGTGGGTTCGATCCCCGGGACCACCCATATACAAAAATTTATTTACGCATGACTGTAAGTCGCTTTGGATAAAAGCGTCTGCTAAATGGCATATTATTATTATTATTATTATTATAATCTGATCATTTATTAGTTTGATCATAAATTAGGTTTTCCCTGATAGAGACCAGATAGCCATGTTGTAACTAACTAATGGTCTTCTGTGTGTGTGCGTGTGTGGCCAGGTCCCTCTCTTTTGCCCCCTGCAGGGTCTCCTACTGATGAGGAGGCTAAAGAGAAGTCAGACGCCATGCCCAACATCTCAGACATCATGCTGAGGAAACTCAAACTGCACAGAGGGCTACCAGGCTGGTGGGTATCACAATATTTAGACTGACAGGGAATGACCTTTGACAAAGACACTTTTCCAGAATATATCTCTTATATATCTGTGAGCATATATTTTTGTATTTTCTACTTACATACTGAACCTATATTTCCTCTCTGATTCTATTGCAGTGCACCTCCACTCACAGAAAAAGAAGTTGAGGTTAGTATTTACTCTGGATAGTGTATTATGCAGAGTAACACAGTTTTATAGTGCATGTTCTCCCCATGTCTGTCTGTGTCTAGCCTCATGAATGTAATGTACAGGAAGCCCCTAGTCTCTACCCATGATTGAGACTAATGGGAGCCTTAATGATTTCCTGTCTCTAAGGAGAAAATGCAAACATGGCTGTGTTTGAGTGCAGAGAACTGGGCCTAGGCTATAGCCCCGCCTGCCCAGCCGCCTGTCGCTCCCAGGGGGATACATGTTGTGCACTAGGACAGTCGAGGTCACCGATTTCCTCTCAACACTTGCCTCAGTATCTGAGACGATGTTTGGAATGCTGCAGCAGAGACCCTTTGATCATGACATCATGGCACCAGGAGTTCATCTGTCAGCATCGCTGCACGTTATAGGCTCATCTCAGGCCTGGTAGCAAGCAGCACTGTCAACACACTGGCTAGTTGGTACTCTATATGGTAGCTGGGTAGCCCACTGGGGTAGTTGTGCTTTATATTGCCACATACATTGCTATCATAACAGTTGTTATGTTAACATGTTATCAAGGATGTTCAGTGTTACATGTGTTTATTCAGTCCCATACTGTATTAATGTTTTCTTGGGCAGCACATTCATTGACCTGACCCCTCTAGTTTTCAGACACCTTGACTTTTTCCACATTTAGCTATGTTACAGCCTTATTCTAAAATGAATTAAATTGTTTATTTTTCTCATCAATCTACACACAATACCCCATAATGACAAAGCAAAAACAGTTTTTTTGAAATTTTTGCAAAGTTATTAAAAAAAAACGGAAATATCACTTTTACATAAGTATTCAGACCCTTTACTCAGTACTTTGTTAAAACACATTTGGCAGTGATTACAGCCTCAAGTCTTCTTGGGTATGACGCTACAAGCTTGTCACACATGTATTTGGGCAGTTTCTCCCATTCTTCTCTGCAGATCCTCTCAAGCTCTGTCAGGTTGGATGGGGAGCGTCGCTACACAGCTATTTTCATGTCTCTCCAGAGATGTTCGATTGGGTTCAAGTCCGGGCTCTGGCTCGGCCACTCAAGGACATTCAGAGACTTGTCCCAAAGTCACTCCTGCGTTGTCTTGGCTGTGTGCATAGGGTCGTTGTCCTTTTGTAAGGTGAACCTTTGCCCCAATCAGAGGTTCTGAGCACTCTGGAGCAGGTTTTCACAAGGATCTCTCTGTACTTTGCTCTGTTCATCTTTCCCTCGATCCTGACTAGTCTCCCAGCCTTTTGGCCAGCTCTAGGAAGAGTCTTGGTGGTTCCAAACTTCTTCCATTTAAGAATGATGGAGGCCACTGTGTTCTTGGGGACCTTCAATGCTGCAGACAATTTTTAGTACCCGTCCCCAGATCTGTGTCTCGACACAATCCTGTCTCGGAGCTCTACGGACAATTCCTTCGACCTCATGGCTTGGTTTTTACTCTGACATGCACTGTCAACTGTGGGACCTTATATAGACAGGTGTGTGCCTTTCCAAATCATGTCCAATCAATTGAATTTACCACAGGTAGACTCCAATCAACTTGTAGAAACATCTCAAGGATGATCAATGGAAACAGGATGCACCTGAGCTCAATTCCGAGTCTCATAGCAAAGGGTCTGAATATTTATATGTAAATAAGGTATTTAAGTTTTTTTATTTTTTATACATTTAATAAACTTGTTTTTGCTTTGTCGTTATGGGGTATTGTGTGTAGATTGATTAGCTTTTTTATTTGTTTAATCCATTTTAGAATAAGGCTGTAACGTAACAAAATGTGGAAAAAGGGAAGGGGTCTGAATACTTTACGAATGCACTACACTTTGTGTGGCGGTCCAGTGAGTTGGTGTGTCTCAGTCCTTAATAATGGTATCTAATGTGTCCCTGGTGACTGTTTAATGAACATTAAACACAGTCATATCCTTCCCACAGAACGCGTTTGTTCAACTGTCGCTTGCATTCCGGAACGACAACTACACTCTGGAGACGCGGCTCAAACAGGCGGAGCGGGAGCGGACCCTGACCGAGGAAAACACAGAGAAGGAACTGGAAGAATTCAAAGGCTCTCTGAAGGTCAGCCTTTAGTAGGCCATGATAACACAGGAGATTAAATGAGTTGTGATCCACTTTCACTTATCAAGGCCCTGTGTTTTGTTGTTGTTGTCTCCTCAGTGCACGGCACCACAATGGAGCAACATGGATCAGCGGGAATCCTACCAGAGCCTCATAGAGACAGTAGCAGTACTGCACCGTCTGGCCACCAGGCTCTCCAGCAGGGCTGAGATGGTTGGAGCAGTGAGACAGGTACTGGAACGCAGGCATAGGATAGGATAGGATGGGCCATTCACGAGGTACCCTAATGATTTGCCTATAGAGAGAGGAAACCCCTGAATGAGAGAAGAAAACAATGAGTGAAAGTGAAAACTTTTCCATGCTCCACTGTCATGAGAAAAACACTGCCTTCTTTGGGATGTTCAGGGGGCATTGGAATGTTTGTGAAGGATTTAGCCCGATGTTATGCTTTCCCTCAGGTTATCGTTCACGCCAAAGCCAACTCCAATAAATGATTAGGGAAGGACTCAGGACTATGTCCGTTGTTAGACGTCACACAAGTCCCTTGTGATTTATAGCCTAACAACACATTGCTGCTGTACGAGACCTGACCCCAGACCTGACATGATGATGGCTTTCCAAAGTGTTGGAGTCCCTCTCAAAATTCTATTCTCTCTCTCTCTCTCTGCTGTGACTGTATGGTTAACTATCCTGCCCATAGACAGTAATGACCCTGTTGTCGCTGTGTTATCTAGAACCTAAAAGGATTCTTCGTCTGTCCCCATAGGAGAACCCTTTAAAGAACAATTTTTGGTTCCAGGTAGAACCCTTTTGGGTTCCAAGTAAAACCCTTTCCACAGAGGGTTCTACGTGGAACCCAAAAGGGTTCTCCTATGGGGACAGCCAAAGAACCCTTTTGAAACCCTGTGTGTGACAGGAGAAACGCATGAACAAGGCCACAGAGGTGATGATGCAGTACGTGGAGAATCTGAAGAGGACCTATGAGAAGGACCATGCTGAGCTGATGGAGTTCAAGAAGCTGGCCAACCAGAACTCCAGTCGCTGCTATGGAGGATCCATAGACACTGGAGGTACACCTGCACAAACCCTTTATCTCCAGTGCATGATAGGCGAGTTGTTGCAAAATGTTGATTGACTTAAACTGCATTCTCCTGTGTGCTTTGGTTAGATGATGGAGTTCCACGGCCATCCAGATCCATGTCGCTGACCCTGGGAAAGGTTGGTGCTGGAATGTTGAACAGAGTGTTTCCAGTGGGTTTATTGTTGAGAGAATGCACTGGATTTGACTGGTTATAGCAGGGTGACAGTTCTCAATGTGATAGACCATACAGTAAGGATAATGCCCCCAACTGAAACTCTCCCTCTCTTTTCTTCTACCCTCTTTCTCTCACCCTCTCTCTCTCCCTTCCAATTGTTCCTTATTAGGCTTTGCCTAGACGGAGGGTCAGTGTTGCGGTGGTCCCCAAATTTAACCTCCTGAACATCCCTGGTCAGACCCCGGTCATGGCAGGTCCTGGCCCCAGCGTTGCCATGGGACCCAGCCACCAACCCACCATGGGCCAAGCACTTCCTGTCCTGGTATGTTTTCTACCCAATCATAGCCTTCTCAGCCTGTCAACCTGACCACATGATTAAGTGGTAATATCCCGTCTATTTAAATGTATCAGTCTGCTCTGTCTACATGCATGTTGTTTGTTCTTGTTAATTACAGTGTGAAGCCAACAGTATGAAAAGCATCTTTCCCACTCAGCCTACACAGCCAGCTATAGCTGAGAGGTATGTTCCTCCATCCTCTATCATAATGTGCACCCAATGCATACCCACGGATATACTGTACATACTGTACTCAGCACAATCTATCTGCTTGCATGTACAGTGGCTTGCAAAAGTATTCACCCCACTTAGAATTTTTCCTATTTTGTTGCATTACAACCTGGAATTAAAATTGATTTTTTGGGGGGTTTGTATCATTTGATTTACACAACATGCCTACCACTTTGAAGATACAAAATATTTTTTATTGTGAAACAAACAAGAAATAAGACAAAAAAACTGAACTTGAGCATGCATTACTATTCACATACTATTTGTTGAGTCAGGGTGTGTATTTTCTCTGTTGTGTTTGGCTATGTTGATTGTCTATGTTAGATTCTAGTATGTCTAGATCTATGTTGGCCTGTGTGGTTCCCAATCAGAGGCAGCTGTCGCTCGTTGTCTCTGATTGGGGACCATACTTTAGGCAGCCTTTTGGCACCTGTTAGTTGTGGGATCTTGTTCCGTGTAAGGTATGTTGTGTGTATGCTACCTTGGACTTCACGTTTCGTTTGTTGTTTTGTCGTGGTGTTTATTCGTTAAATAAACATGTATGCTTATCACGCTGCGCCTTGGTCCTTCTCGTTCGTAAACGATCATGACAAATCTTTAAGTCATACCACAGATTCTCAATTGGATTGAGGTCTGGGCTTTGACTAGGCCATTCCAAGACATTTAAATGTTTCCCCTTAAACCACTCGAGTGTTGCTTTAGCAGTATGCTTAGGGTCATTGTCCTGCTGGAAGGTGAACCTCCGTCCCAGTCTCAAATCTCTGGAAGACTGAAACAGGTTTCCCTCAAGAATTTAGCGCCATCCATCATTCCTTCAATTCTGACCAGTTTCCCAGTCCCTAACGATGTAAAACATCCCCACAGCATGATGCTGCCACCACCATGCTTCACTATGAGGATGGTGTTCTCGGGGTGATGAGAGGTGTTGGGTTTGCGCCAGACATAGCGTTTTCCTTGATGGCCAAAAAGCTCAATTTTAGTCTCATCTGACCAGAGTACCTTCTTCCATATGTTTGGGGAGTCTCTCATATGCCTTTTGGCGAACACCAAACATGTTTACTTGTTTTTTTCTTTAAGCAATGGCTTTTTTCTGGCCACTCTTCCATAAAGACCAGCAAACCTGGTGGACAGATACTCCAATCTCCGCTGTGGAGATTTGCAGCTCCTTCAGGGTTATCTTTGACCTCTTTGTTGCCTCTCTGATTAATCCCCTTTTATAACCCAACCCTGATCTGTACATCTCCACAACTTTGTTCCTGACCTGTTTGGAGAGCTCCTTGGTCTTCATGGTGCCACTTGCTTGTTGGTGCCCCTTGCTTAGTGGTGTTGCAGACTCTGGGCCTTTCAGAACAGGTGTATTTATACTGAGATCGTGTGACAGATACTGACACTTAGATTGCACACAGGTGGACTTTATTTAACTAATTATGTGAATTCTGAAGGTAATTGGTTGCACCAGATCTTATTTAGGGGCTTCATAGCAAAGGGGGTGAATACATATGCACGCACCACTTTTCCGTTATTTATTTTTTAGAATTTTTTGAAACAAGTTATTTTTTTCATTTCACTTCACCAATTTGGGCTATTTTGTGTATGTCCATTACATGAAATCCAAATAAAAAAAAACTATTTCAATTACAGGTTGTAATGCAACAAAATAGGAAAAACGCCAAGGGGGATAAATAATTTTGCAAGGCACTGTATTGCCTGGTTCCTAAGGTCAGGTCACAGCTCCATGAAACAATGGGCAATGAGGGGCCTTAAATATGTACACCGTTATCAGAAGACATCTTGTGCTGTATCAGAATCATTGCCTTGTTTACTTGACCTCCAGGAAGTGTTCCCTGGGGAGTAGCTTGATTAATCCTGGCCATCCGGATAGCAGGGGCCATATACAGCAAAGCACTGCACTACCCTTATGCAACTCCCAGATTGTCTATGCACCCAAAATAACTGTGCAAGCATTCCATAAAAACCCAGCTGCAACTGATTGATGGGCTATTCTGAGATGTAATCTAAACATTTGGGTTGGGGAGCTTGACAAAAGCCAGCCAGGGGCTCTTTCCCTGGCCTAGTAATAAGGTGAGTCTGAGAGAGAGAGAGAGCGAGAGAGAGAGAGAGAGAGAGAGAGAGAGAGAGAACATTCAAGTGGATGCTGTCTTAGTTCGCCCCATGCCAAAATCTCAGGATCTCTCAGAGCGAGAGAGACAATAACAATCGTATCAAGTGTCTGCTCAGTAAAAGCCAGGGACATTTTAAGAGTCCCCATGTACACATTTTACCTTTGTACTTTTGGTTTTTACCCAAGCTTGCCTGGCAGTGATGGTGCCATCCACGCACACTGCCTTTCAACTGCGTTCCAGCCTGTCCATTAAGACAAGGCCACAGTGTTATGATGGAAAGCCTAGTGACCATGATGCACTCCTCTCTCTCAGCATAATGTCTGTTGATAAAATGTTCTATGTGTTCTTTCCGCTATGAAACAATGCAGTGGAAAGAGTGTGGCAGAGCAGGAAGCTGAGCCATCAGCCCCAGCCAAGCCCCCCGTCAACCTAGAGGAGATCAGATCAGAGATCAAGGCAAAGATCGAGGAGGAGGCCTACAATAAAGGGTGAGGCCCTTTTCTATGTACCCGCTCACACTGACCACCCACACACATACCCACAGTCACACACCCTGTGCACGCTGACAGAAGAGTGGCGCAACACTGGCTGTACTGTACTGACATAATAGTATGAAGAATCAACAAAATATACAGTACATTCAGTACATTCAGCATTCAAATAAAGTTAAGTAGTTTATATGTAATGAGCCACTGCTGCCTTGTGATACTTCCTATACGTTCAGCTCATGTGCTTTTAATGATAAAACAAATGTAATGTTCCAAATACAGCTACCAAGAGGGACTGAAGAGAAGTAAAGAAGTCAAAGAGGTGGTGGAGGAGGAGGAGGAGGAGGAGGAGGAGGAGAACGCAGAGGAATTGCCAGAAAAGAAGGATGAAGAAAAAGGAAAAGAAGTCAGCAGAAAAGAAAAGTTCAGCAGGTGATTTTCACTTCATGTAGATAAATTGTAAATACATAATTATGTATAATGACTGGGTGTATACCTTGAATTGTTCTGAATCCCCTCTCAATGTCGCCTTTACAGTAAGGTTGAAGAGATCCTAGTTGTCCTTGACCGGCTTTGCCCCAAGATTTTCCGCCGTAACCGACTTCTCTGGATTGTTTTGACGCTGTTCCTGGTCACGTTTCTGGTCGTCAATGTTTTCACATACTTTAGTGATCGCTATAACAACCATGGGGACATGTCGGCAGAAAAAGCCATGGTCCAGGGCAAGAAGAAGATATTTGGACTGAATGTAGGAGTACAGCCAAAGAATCCCACTCCAGAATAAGAGTCTGTCTCATCCTTCTCTCAGCCCATAGACTATTTTTTCCATGATACATCACCATACAAGAGCTGAACTTGAATATAGGGTTTTGAAGATATAGGGTTTGGGGATGTATCTTTGGGAGCATTTGTTGATTATTTTCATGGTTTCAGAGGATAAGCCTTCTAATGATCATAGACTTTATCAAGGCATATTTATGTTGTTAGGAAAGCTGCCTGAGTGTTTGTGATGGTGATATATGATTGTTGCTTAGGGGGCCAAGTATAATAGTTTGATGAAATGTTTTCTTATCTACAGTGAGGTCCAGCACTTTGGATATGAAATGATACAATGACTATGAGGTTAAAATGCAGAAAGTAAGCTTTAATTTGAGGGCATTTCCATCCATACCAGGTGAATTTTTTTGAAATTACAGCACTTTTTGTACATAGTCCCCCCATTTCAGGGAGCCAGAAGTATTTGGACTAATTCACTTATACAGTTGAAGTCGGAACGTACATACACCTTAGCCAAATACATTTAAACTCAGTTTTTCACAATTCCTGACATTTAATCCTAGTAAAAATTCCCTGTCTTAGGTCAGTTAGGATCACCAATACATTTTAAGAATGTGAAATGTCAGAATAATAGTAGAGAGAATGATTTATTTCAGCTTTTATTTCTTTCATCACATTCCCAGTGGGTCAGAATTAGTATTTGGTAGCATTGCCTTTAAATTGTTTAACTTGGGTCAAACGTTTCGGGTGTATTTTGGCCCATTCCTCCTGACAGAGCTGGTGTAACTGAGTCAGGTTTGTAGGCCTCCTTGCTCGCACACACTTTTTCAGTTCTGCCCACAAATGTTCTATAGGATTGAGGTCAGGGCTTTGTGATGGCCACTCCAATACCTTGGCTTTGTTGACCTTTAGCCATTTTGCCACAACTTTGGAAGTATGCTTGGGGTCATTGTCCATTTGGAAGACCCATTTGCGACCAAGCTTTAACTTCCTGACTGATGTCTTGAGATGTTGCTTCAATATATCCACATCATTTTCCTTCCTCATGATGCCATCTTCAGTGAGGGAAAAAAGTATTTGATCCCCTGCTGATTTTGTACGTTTGCCCACTGACAAAGACATGATCAGTCTATAATTTTAATGGTAGGTTTATTTGAACAGTGAGAGACAGAATAACAACAAGAACATCCAGAAAAACGCATGTCAAAAATGTTATCAATTGATTAGCATTTTAATGAGGGAAATAAGTATTTGACCCCTCTGCAAAACATGACTTAGTACTTGGTGGCAAAACCCTTGTTGGCAATCACAGAGTCAGACGTTTCTTGTAGTTGGCCACCAGGTTTGCACACATCTCAGGAGGGATTTTGTTCCACTCCTCTTTGCAGATCTTCTCCAAGTCATTAAGGTTTCGAGGCTGACGTTTGGCAACTCGAACCTTCAGCTCCCTCCACAGATTTTCTATGGGATTAAGGTCTGGAGACTGGCTAGGCCACTCCAGGACCTTAATGTGCTTCTTCTTGAGCCACTCCTTTGTTGCCTTGGCCGTGTGTTTTGGGTCATTGTCATGCTGGAATACCCATCCTGTCACGGTTTCGGCCGAGGCAGCTCCTCCTCCTTGTTCGGGCGGGTTTCGCCGGTCGTCGTCTCCGGAGTACTAGCTGCCACCGCTCCATGTTTCCTGTTTGATTAGTTTTGTCTGTTAGCCACACCTGTCTTGTGTTATGTCTCATTAAGCACCCTATTTAGTTTCCTTGTTGTTAGTGTAGTGTTGTGTGTAATTGTTTTGTGTCAGGTGTTTGTGCGTTACCCATGTTTCGGTACGCCATTGCTATTTAGCTTCCTCCTCGGTTGAGGAGAGTTTTGCGCCCTGTGTTGTGCGCTCGTGTTTTGACGCCTGTGTGCGTCTTTTTGGCCTCTGGCTGTTTTGGATTATTTTGCACTCTCCAGTAAAGTCTTGTTGGACTGTCCATCTGCTTCTGCGCCTGATTCCACACCACACCATTTCTAACATCGTGACAGAATTACACACCGATAAGTAAACATGGAGCGGTGGCAGCTAGTACTCCGGAGACGACGACCGGCGAAACCCGCCCGAACAAGGAGGAGGAGCTGCCTCGGCCGAAACCGTGACACATCCACGACCCATTTTCAATGCCCTGGCTGAGGGAAGGAGGTTCTCACCCAAGATTTGACGGTACATGGCCCCGTCCATCGTCCCTTTGATGCGGTAAAGTTGTCCTGTCCCCTTAGCAGAAAAACACCCCCAAAGAATAATGTTTCCACCTCCATGTTTGATGGTGGGGATGGTGTTCTTGGGGTCATAGGCAGCATTCCTCCTCCTCCAAACACGGCGAGTTGAGTTGATGCTAAAGAGCTCGATTTTGGTCTCATCTGACCACAACACTTTCACCCAGTTCTCCTCTGAATCATTCAGTTGTTCATTGGCAAACTTCAGACGGCCCTGTATATGTGCTTTCTTGAGCAGGGGGACCTTGCGGGCGCTGCAGGATTTCAGTCCTTCATGGCGTAGTGTGTTACCAATTGTTTTCTTGGTGACTATGGTCCCAGCTGCCTTGAGATCATTGACAAGATCCTCCCGTGTAGTTCTGGGCTGATTCCTCACCGTTCTCATGATCATTGCAACTCCACGAGGTGAGATCTTGCATGGAGCCCCATGCCGAGGGAGATTGACAGTTATTTTGTGTTTCTTCCATTTGCGAATAATCGCACCAACTGTTGTCACCTTCTCACCAAGCTGCTTGGCGATGGTCTTGTAGCCCATTCCAGCCTTGTGTAGGTCTACAATCTTGTCCCTGATATCCTTGGAGAGCTCTTTAGTCTAGGCCATGGTGGAGAGTTTGGAATCTGATTGATTAATTGCTTCTGTGGACAGGTGTCTTTTATACAGGTAACAAGCTGAGATTAGGAGCACTCCCTTTAAGAGTGTGCTCCTAATCTCAGCTCGTTACCTGTATAAAAGACACCTGGGAGCCAGAAATCTTTCTGATTGAGAGAGGGTCAAATACTTATTTCCCTCATTAAAATGCAAATCAATTTATAACATTTTTGACATGCGTTTTTCTGGATTTTTTGTTTGTTATTCTGTCTCTCACTGTTCAAATAAACCTACCACTAAAATTATAGACTGATCATTTCTTTGTCAGTGGGCAAATGTACAAAATCAGCAGGGGATCAAATACTTTTTTCCCTCTGTATTTTGTGAAGTGCACCAGTTCCTCCTGCAGCAAAACACCCCCCATGGCATGATGCTACCACCCCTGTGCTTCACGGTTGGGATGGTATTCTTCGGCTTGCAAGCTGACCCCTTTTTCCTCCAAACATAACGATGGTCATTATGGCCAAACAGTTCTATTTTGTTTCATCAGACCAGAGGACATTTCTCCAAAAAGTACGATCTTTGTCCCCATGTGCAGTTGCAAACCGTAGTCTGGCTTTTTTATGGTGGTTTTGTAGCAGTGGCTTCTTCCTTGCTGAGCGACCTTTCAGGTTATGTCGATATAGGACTCGTTTTACTGTGGATATAGATACTTTTGTACCTGTGTCCTCCAGCATCTTCACAAGGTCCTTTGCTGTTGTTCTGGGATTGATTTGCACTTTTCGCACCAAAGTACGTTCATCTCTAGGAGACGGAACGCGTCTCCTTCCTGAGCGGTATGATGGCTGCGTGGTCCCATGGTGTTTATACTTGTGTACTTGTCACGCCCTGGCTCGGGGGACTCTTAAATGTTGAGCCAGGGTGTGGAGTTTCTGTTACATTTTCTATGCTTTTGTTCTAGATCATTTATATCTATGTTGGCCAGGGTGGTTCCCAATCAGAGGCAGCTGTAGCTCGTTGTCTCTGATTGGGAACCATACTTAGGCAGCCTGTTTTCACTAGTTTATGGTGGGATCTTCTGTCACGATTATCGACAGATGAAGCGGACCAAGTCGCAGCGTGATAAGCGTACATTCTTTATTTGTGTACACACACGAACCAAAACAATAAACCAAACGATACGTGAAGTCCTAGGTTATACACAAAACCCTACGGAACAAGATCCCACAAAATACTAGTGCCAAACAGGCTGCCTAAGTATGGTCCCCAATCAGAGACAACGAGCTACAGCTGTCTCTGATTGGGAACCACCCTGGCCAACATAGATATAAACGATCTAGAACAAAAGCATAGAAAATGTAACAGAAACTCCACACCCTGGCTCAACATTTAAGAGTCCCCCGAGCCAGGGCGTGACAGTACTATTGTTTGTACAGATGAACGTGGTACCTTCAGGCATTTGGAAATTGCTCCCAAGGATGAACCAGACTTGTGGAGGTCTACAATTTTTTTCTGAGGTCTTGGCTGATTTCTTTTGATTTTCCCATGATGTCAAGCAAAGAGGCACTGAGTTTGAAGGTAGGCCTTGAAATACATTCACGGGTACACCTCCAAGTGACTCAAATTATGTCAATTAGCCTATCAGAAGCTTCTAAAGCCATGACATCATTTTCTGGAATTTTCCAAGCTGTTTAAAGCCACAGTCAACTTAGTGTATGTAAACTTCTGACCCACTGGAATTGTGATACAGTGAATTATAAGTGAAATAATTTGTCTGTAAACAATTGTTGGAAAAATGACTTGTGTCATGCACAAAGTAGATGTCCTAACCGACTTGCCAAAACTATAGTTTGTTAACAAGACATTTGTGGAGTGGTTAAAATTTGAATGACTCCAACCTAAGTGTATGTAAACTTCCGACTTCAACTGTATGTGTATTAAAGTTGTCAAATCTGTAGTATTTGGCTTGTGACGCTACAAACTTGTTGGACGCATTCACAGTTTGTTTTGGTTGTGTTTCCGATTATTTTGTAGCGTCACAAGCCAATAGAAAGGAATTGTAAAATAATTTGTGTCATTTGTAAATAAGTTGTAAATAAGAATAAAATATTTGTCTGAACACTTCTATTTTAATGTGGATGCTACCATGATTACGGATAATCCTGAATGACACAATGAACAGTATGAACAGGGAGGGTTAGCATTTTGGGGGGGGGTATGATATTTATGCCTCAGTAACTTTCACACTAATCATTATTCACGATTCATTCATGATTATCCGTAATCATGGTAGCATCCACATTAATTTAAAAGTGTTTAGAAACATGTTCTATTCTTATTTACACTAAAAGTGACTCCAAAATACACAACACATTATTTACCATTCATTTATATTTGGCACAAAATAATCTGACACACAAACTGCAAATGCATTCAACAAGTTTGTAGTCACAAGCTTGATGTAGTCATTGCATGCTATGAATATGGGACCAAATACTACACTTTTGACTACTTTAATACACATAGAAGTGAATTTGGTCCAAATACTTTTGGTTCCCTAAAATGGGGGGACTATGTACAAAAAGTGCTGTAATTTTTAAACTGTTCTCCCGATATGGATGAAAATACCCTCAATTTAAAGCTGACAGTCTGCACTTTATAGTCATTGTATCATTTCAAATCCAAAGTGCTGAAGTACAGAGCCAAAACAACACAAATTGTCACTGTCCAAATACTTTTGGACCTCACTGTATATATTCACAATGTATTGTTATTATTCCTTGTCCTACTCTGAATGTCATCCTGGAGGACTGAATGTGGCCCCTTGGGCGAAAATTGATGATTCATGATGAGTTCCCTAAGACAAATGTCACAGTAGACATTAGACTAATGTACATTTATCTAACACTCTAATGTTACTGTATGTTCGTTCTCTCAGGTCCAGTAAGATGACATCCCCTGAAGAGATTTACAGAGATATTTCAAGAGATAGATATGTTTAAATAAAAATCTTTAGTAAAATATCTATATTTGTGGTATTTAAGCAGATACTTTTTTGGAAAATCTGTAATACAAGCACATTCCAAAGTAGTTCCTCAAGTGCAATATTTAGCAGCTGATGGTTCTTGTTTGTTTGTGTTGTTACTGTGTTGGTTTGCGTCCCCTGAGCACTGAAAGATTTCCTTCATGTACGAGAGCACTTTTACACAGCATGAGAAATGTTTTATCTTCTTCGCACATGTGTGCGATGGTTTTCTGTTGTGACATCTTCGCCTTGAAATAAAGGTGCCTTAAAACTCGCAGCCTTCATTTCCTGAGTGAATAATGTGTCACACAGACAGTTGCAGTTTAGATAAAGCAAGCAGGTGTGTTGGCAGAGTTCTCATGCTAACCTCCCAAATCAGTCGTTTCCTTGGAGGAATGAGTGACACAGCGCTTGTTCCCTTCCGCCCTGCACTTATGAAAATGAAAGATCTTATGAACCTTTCATATCTCTCAGGAAACCACTTCTGTAATCTAATTGGGTCCATTGGGCTGTAGCTGCAGTGTGTCAAGGCTGCTTGAGTGACTATCTCTATTTTAATATTAAATGAATGTCACAAAATAAAATATAAATGTCCTCTTTAGATGTTCATTTTTTTGTGATTTTTAAATGTCACTGACTCTTCTCATATGGCAAACAACTACTTTTGCTTATTTTTCAGTTCTGCCTGCGTCATTTCCTGCTGTACTAGGTTGGGGTGAGGTGTTTTGCTGGAAGTTGGATTTCGCTGTGTGTCAGAGTCACATCAGAGGATGCCAGGGATCATGAGCTTGTTAATGACAAGCAATGGGCAGAGGGAGGAAATCATTGTGTGAGGTGCCAAAGCCAATAGAAATAAACAATTTGCCCAACATCTATCTGTGCCAAACATTCCTCCTGGACTCTCTCGAAAGAATAACAATTAAGGAGTAGCTTGTTTGATTTATGCTTATTCTGTATTCATACGTTTTTTAGGCAGACTCCCAATTTCACGTGCCTATCTATTAAAACAAATTATCATTAGAGCCTTTGGTTTTCCTCAGGTTCAATGTTTTAATGTTAGTTGTTTTAATAGAAGGGATCCTTGAGGTCAGATCAGAAATGATCCTCTAAGAAATGTTTTCTTGAAGTTGGTAAAGGAGTCTTGAAGATCGGTTTGGATGCAATCCTCCATTTGTCTTTCAAAGCATAATGTGTTATTACACATTATGAGTAAGAGCTGTTGATCTTATTCTCTGTTAATTAACCTCTTAAAAAATATTACCACTACTTCAGCAGTTTATCCCACACTTCCGAACCTTCTGCACCATGTTATGTTAACGTCTTGGTACGTTTATCTTCTTCTTGGACCTGGTTGGTTCCTAAAGTGCTCATACTGAATGGCCTGTACAATGTACTTCCTGCTTCCGCTTCCTGATGGTTCCGTGGCCTTGTCACCACCTCGTCTGACTGGTCATTTATACAACAGCCTTGTACACTCCATGAACCCACCCTTCTGATCTGAAGAGAATCACCTCTCACTAACCCCTTCATTTGGCTCACAGACACACAGTGGAACACTTGTCATCCTAGTAGCTCCCAGTCCTGTGTCTCTGACCATTAGTAACCATGATGCAGGTTTGGATCCTCTCACTACTGCTGCCTCTCACACTAGCATTCTCTGGTCTACATGTTGATCCTAGCAAAATTCATGGTAAGATTGTTTTATTTTTTGGATTATATTGTGTGTGCGCCTCAAAGTTAAAAATGTTACCTTCTTTCACTAATCGAAATCCGTTCTCAAATATGCATTGTGCTTTTGGATAATTATTTTGAAGTGATTTTGTTTTGTTCATTAATAATTACTGATGAACATTGATATAAAAATACATTAAGTAATACCAGGCATACAAATGCATTAAGTGATAATTGTTCACTAATTGATCTAAAAGAAAAAACAAATGAGTTTAACATATTCCGACTTATTATTGGATTTTCAAATAGATAATCTTGACTAATTAGAAACAAGAACAGTGAAATATGAATCATGTTTTAAAACCAGCAAACATGCACAGAAACGTATCTTCAATTCCCCTTTCACCAGCTTTCCCAGATAGCCAAATCGCTGGGGTGTTTCTGGTCAGCTACACAAATGCCCTCAACCAGTTGACCTATGCCTTCAATGCCTCTGAGGCAAGGGAGGTGTGCTGGTCTCTGGGTGTAACCATGGCCTCCAATTCCCAGGTTGAAGAGGCTCAGAGACTGGGCTTGGAAACATGCAGGTAAAATGGCATTTGGATTAGATTTTTCTTTGTATGCTAGTGATCCTTTTAATAATAGATAACCTCTGGGAATTAATTCATCCATTTCAAATCGTCTGTATCTCCAGGTTTGGGTGGATTGATGAACATTTTGCAGTGATCCCTCGTATTGAGGCCAGTAAAACCTGTGGTCAAAACCAGACCGGTGTCATCAAATGGAGAGCCTCTGTCACCAAACTTTTTGATGTGTTCTGTTTCGTTGCTTCAGGTACAGTTAAGGATTTAAAAAAATCTTAATCTCAATGCAGTCAATGGATCAAAGGTAAAGTAGAGAAATGGTATGGTATGGTGATTCATGGATACGTAGGCTAATTGCTCTGTGCCTTTCTGTTGACCCTAAACTCGGAGGCATTTGGGATTTTTCCAGAAAGTCCAATCACATACTTTCATTTCCTTTTGTGAGACTAACAATTTTATGAACGTGAGAGGAAAAGGGAACATTTGAGCGTGAAAAACATCCTACATTAACTTCCTGAACTGTCCCTGGGGTGGTGTGACCAAGTTTTAGGAATTGAGTGAAATGAAAATATTTGGCAAACAGCCACTGTGATGTCAATGCTGGATATCAAGTTATTAATTTAATTGAATGTGAATACATTTTCTAATTTACACTTTCATTTACTTACTACAGTGAGACAATTGGAGGATACCACAACTGATATCCCTTTGACCACACAGGAGCAACAGGAGGGACCACATCCTTCTCCTTCAGGAGCGGCCTCATTCCCCTCTACCTCCCTCTCTCCAGTCATCACTCATCTTGTCCGCTCCACACAGTCCGCCCGGCCCACCTCTCAGTCTCGTTCTTCCCTTCTCTCTCTCAGTATTTTTTCTGACAACCCAGAGGAGGTAGAGGTAGAACTACACCAGTCCATGAGCAGTGCAAATTCTTCAATCGGAGGTTTGAGACATTTAACTACCAGCATTGCTGTTGTCCATCAAACCACTCCTTTGTTCTGTCATCATTACCATTGGGAGTGAAAGTGACAAGGCCTATTTTGTATGAGTAATCTCTTCCCTCTCCTGTGCTCTGTTGTTTTAGCGGTGTCAAAAGCATTAGTTATCACCTCGACCTTTGTTCTCCTTCTAACTGCAATGGCCATTCTCTGGTACTTTAGAACGTAAGTGTTTAAAAAAAAAACAACATGTTTGTAAAAGTGAAAAAACGAGATATGTAAGATTCCTTGACTTGAAAGCCATTATTTAGATCAAGGTAATTCATTAAGCACAATTACTATAACATATACATGTTGACATGATCATGCAAACATTTTATTTGTATCAGAGGAACGTTTGGGATGTAATTTAACGCTGTGTTAACTGGCGTTCAGCCTGGAAGTCACATTTCATTTTTCTTCTCTTTACAAAGGAACAATGGGCTGAAGACTATTCTCCCCTGCTGGGATGTGGAGCAGCAGAAAGAGTACATTGAGACAGAGGAGTGTGCAGCACACACCTGTATGAAGGACACAAAGGAAGCCCAGACTGAGGCTGAAGCTAAGGCTGAACCTGAGGAGGATGTGTGCAAAGAGACAGCCAATGACGTCAGTGTGAACATCAGTGATGAGACCAACACAGATTCAGCATTAGAGACAGAACCTTGATGCTTTAGATTCTGTAAGACCAAAGATAAGATCTGACTGTATTTTAAAAGTAATGTTCCTTTTTTAAAGTTATGTTCCTGCTTATGGAAGTTATGTTGTTTAGTAGTTTGTACAAAGTGTGCATTGATGTTATTCAAATGCATTTATTTATAGCATGGGAGGTCTTTCCAATTTTGATTTAAAAAGTTACTTTATGTCTCGTTTTTTTGTTGTTCATATTCGAAATAGATTGTTCTAGAGATCGTCCTATATTTTAGCCACTAGATGGCGATGTCATCAAGGCAATTATTGTTGCAATGTGGATGAGTTGGGGCTAGGACTAGTATTGTGGCTGAAATGAAAATGGGTTCATATTTTCTGCTATACAGATCATTGATTTGACGACTTCAGATAGAGTTAATCAATATTCCAGGGCCACTGCTTACTACTGCATGTTAAATAATGTTTTTAACCTAATGCCAATCTTGAACTGATGCAATAAATTCAAACATTTTGTATCCCTGCCTTGCAGTTACTTCTTAGCCTTTTTTTGGAAATGTAGTAGGCTACTGCCATGAGATTTGGGTTAGTGCTTAATAATATTAATGTTCTAATAAACAATCTATTCCATCATCTCACAGTTTTAAATTGCTGCAATAATAAATAAATAAATAAATAATCCATGTTAAACATCTTTATTGATAACAAAAGTAACAATTAAAAACAGGTTATTTTATAGCATTCTGTCAACCATTAACGAGCAAGAGGTGAGATAGAGCAGTATAACATCTTTGGACAGTAGAGATAAAATATGTGCCTCTTGTATCTCAGTGCAACTAGAAGAGAAGACATGCTTTCACATTTTTCTCTCTTCTCCAAACTCTCACAATTCAATTGACTCAATGTTGCTTTCCAAAGTTATAGATACAGTACATTCAAATTAAATATTGCATACTCTGACCAATAGAAATGCCTCTGTTTTCATTCAAATTCAAACAAAACATTCACACAAATATTTCAAGCAAATATCATACAGTGCATACAAGTACAATGTATTTTACCTACAGTGTCCACAACTGACTTCAGTGTCCTCCTTGGAACCTTCTGCATGACATCCTCTAAAAACAAGCACACATGGAAAGGGACAGTGGAAATGTACCAGCCTTCATTCATCACAGCTACAGCAGTGTTCCAGATCCAGAGATAACCACTGTTAGGTTCTGTCAACAGCTGGGACCGCCCATCACCAGTGTTGGACATGTAAATAGAAGTGGCCAGTGCTTTTTTCTACCAGACATTGCACTTGAAACCCAAATATTTTGTAACATTACTGAACTGTGAATAAGTGCTCTGCAGAGTGAGCCATCCTTAGTGCAGATGTTGTTGCTGCACTGCAGAAGGAAACCCTTGTGTCAGGTAGCAAACCTGACATCAGTACTGTGGACATACATCATTTAGACACTAAGATGTAGTTGGCTCCTACTACAAACTATTTTTATACTGTTAAAGACATGCTCCGGAACTTTGGCGACCACTAAGTATTTTTTAAACCTCCCGCTTTGGATGTGTCAAAGTGTAATTCATACATGCATAATCTATTAGCAGAATTATTGTCTTACCTCAATTATCCATGAAATCCCTTGTTTGAAAGCAAGTGTTTTTCTGGAAGCTGTGCTATGCCATTTCCCCTACATATACCTCCACGTGGGCCAGCCCCTTAGGATTTGAGTTCAACCAATGAGCTTCAGTCCCTCGCCATATGAGTGACAGCTATCAAGATGCACATGATGCACCCACAGCAGAGTGAGAGAGCGAGCAATGACATGGTGCACATATCTGCACATACAGTATGTGACGTAGTACACCGTTTTTTGAGACCACTTTTGGCTCTTGAGCACTACTTTCAGAACTACTTGCAAAAAGTATACAAAAGTACTGGAGAATCCCTTTAAATGCAATGGCACCCCATGTTATCTGCTGTCACTGTAGCCTACATGCAGCCAGAGAAACAAGAGACACACTTATCCATTCAAACCCTTGGGTTTTTACTCCCATGAATGCAAGAGATATCGTTGTCTCATGTTGTTGTCCCATGTTGTTGTGGTCACTCAGGTTGTGTGCCAATGGCCTCTTCAGTCTTCACTGCATCTACTAGGAAGCTGAGCTCATTGCACAGGGTCTCGTGGCGGTAGGCCATGCGGATCTGAGCCACATTGGTCCGCCGAATGTCGTTCCCCTCAGGTCCATCCTTCAAGTAGTTGGCCCCAATAAAGTGCTTCTTCTCCTGCACAAAATGAGTCATACAGTATTACCAGAGATTGTATATCATGTAAGCTCCTTAGGTATAACCACTCCATTAGATGGGGGACAGGGGAAGGATATTTTATTGTTATTTTGCATTCTTGCTATTATACAGTCTTATAAAAAGATGTGCTCTCTAGAACCTAAAAGGGTTCATTGACTGTCCCCATAGGAGAACCCCTTGAAGTACCCTTTTTGGTTCCTGGTAGAACACTTTTGGGTTTCTTGTAGAATCCTTTCCACAGAGGGTTTCTACCTGGAACCAAAAAGGGTTCTACCTGGAACAAAAAGGGTTCTCCTGTTGGGACAGCGAATAACCTTTTTGTAACCCTTTTTTCTAAGAGTGTAGATATCAGTGCCCAGGGCTCTACCTGGTGAGACAGGCCGCTCTGCAGCACACTGTTCCTGGCAATCTCACACACATCACAGGTGCTGAGCTTCCACAGCTGGGCCGCGATGGCATACTCCTCCATCAGTGCCTCCTACAGACAGGACACACAGTCATCAAATACTGTCCTACAATAGAGCTATGGAACATTCACCTGGAGCTGATTTGAGCTACTATTTTCTTCAACAGTTTACCTTGGTGTAGTGGAACTGCATAGGATCATCTGTTGATAGGGACACACACAGCCCCTTGTGTAGGAACTCCCTGAGCGGGTTTTTGGAATATTCCAGGAACAAGCTGTTATTGCTCAGAGGAGACATGGCAATGGGCACCTGGGCCAGGTAGTACAGGTACTGTAGGACAGGGCTCTGTGGCAGAGCGAGACAGACACACTCAGTATATACACACAGACTCACACATACCCCGCTGTCACCTGCTCAGCATACAGGGTCTCTGCTTACTGTTCAGCAGACATGGTGGACATTAAAATGTGTCAAACGTTGATAGCCCTGTGGCTGGCTCTGTTATTTTCAGTGGCTGTATTTGCATGGAGCAGGCCTGGTAGACAGGGCCTTTCTTTGTCTGTGTGCTGGTTAGGCCCACAGATAGACAGGAAAATGAAGCAAACAGGGAGGCCTGAAGGGCTGAACACTGTTACTGTATTGCAATGACTTGCATTTATACAGCGTGCTTTCATGTGAGAATATTAGATAGCTTTGCATTTCTTTAGGCTTATCTAATGACATCCACTATTCATGTGAGTAGCAGCTACTGTATCACACATGGGAGATCAGCATGAGTGTGCTCCATTCAAACATGCTGGGGAGTTGAGGAATTATATTAGTCCATTGATGGCAAATAAATGTGTGTACGCTGGAGTGTGTTGAGGACAGATGATGCAGTGTTCAGTATAGTAGTAACCTTCTTGAGGTTGAGGCCGTGGGAGATGTTGTCAGCGGTGAGGAAAGCAGAGACCAGGTGGGTGATGGATCCAGCCTCCCCACAGTGTGGACGGAACTGGAAGGTGCTCAAGCCTCGCTCTCTGGAAGAGACCCAGGGAAATGTTCAGTGGTCATATTCACACACACACACACACACACACACACACACACACACACACACAAGAGCTACACAAGTGTATTATGTAGGCCTACAGTATCATATTCAGTGACCTTGGAGGAGCTCCTTGACCATATGTGCCAGTAATTCAAGTCTGTCAGAGACTAATTTTATTCCTTTGTATTATAATAGGGAATGTATTTATAGATGCCTGGATGAATTACACTGTGTAGTAATGTAGCATGCCTGCAATCAGATGCCTGTTCTGCTCCCCTTGGTTGTCCTCAGGACATTCTGAAGTGCCTTACTGTAGATTCAATTAATAATAGCAACATCCTCCACATACAACACTCGTTCTGCCTGTCACATTCTGTTAAAGGTCCCCAAAACACACACATCCCTGGGTCGCTCCTCTTTTCAGTTCGCTGCAGCTAGCGACTGGAATGAGCTACAAAAAACACTCAAACTGGACAGTTTTGTAAAAAAAAGACAATGGGTGTAACACCTAAACATGCCCTCAGCAGCATCAGTAGAAGGACAGTTGGTACTCTATGTTTCTCTTGAATGAGATGTAATGGTTTGGATCCATTACCAGAGGCCTGAGAAGGGCAGATAGCAATAGGCACTTACTTCCTCAGATTGTTGAGCACCATGATGTTGGCATACATGTGGAAGAGGTAGTAGCTATAGGGAGGGTTTTCATCTTCTGTCCACTGCTCAGGCTTGGGGCTCTTGTAGGAGAACATGTGGTCACTGTGCTTGGACTCATCATCCACACTGTCAAAGCCTGTCACCTGCACAGGAAGAATAGGGGTTCAACAGTGAATGGTTGACACTATCAGGATAGTTTTTGCAGGAAAATCAAAATGAATTCCACTCACATATTTGAGAAATACATGTAGCTCTTTATGCTTCTGTGGATTGATTGTAGCCTCAAACAGAGGAAGGAATATGTTCTCCAACATCTTGGCAAAGTTAGTGATCAACTTTTTTGACTTGAAAATATCACTGAAAGAAGTGAAACATTTTTCAGCATGACAAACATCTCATAAAAAGAGTACTATCTTTCATATCAGCCATGTTACATACTTTCTCCAGTTGAAAGTTAAATGTAACTCTTTGCCTTCAGCTCTCACTCAGGCAGCAGCACTCACTAGATCCTGGGCACTTGGATGATCCACTGCATGTTGGTAGAATGCACTTTGTGCTGGATGAACCACTTGGAGAGGCTGTCCCATTCGTCTGCAGAGCGTCCGTAGATGGACAGACGAGGCTCAGCATGCTGGTACTTACTCTCCTCTAGGTCATGGGACACTTCCTGTCAAGGGCAAGACGTGGTAGAAAAATAAAATAAATGTGAAGTGCTGTGTCTCTGTCACTTCCCATCCATCAGAGTAACACATCTGCAAATGTGTTGCTGCACATGTTGTTGTTGCAAAATAACAATAGCTTATGCAACATAACATGTGTTATCAATTTGAGAGAAGCAGGATATTTTCTGTGTGAGTGAACTATACCTTGATAATGCGTGCAAAGTACTCTCCATGTATGAGGTTGTCTGTTTTCAGGTAGATTTCTCTGAGTTCACTGGCCCCCACTGGGTTGTACTTGGAGTTGAACTTATCGAACCGGTGAAAGGTTTGTCTGCCCTGTGGGGTGGGAAACCATATTTTCACATGTATTCAATTAAGAGTTCACATGTTAACACCACCTAACATGTGAGGAGAATAACATGTTTTCACCTCACATGTGAATTGCGGTTTCACATGTGAAATTTGCAGTTTCACATGTTAAAAACGTTTAAATGTGAAAATCGGATATGCAGTTTCACATATGAAAAACATTCACATGTGGGAATGCAAGTCAAAGAAAACTCCACATGTGAAATTCTCACTTTCACATGTGGAATTGCAAGTTCACATGTGGGGTTGAAATAATGTTATTCTCTTCACATGTGAAAAGATGGTGTTAACATGTTGCAGTAGCAATGTTTCCACCGGTGGAATTAGGGTGACTGCATCAAAAAATCCTAAATGCGGTAGGATTATGCGGGACATCCGCCTTTTGCCCTCAGAACAGCCTCAATTCGTCAGGGCATGAACTCTACAAGGTTTCGAAAGCATTCCACAGGGATGCTGGGCCATGTTGACTCCAATGCCTCCCACAGTTGGCTGGATGTCCTTTGGGTGGTTGACCAGTATTGATACAAACGGGAAACTGTTGAGTGTGAAAAACCCAGCAGCGTTGCAGTTCTTGACACAAACCAGTGCGCCTGGCACCTACAACCATACCCCGTTCAAAGACACTTCAATATTGTGTCTTGCTCATTCACCCTCTGAATAGCACATATACAAATATATGTCTCAATTATCTCAAGGCTTAAAAATCCTTCTTTAACCTGTCTCCTCCCTTTCATCTACACTGATTGAAGTGGATTTAACAAGTGACATCAATAAGGGATCATAGCTTTCACCTGGATTCATCTTGTCAGTCTATGTCATGGAAAGAGTAGGTGTCCTTAATGTTTTGTACACTCAGTGTAGTTCTGCTGTATGAAAGTCACTGCCTGTTATTAAAGGGGACAATCCTTAGTGACTACATCCATTTTTGGACTTATAAATTAATGATATGTACCAACTGATTCTTGAAGAATATCAAGCATTTTGCCTCAAATTTCTGCCCTGCTAGAGCTGCCCTGGTCAACTGTAAGTGCTGTTACTGTGAAGTGGAAACGTCTAGGAGCAACAACGGCACAGCCGCGAAAAGGTAGGCCACACAAGTTCACAGAACGGGACCACCGAGTGCTGAAGCGCGTAGCGTGTAAAAATTGTCTGTCCTCGGTTGCAACACTCCCAAGTTCGTCTGTCCTCGGTTGCAACTACCGAGTTCCAAACTGCCCCTGGAAGCAACGTCAGCACAAGAACTGTTCGTCGGGAGCTTCATGAAATGGGTTTCCATGGCCGAGCAGCCGCACTCAAGCCTAAGATCACCATGCTCAATGCCAAGCGTCGGCTGGAGTGGTGTAAAGCGCGCCGCCATTGGACTCTGGAGCAGTGGAAACGGGTTCTCTGGAATGATGAATCGCGCTTCACCATCTGGCAGTCCGAAAGACGAATCTGGGTTTGGGGAAGGCATGACAATGCCCCAGTGCACAAAGCGATGTCCATACAGAAATGGTTTGTCGAGATCGGTGTAGAAGAACTTGACTGGCCTGCACAGAGCCCTGACCTCAACCCCATCGAACACCTTTGGGATGAATTGTAACGCCGACTGCGAGCCAGGCCTAATCGCCCAACATCAGTGCCCGACCTCACTAATGCTCTTGTGGTTGAATGGAAGCAAGTCCCCGCAGCAATGTTCCAACATCTAATGGAAAGCCTTCCCAGAAGAGTGGATGCTGTTATAGCAGCAAAGGGGGGACCAACCCAATATTAATGCCCATGATTTTGGAATGAGATGTTAGACGAGCAGGTGTTCACATACTTTTGGTCATGTAATGTATCATAGATGGTCAGTCCTTGCATCCGTAGCGTAGTGTAGGGATTTGAGAGTGGTTGCATTTCTCCAGCCCCATCCCTTAGCTTTTTACTGAAACTGTGGTGGGGAGAACACTTAGTTAATGTTTCAATAAAGGATTGCCACTTTAAACACCTAATAGAATAATAGTGTTATGAAATGTGGAAAATAAATGTGTGTTGTTTTTTTTAACACATGGAAAATTAACATGTGAAACTTCACACGTGTCCGAAAACCACGTTTTTTTCACATTATTTCTTCATGTGGTTTTTTTGTAAGGGTATTGCATGATGGCAGGAGAGATAGATAGAGAGTGGGAGGGTCTTACAGCATGTACATCCAGGGAGTCCACAGTGAGGTCATAGGGGTCCATGTTGAGGTGTTGAAACACCTCTCTGAGGGTCAGCTTCCGCCCGCCCTTCTCCAGCACCACACGGTCTGCCTCCATCTTGTAGGCGGTCTGGATGAAGTTTAGAAGGTGCTTCTGGGACATGCAGGCGGCTGCATGGATGTGTGTGTCCACCTGGGAAAAGAGATATCACAGTTTGGAATGTGGCTTTTTATCACAAAGCCTCTGGGAAAGTAGCCAAATCAGGTTTAGTCTAAATAGTGGACTTTCACGTTTTACATTACAAATGTAGCTTTTACATTCAAGTGTTGGAACTTGCCTTTCTGACATTGTAAAAGTCTCTGTGCGGAACACCCTTCAGTTCCTTTAGCTCAGCCATCTCATTGAGCATTTCATGCAGGTAGAATTTTGAGGCCAGGAAATTCAGGCGTCTGTGACAATAGGTCTTCCTGTAAAGCACATTAGTTATGCAGAGACAAAAATAAAGCTCCATTACACTGTGGTGAGGTCAGGAAGTGGTGGTCACTCACGTGGGTCCATCAACGATCATGGCCAGAACATGGCTGAGGTCTATGGCGAAGGTCTCCAGGTCAGGGTAGGGCAGGCTGCGGGGACTGTTCTGACTTAGAGCCTCTGCATTCTCATACACATACACTATGCCATCTTTCATCTGCAGCTCATAGCTCAGGTTGTCTGGGATATTCTCCATGCTGTAAGGGTCCTCCCCCTCCCTGGGGCAAGGGCAGACATCTGTGGGGAGACCAGTATGATTGAAATAGACCCTAATATGCCCTAATACAATGGACTCCACTTATACAGGAAGTTAGGAACACATTATGTACATACAATTAATTTATGGGCACTAATCGAGTATACACTGAGTGTACAAAACATTATGAACACCTGCTCTCTCCATGACATAGACTGACCAGGTGAATCCAGCTGAAAGCTATGATTCCTTATTGATGTCACTTGTTAAATCCACTTCAATCAGTGTAGATGAAAGGGAGGGGATAGGTTAAAGTAGGATTTTTAAGCCTTGAGATGTATGTGTGCCTCAATATGAGGAAAGTGTTCTTAATGTTTTGTACACTCAGTGTATACCTGGTAGAACCTCGTCCTCTTCCTTCCACCTCTGGTTCTCAGCGCTACGGAGGAACTGGGCAACAGTCCGGGGAAAGCGATGGTAGGCCAGTCTGGAGTACTTCTCCCTAATGAACAGGGCTTTCATCAGGGTTTTGGCTGCCTGTTCATAGTCTTCCACTGTGATCTGGGGAGAGGAGAGCGCTGTCATTACGGCATCCCGAGTGGCGCAGCAGTCCAAGGCACTGCATCTCAGTGCTAGAGGCGTCACTACAGACCCTGGTTCGATCCCGGGCTGTATCACAACCGGCCGTGATCGGGAGTCCCATGGGGCGGCGCACAATTGACACAGTGTCGTCCGGGTTAGGGGTAGGGTTTGGTCGGGGTAGGCCATCATTGTAAATAAGAAATTGTTCTTAACTGACCTGCCTAGTTAAATAAAGGTTAAATTACTGGTCTTACCACATGGCTTTCCATTTCATCCTGTGGACTCTGCCACACAAGATCATTCCTAACCACCTGGGAATGTATTTTTTATTTTATTTTTTAGTGGGTGGATCAGCTTTAATATTGCAAATAGATTGTGGCTTGTATCATTGTAATTGTCTGGATCATTTCCAATCCCCCATATATATTTTTTAAATAAATACACTGCTCAAAAAAATAAAGGGAACACTAAAATAACACATCCTAGATCTGAATGAATGAAATAATCTTATTAAATACTTTTTTCTTTACATAGTTGAATGTGCTGACAACAAAATCACACAAAAATTATCAATGGAAATCAAATGTATCAACCCATGGAGGTCTGGATTTGGAGTCACCCTCAAAATTAAAGTGGAAAACCACACTACAGGCTGATCCAACTTTGATGTAATGTCCTTAAAACAAGTCAAAATGAGGCTCAGTAGTGTGTGTGGCCTCCACGTGCCTGTATGACCTCCCTACAACGCCTGGGCATGCTCCTGATGAGGTGGCGGATGGTCTCCTGAGGGATCTCCTCCCAGACCTGGACTAAAGCATCCGCCAACTCCTGGACAGTCTGTGGTGCAACGTGGCGTTGGTGGATGGAGCGAGACATGATGTCCCAGATGTGCTCAATTGGATTCAGGTCTGGGGAACGGGCGGGCAGTCCATAGCATCAATGCCTTCCTCTTGCAGGAACTGCTGACACACTCCAGCCACATGAGGTCTAGCATTGTCTTGCATTAGGAGGAACCCAGGGCCAACCGCACCAGCATATGGTCTCACAAGGGGTCTGAGGATCTCATCTCGGTACCTAATGGCAGTCAGGCTACCTCTGGCGAGCACATGGAGGGCTGTGCGGCCCCCCAAAGAAATGCCACCCCACACCATGACTGACCCACCGCCAAACCGGTCATGCTGGAGGATGTTGCAGGCAGCAGAACGTTGTCCATGGCGTCTCCAGACTCTGTCAGGTCTGTCAAATGTGCTCAGTGTGAACCTGCTTTCATCTGTGAAGAGCATAGGGCGCCAGTGGCGAATTTGCCAATCTTGGTGTTCTCTGGCAAATGCCAAACGTCCTGCACGGTGTTGGGCTGTAAGCACAACCCCCACCTGTGGACGTCGGGCCCTCATACCACCCTCATGGAGTCTGTTTCTGACCGTTTGAGCAGACACATGCACATTTGTGGCCTGCTGGAGGTCATTTTGCAGGGCTCTGGCAGTGCTCCTCCTGCTCCTCCTTGCACAAAGGCGGAGGTAGCAGTCCTGCTGCTGGGTTGTTGCCCTCCTACGGCCTCCTCCACGTCTCCTGATGTACTGGCCTGTCTCCTGGTAGCGCCTCCATGCTCTGGACACTACGCTGACAGACACAGCAAACCATCTTGCCACAGCTCGCATTGATGTGCCATCCTGGATGAGCTGCACTACCTGAGCCACTTGTGTGGGTTGTAGACTCCGTCTCATGCTACCACTAGAGTGAAAGCACCGCCAGCATTCAAAAGTGACCAAAACATCAGCCAGGAAGCATAGGAACTGAGAAGTGGTCTGTGGTCACCACCTGCAAAACCAGTCCTTTATTGGGGGTGTCTTGCTAATTGCCTATAATTTCCACCTGTTGTCTATTCCATTTGCACAACAGCATGTGAAATTTATTGTCAATCAGTGTTGCTTCCTAAGTGGACAGTTTGATTTCACAGAAGTGTGATTGACTTGGAGTTACATTGTGTTGTTTAAGTGTTCCCTTTGTTTTTTTGAGCAGTGTATATATATCATTATATACAGTACCAATCAAAAGTTTGGACACACCTACTCATTCAAGGGGTTTTCTTTATTTTTTACTATTTTCTACATTGTAGAATAATAGCGAAGACATCAAAACTATGAAATAACACATGTGGAATCGTGTCGTAACCAAAAAAGTGTTTAAAAAAAATATATATTTGAGATTTGAGATTCTTCAAAGTAGCCACCATTTGCCTTGATGACAGCTTTGCACACTCTTGGCATTCTCTCAACCAGCTTCATGAGGAATGCTTTTCCAACAGTCTTGAAGGAGTTCCTACATATGCTGAGCACTTGTTGGCTGCTTTTCCTTCACTCTGCGGTCCAACTCATCCCAAACCATCTCAATTGGGTTGAGGTCAGGTGATTGTGGAGGCCAGGTCATCTGATGTAGCATTCCATCACTCTCCTTATTGGTCAAATAGCCCTTACACAGCCTGTTGGGTCATTGTCCTGTTGAAAAACAAATGATAGTCCCACTAAGCGCAAACCAGATGGGATGGTGTATTGCTGCAGAATACTGTGGTAGCCATGCTGGTTAAGTGTGCCTTGAATTCTAAATAAATCACTGACAGTGTCACCAGCAAAGCACCCCCACACCCTCACACCTCCTCCTCCATGCTTCACGGTGGGAACTACATATGCAGAGATCATCTGTAAACCTACTCAGCGTCTCAGAAAGACATGGCGGTTGGATCCAAAAATCTCAAATTTGGACTCATCAGACCAAAGGATAGATTTCCACAGGTCTAATGTCCATTGGTCGTGTTTCTTGGCCCAATCAAGTCTCTTCTTATTATTGGTGTCCTTTAGTAGTGGTTTCTTTGCAGCAATTCGACCATGAAGGCCTGATTCACGCGGTCTCCTCTGAACAGTTGATGTTGAGATGTGTCTGTTACTTGAACTCTGTGAAGCATTTATTTGTGCTGCAATTTGAGATGCAGTTAACTCTAATGAACTTAACCTCTGCAGCAGAGGTAACTCTGGGTCTTCCTTTCCTGAGAGCCAGTTTCATCATAGCGCTTGATGGTTTTTGCGACTGCACTTGAAGAAACTTTCAAAGTTCTTGACATTTTCCATATTGACTGACCTTCATGTCTTAAAGTAATGATGGACTGTCATTTCTCTTTGCTTATTTGAGCTGTTCTTGCCATAATATGGACTTAGTCTTTTACCAAATAGATTTTGATTTGTTTAACACTTTTGAGGTTAATACATAATTCCATATGTGCTATTTCATAGTTTTGATGTCTTCACTATTATTCTACAATGTAGAAAATAGTAAAAATACAGAAAAACCCTGAAATGAGTAGGTGTGTCCAAACTTTTGACTGGTACTGTAAGTATAGCTTTTGTAGGACTGAAGCCTTTAGGGAGAGGTCTAATGCTTTCATTTTGAATAATTTCTGTCTTCCTAATTCATATTTTTTATATAAATAGGCCTGTTTAATTTTGTCTGGCTTGCCATTCCAAATAAAATTGAATATTTTTTGCACATATAATTTAAAAAAGTCGTTAGATGTAGGCAGGGCCATAAGCAAATACAGTGGGGGAAAAAAGTATTTAGTCAGCCACCAATTGTGCAAGTTCTCCCACTTAAAAAGATGAGAGAGGCCTGTAATTTTCATCATAGGTACACGTCAACTATGACAGACAAAATGAGATTTTTTTTCTCCAGAAAATCACATTGTAGGATTTTTAATGAATTTATTTGCAAATTATGGTGGAAAATAAGTATTTGGTCACCTACAAACAAGCAAGATTTCTGGCTCTCACAGACCTGTAACTTCTTCTTTAAGAGGCTCCTCTGTCCTCCACTCGTTACCTGTATTAACGGCACCTGTTTGAACTTGTTATCAGTATAAAAGACACCTGTCCACAACCTCAAACAGTCATACTCCAAACTCCACTATGGCCAAGACCAAAGAGCTGTCAAAGACACCAGAAACAAAATTGTAGACCTGCACCAGGCTGGGAAGACTGAATCTGCAATAGGTAAGCAGCTTGGTTTGAAGAAATCAACTGTGGGAGCAATTATTAGGTAATGGAAGACATACAAGACCACTGATAATCTCCCTCGATCTGGGGCTCCACGCAAGATCTCACCCCGTGGGGTCAAAATGATCACAAGAACGGTGAGCAAAAATCCCAGAACCACACAGGGGGACCTAGTGAATGACCTGCAGAGAGCTGGGACCAAAGTAACAAAGCCTACCATCAGTAACACACTACGCCGCCAGGGACTCAAATCCTGCAGTGCCAGACGTGTCCCCCTTGTCAAGGGGTGCTGAAGGTGGGTGTGGTGCATGAATCAAGCGCAGGACGCAGAAGCTCAGTCCAAAAGACTTTAGTGCAATATTCACGTAGAAAATAAGCACAATAAGCCCGAAGGCGAAATAACGGCGCACACAGGCGTCAAACAAACGGCGCACTAACATGTGCGAAAACCTCTCCAAAACACTGGAGGGAAGTACGTAGCTCCAACACCAAAACAGATGAGCAATCACACACAAAGACAAACACACACAACGAGAACTAAATAGGACACTAACGAGGACTAACAAGACACAGGTGTGCAACATCAAGACAAAACCAAACGAACATGAAACATAGATCGGTGGCAGCTAGTACTCCGGGGACGACGACCGCCGAAGCCTGCCCGAACCAGGAGGAGGAGCAGCCTCGGCCGAAACCGTGACAGAACCCCCCCTTGACACACGGCTCCAGCCGTGCGCCGACCCCGGCCTCGGGGACGACCAGGAGGACGCGGAGCAGGGCGCGCGGGATGGTCCCGGTGGAACTCCGACAGGAGAGATGGGTCTAGGATGTCCCTCCGCGGCACCCAGCACCGCTCCTCCGGGCCGTACCCCTCCCACTCCACGAGATACTGGAGACCCCCCATCCGGCGTCTTGAGTCCAAGATGGACCGAACGGTATACGCCGGAGCCCCCTCGATGTCCAGTGGGGGCGGAGGAGTCTCCCCTATCTCATTGTCCTGGAGTGGACCAGCTACCACCGGCCTGAGAAGAGACACATGGAACGAGGGGTTAATATTCTTATACTCAACAGGTAGATGTAACCTATAACATACCTCATTCAATCTTCTCAGGACTTTAAAGGGCCCCACAAACCGCCGACCCAGCTTCCGGCAGGGCAGGCGGAGGGGTAGGTTTCTGGTAGAGAGCCAGACTCGATCTCCGGGTGCGTACACCGGCCCCTCACTGCGGTGGAGATCGGCGCTCGCCTTGTGACGACGGACGGCCCGCTGCAGGTGGACGTGGGCAGCGTTCCACGTCTCCTCCGAGCGCCTCATCCAATCATCCACCGCAGGGGCCTCGATCTGGCTCTGCTGCCAAGGTGCCAGAACCGGCTGGTAACCTAACACACATTGGAAGGGGGTTAGGTTGGTAGAGGAGTGGCGGAGAGAGTTCTGGGCCATCTCGGCCCAGGGAATGTACCGTGCCCACTCCTCAGGCCGGTCCTGGCAATACGACCTCAGAAACCTACCCACATCCTGGTTGACACGTTCTACCTGCCCGTTACTCTCCGGGTGGTACCCTGAGGTAAGGCTAACCGAGACCCCCAAACGCTCCATGACCGCTCTCCATACACGGGAGGTAAACTGGGGGCCTCGATCAGACACTATATCCTCGGGTACCCCGTAATGCCGGAAGACGTGTGTAAAGAGGGCCTCAGCGGTCTGTAGGGCAGTAGGAAGACCCGACATAGGGAGAAGACGACAGGCCTTAGAGAACCGGTCCACAACGACCAGGATGGTGGTATTCCCCTGAGAGAGGGGAAGGTCTGTCACAAAATCCACCGAGAGGTGGGACCATGGTCGTTGTGGAACGGGCAGAGGTTGTAACTTACCCCTGGGCAGGTGTCTGGGCGCCTTACACTGGGCGCACACCGAGCAGGAGGAGACATAAACCCTCACATCCCTAGCCAAAGTGGGCCACCAGTATTTAGTGCTAAGGCAATGCACTGTCCGGCCAATACCTGGATGTCCAGAGGAGGGTGACGTGTGAGCCCAGTAAATGAGTCGATCCCGAATCTCGAGCGGAACGTACTTCCGACCCTCAGGACACTGTGGAGGGCTGGGGTCGGTACGCAACGCTCGCTCGATTTCGGCATCGACCTCCCACACCACCGGTGCCACAAGGCAAGACTCCAGTAGTATGGGAGTAGGCTCAACGGACCTCTCCTCCGTGTCATACCGCCGGGACAGCGCATCTGCCTTACCATTCTGGGACCCAGGGATGTACGTGATTTTAAATACGAACCTGGTGAGAAACATACTCCATCGAGCCTGGCGAGGGTTCAGTCTCCTCGCTGCCCGGATGTACTCCAGGTTCCGATGGTCAGTCAAAATGAGGAAAGGGTGTTGAGCCCCCTCAAGCCAATGCCTCCACACCTTAAGGGCTTGAACTACAGCTAACAGCTCCCTGTCCCCAACGTCATAGTTACGCTCCGCCGGGCTGAGCTTTTTTGAGTAAAAAGCACAGGGGCGGAGTTTAGGTGGCGTGCCGGACCGTTGAGAGAGAACGGCCCCTATACCAGCCTCAGACACGTCCACCTCAACCTGAAAGGGTAATGCGGGATCCGGATGCGCCAGCACCGGAGCCGACGTAAACAGGTCCTTCAGTCTCCTAAAGGCCCTGTCCGCATCAGCTGACCACTGCAGGCGCACCGGACCCCCTTTCAGAAGGGACGTGATGGGAGCTGCCACCTGTCCAAAACCCCGGATAAACCTCCGGTAGTAATTCGCAAAGCCCAAAAACTGCTGCACCTCTTTTACAGTGGTTGGGGTTTGCCAATTACGCACAGCGGACACACGGTCCACCTCCATTCTCACCCCTGAAGCGGACAACAGATAACCCAAAAAGGAGACCGACTCCTGGAAAAACAGACATTTCTCTGCCTTGACATATAGGTCGTGCTCCAACAGCCTCCTCAATACACGACGCACCAGGGTTATATGCTCGGCTCGGGTAGACGAGTACACCAGAATGTCATCAATGTACACGACCACCCCTTGTCCCTGCATATCCCGGAAAATGTCATCTACGAAGGATTGGAAGACTGATGGAGCATTCATCAACCCATATGGCATGACGAGATACTCGAAATGACCTGACGTGGTACTAAACGCTGTCTTCCATTCGTCGCCCTCCCTAATGCGCACCAAGTTATACGCGCTCCTGAGATCCAATTTTGTGAAAAACCGCGCTCCATGCAATGACTCCGTCATGGTCGCAATCAGAGGGAGTGGATAACTGTATTTCACAGTAATCTGATTGAGACCACGGTAATCAATGCACGGGCGCAACCCTCCATCTTTCTTCTTCACAAAAAAGAAGCTTGAGGAGGCGGGAGAAATGGAGGGCCGAATGTATCCCTGTCTCAAAGATTCGGCTATGTAAGTCTCCATAGCTTTTCTCTCCTCTTGAGACAAAGGATACACGTGGCTCCGTGGGAGCGCTGCTCCTGCCTGGAGATCAATCGCACAATCCCCCTGTCTATGAGGAGGCAACTGCGTCGCCCTAGTTTTACTAAACACGAGAGCTAAATCCCCATATTCAGGCGGAATGTGCAGTGCGGGCACTTGGTTTGGACTTTCCACCGAAGTCGCCCCCACGGAAACACCCAGACATCGCCCCTCGCACTGAGCAGACCACCCATCGAGAGCCCTCTGTTGCCACGAAATAGCAGGGTTATGGGTGCTTAACCAGGGAATTCCCAGCACCACTGGGTACGCAGGAGAGTCGATCAGATACAGCTGTATAGTCTCTTCATGACCCCCCTGCGCACACATCCTAAGTGGTGCTGTGATCTCCCTAATCAACCCCGACCCCAACGGGCGGCTATCTAAGGCATGAACGGGAAAAGGTTTGTCAACAGGTAGGAGAGGGATCCCTAAATCTAAACAAAACTTCCGATCAACAAAATTCCCAGCTGCGCCTGAATCTACTAGCGCCTTATGCTGGGAATGAGGTGCAACCTGTGGAAAACACACAGGTATACAAAAGTGCGCAACAGAAAGCTCTGGGTAAGTGGGACGTCTACTCACCTGGGAGGCCCCCCCAGTGCGTGGCCTGTTGTCTTCTCCCCCGGAGAACCCTCCCCAGCACCTGGCCGCAGTGTGCCCTCCACGACCGCACTTGGTGCAGGAGACAGGCCCCCTCGGGCTCCTCCTCCTCCTTTCTCTAGCGCCGGCACCCCCGAGCTCCATAGGGCTCGGCTCGGAGGTGCCGGAGGGCGGAATGGACGGACCCCCCTCGGGACGTCCACGGGTGGCCAGCAGGGTGTTCAGATGGATGGACATATCGACCAACTGGTCGAAGGTGAGATGGGTATCCCTGCAGGCCAACTCACGTTGAACGTCCTCCCGTAGGCTACATCGAAAATGGTCGATGAGGGCCCGTTCATTCCACCCTGCGTCCGCCGCAAATGCCTGTGTGCTCCTCCTCCCCTGTCTCAGGTGGACTAGACGCTCCCCCGCCGCTTTGCCCTCAGGTGGATGGTCGAACACGGCCTTGAAGCGACGGGAGAACTCGGCGTAGGAGATGGTGTTGGCGTCCATCTTCCTCCACTCGGCGTTGGCCCATTCCAACGCCTTGCCCGTGAGACAGGAGATGAGGGCGGAAACGCTCTCGTGTCCCGAGGGCACCGGGTGTACAGTGGCCAGGTAGAGCTCCACCTGCAGGAGGAACCCCTGACACCCGGCAGCTGTTCCGTCATACGCCCTCGGGAGCGAGAGCCGAATCCCCCTGGGTTCCGGACCTGGGACTGGTGGACCGGCCGATGGGGTTGGCAGGGTAGGTGGAGGTGTGGGTACCCCTCTGGCCTCCCATCGGTGCAGGGTGTTGATGACGTCCTGTAGAGCGGTCCCCAGTTGTCGTATCTGGTCATCCTGGCCGCGGACATGCTCCTCGAGCGACTCAGGCGTAACTGCAGATCCTGCTGATTCCATTCTGGTGTGTGATTCTGTCAAGGGGTGCTGAAGGTGGGTGTGGTGCATGAATCAAGCGCAGGACGCAGAAGCTCAGTCCAAAAGACTTTAGTGCAATATTCACGTAGAAAATAAGCACAATAAGCCCGAAGGCGAAATAACGGCGCACACAGGCGTCAAACAAACGGCGCACTAACATGTGCGAAAACCTCTCCAAAACACTGGAGGGAAGTACGTAGCTCCAACACCAAAACAGATGAGCAATCACACACAAAGACAAACACACACAACGAGAACTAAATAGGACACTAACGAGGACTAACAAGACACAGGTGTACAACATCAAGACAAAACCAAACGAACATGAAACATAGATCGGTGGCAGCTAGTACTCCGGGGACGACGACCGCCGAAGCCTGCCCGAACCAGGAGGAGGAGCAGCCTCGGCCGAAACCGTGACACCCCTGCTTAAGCCAGTACATGTCCAGGCCCGTCTGAAGTTTGCTAGAGTGCATTTGGATGATCCAGAAGAGGATTGGGTGAGTTGCATCCAAAGAACACCATAGGGGGGTGGAAACATCTTGCTTTGGGGCTGTTTTTCTGCAAAGGGACCAGGACGACTGATCCGTGTAAAGGAAAGAATGAATGGGGCCATGTATCGTGAGATTTTGAGTGAACACCTCCTTCCATCAGCAAGGGCATTGAAGATGAAACGTGGCTGGGTCTTTCAGCATGACAATGATCCCAAACACACCGCCCGTGCAACGAAGGAGTGGCTTCGTAAGAAGCATTTCAAGGTCCTGGAGTGGCCTAGCCAGTCTCCAGATTTCAACCCCATAGAAAATCTTTGGAGGGAGTTGAAAGTCCGTGTTGCCCAGCGACAGCCCCAAAACATCACTGCTCTAGAGGAGATCTGCATGGAGGAATGGGCCAAAATACCAGCAACAGTGTGTGAAAACCTTGTGAAGACTTACAGAAAACGTTTGACCTGTGTCATTGCCAACAAAGGGTATATAACAAAGTATTGAGAAACTTTAGTTATTGACCAAATACTTATTTTCCACCATAATTTGCAAATAAATTCATTAAAAATCCTACAATGTGATTTTCTGGATTTTTTTTCCTCATTTTGTCTGTCATAGTTGACGTGTACCTATGATGAACATTACAGGCCTCTCTCATCTTTTTAAGTGGGAGAACTTGCACAATTGGTGGCTGACTAAATACTTTTTTTCCCCACTGTAAGTAAACTGAGATATGACTAAAGTGTTAATCAGGGTGATTTTTCCACAAATAGACAGGTATTTTCCTTTCCATGGTAGCAAGATCTTATTTATTTTTGCTAACTTTACATTCAAATGTATTGTAGTGAGATCATTTATTTATTTCGGGATATGAATACCGAGTATGTCCACTTCACTTTCAGACCATTTTATTGGTAAACTACACGGTAATGTCAAAGTTGTATTTTTTTGTGATCCAATACGTAATATAGTACACTTGTCATCATTTGGTTGTAATCCAGAGGTTCGAAAAATTATCTAGATCCTCTATGAGGCTGTGGAGGGATCCAAATAGTGTATTTAAAAGAAAACTTGAATCATCAGCGTACAATGACACCTTTACTTTTAAGCCCTGGATTTCTAGCCCCTTGATATTATTGTTGGATCTGATTTGAATAGCTAACATTTCGATGGCCATAATAAATAGATATGTCGATAGTGGACAACCTTGTTTTACTCCTCTTGACAGTTTAATACTTTCTGAGAAGTAGCCATTATTTACTATTTTACACCTAGGGTTACTATACATAACTTTAACCCGATGTATAAGAGATTCTTAAAAATTGAAATATTCCAGGCATTTATATATACATTTCAGTCGTACTTTATCAGAAGCCTTTCCAAAGTCAGCTATGAATACCAGGACTGGTTTTTCAGATTTTTGCGTCACAACACTGAAGTGTAAGGGGCCTCCAATTATTTTTATGGATTGGATCTTTATATTTACCACCTGGGTCCTGTTTCAGTAATAGTGAAATCAGACCTTGTTGTTGAGTATCTTATAATCTAAATTTTTTGTAAGAGTGGTTAAAACATGCTAATAACGGTCCTCTGAGTACATCAAAAAAGGTTTGATATACCTCAACTGGTAGGCCATCCAGCCCTGGGAATACCAAAGTAGCACTTTTATTATTTTAATGTCTTATTTAACTTTTATTTTGACAGGGAGTCATGCTGAGACCAAGGTCTCTTTTACAGATGAGCCCTGTATACACATCAAATACATCAATACACATCAATATACACTATACACATCAATATACACATCAATATTCACACCAATACATGAAAAGCAAAACACAATCATTACTGTCCCATTTCATCGCAACTATTCCAGTATGCAGTGAAATACTGTATGAGTTGTGTATGAACTGTATGCCACCTGCTTGGAGCACTTACGCCTGCGCAGTAGTCTCCACTGATGGTGACCCTCTGGTACTCTGGGCAGTTCTCTGGGAGTGAGGAGCAGGTGGAGGAGGGTGAGAGGAATGGGGTCACCACAGAACGGGCCCACTCTGCAGTCACAGGGATCTGCAGGCCCTGGAAGGACGCTGACTGGGAACGGATCATCTTGAAACTTTTCTTCCTAGAAACCAAACATTCTTATGAATACCCGACACTCCAGTACTGAATTGATCAGCTAGTTTAGATTCCATGAGGTCCTGTATTGTTGAGGGCCAGACTCACCTCTTGGCGCTCTCTTCTGAATGCTGCTCTGCCAGCTCTTTGAGCAGCTCCCTCTCCTTGGCCTGGTGCAGGCCGATGGGACAGTCCTCAGGGACGGTAAACATGGACAGGGCATCCTTAGTGTCCTCCTCCTTCAGCGCTGACGCATACACCTTCTCAGCCAGCAGACGTGTCTCCTCATTCACCTCACTCAGCGTGATCTTAGGGAACTGTCGTGGCATGTCTGTAAAAACACCAGCAATAGTGTAGCAGCCTATATAAACACTGTACAGATATGTATACACGTAGATAGTCATTTTGGAGGGGTTAGATTGGAGTTTTGGAGGGGTTAGATTAGTTTTGTTATTGTAGGAGGTGGAACTGCCACTTAATTCGTCCCCAAAAATAGCTGCCATTTCCAGTGTTTGTATCCACTCAGAACTCAAATCTGCTTTGTCATCACACCTCACTGTCATGACATCGCTCCGCAATAAGCATTGCTTTGCATGTTCACCTAGTATTAATGGAGAACAATTAGCACCATGTATTAGCTAATATTACAACAATTAGCATATATTCGTTTATTTGCTTAGCCCATTCTTTCTGTCTCCAGATATCAAATAACGTAATTTAGAGTGTAAGTTACCTCGAGGCAAGGCAAAACAACCACCATGACAGATTGACAAATTGTGCTGCGCTTGTACTGCAATCTCCTTTTGAAATGACTCCGGTAAGCAGATCCTTGAGCACTTGTGACCGACATAAATACTGACAACTGGTCAAGTTTCATCCAACATGCTAACCGTATTTGCCTCTGAGACAATATGCTATTTTCACTTATGACCTTTAGGGTCAATGCCAGGACCTCATAATATCCTCCCTGAGGACAACATAGAGAGGGTAGAGAATGGCATCAGGTTAGTGTTTCGCTAACTCAGAGACTGTCTACTGAGTGAATTGTACTGTCAGATGTCATCTTATTAATGAAGTTTTAATTCCCATTCTCTTCGTATTCTGAAGACCAGAGTATCTGCAGTTGTACACTCAGGCTGCAACAATACTGTTTATACTGTTTCATGAACATGTTTGTTTGTCATGTATCAAGATGAGGCTAGGGACACAAATCTTGAGCTGGCAGACTACATTACAAAATCTGCTGTCTTCAAAATTGAAAACTCAACTTGGGAAATACAGTAGGAATGCCATTTTTATTTGTCTCCAGACACATACCAGCTCTATTCCTTTAAGGTTTATGGTCCTAATCATAATCACCTCTGTAACCATGACAGTAACGGTTGTACTGTAGACTTTATAGCCCTGTGTCTGATTGTCGGTCTCTGGTCCAGTAACCACACTGTTGTCCCATTTAGGGACGTGTCTCCACCCACAGATCAAGTGACTGGACTGCGAGGAGTTTGTTGATACCCACAATGACATGAAACCCAATCCACCGAGGCATCACTGTGGCCATACAGAGCTTGCGCCCCTGAGAGAAAGGCCCTAGTGTCATCGGTGACAGAGTAATGTCAAGGCTCCAAGAGGGCTGCCATTCCTGACACAATTCTGTGCCACAAACACCCCACTGCTCACCCTAAGCCACTTCCAAGAACAGCTTTGTGGATCAAACTTGCACCTGTCCACTGCCCACTGCACTGCAGACAGAGAGAGCAGCACATTACAGCAAAGACCACAGGTGAACTCTGAAAGCTGGGACGGTTTCTGTGAAGCAGCAGCAGCATAAATAATATAGCACCACTTCTTCCTCTCAAAGAATTGCAGTGCTGCTTCACTCACACACGCACACACATCCTCTCTCTCTCTCTCTCTCTCTCTCTCTCTCTCTCTCTCTCTCTCTCTCTCTCTCTCTCTCTCTCTCTCTCTCTCTCTATCTATCTCTCTCTCTCTCTCTCTCACTCTCTCTCTCTCTCGCTCTCTCATACTGCTGCCTCAGCATCAGTTATACATCATTTTCTCAGTCGGAGACACCAAACAGCCATCAGCATTCCTCCCAGAGTTCTAGCCATCTCATTTCCATTACACGTTATGAACTTTAACACACTCTCTCAAACAGCAACACAATAGTTTCTGAGGCTCTTGCTGCTAGAACAGTATGTAGTGTACCTTAACTCGTTATCATCTGCTATGTGCCTTACCTTCCGGTCTGTTCACAGCCATCTCTCTGTGCTGTACAGGCTCCACTGGGAGTCCTGATGATTGGAATCTCAGCTACAACCACGGTGTCTCTGTACAGGCTCTCTGGGTAGAGACTGGCTAACAGGCTGGCTGCCTGACTTTGATGGGCTGGCTGTGATGTGGGTCAGTCCCACTCTGAGCCTGCCGTGGTTCACGACCGTGGTTCTGTTTTCTTTGAGTGTCCTTTATCTATTTTAAGAAGCCAATGGCATCATGTCGACAGAGCCACTAATCCTTGGGATATGTCACAACTGGCTGTCTACAAAGAGAGAGCCCAGAGCCGAGCCACCGGCACTCCCCCATCCAGCTGGGCTCACACACACACTCACATACAAACACTCCTCACACACTCCTCTCCACCTTTGGGACAGTGATGAGTCACAAGCTGGTAGCCGCAGCCTTCCTATTTAAGGAGCCAGATAGCAAGCTATGCAGCCGTCGCAAGTATTGTAAACATTACCCAGGCAGCCCTGATTGAGAGGACTGCCGCTGCGCAGCCATGCATCATCACTGCTTTGCCTCAGAGCCTCGAGAGACCTGCCCGCACAAATAATCTCAGCTCTGACCTTGGTTTAGGTGCATGGTGTTAGAAGGAAAAATCCTGCTGTAGTTCCCTGGCATCATGTCAGTCAGCGGAAGGGTAATCACCCTCAGTAAAGGATCAAACTAACTCACACTCTAACATCCCCCCATTAGAATAGGTGATGACAAAAAAGTGGTGACGCACAAACCCATGTTTACCCATGCACACACTGTCCTTCATGTTCATGCTCAAAGCTGCCAATTTGAAACCCTATAGGACCCTCTACCCTGATCTGTGTGATTCAGTCCAGGCTGATCCTATCTGCCACTGGCTTCGGCAGGGACACTCACATAGTTTGTAGTGTATGCTGTAAATACATGACATAGGACTCCATTCTCTACCTGGTACTGGTGTTGTTCAGCGTTCCCAGTAGAGCTCCAGAAAGAGAGATGTATGGCAGATTAAACTCAGTGTTTTCGATAAGGTCCTGTTGTTTCCCCCAATGACAACTGCTGCGGCTCTGATTACACCCACTTGACTACAACTCACATCCCAGCTGCCTGTCCAACCCCCTCTGCTCAGACACACACACACACACACACACACACACACACACACACACACACACACACACACACACACACACACACACACACACACACACACACACACACTCCAACCTGCAGGTCACAATGTTAACAATCTGTGTTTATTTTTACCTGACGTGTTGAGGTTGACTGTCTAATGCCTCACAGCAGAATTATTTATCTTTGGACAGCAACAATGTCATTTAGCTTGCTCTGTATTTCATTCAGAGCTTCATTACATGGAGAAATAATGTTGCTCCGCATTAGAGCTGACTTCCTATTATTGATCTGCACATCTGGTTTTGGGAGCATTAGATCATTATGACTGAGGGGATTTCTGCTGCAGCTCCATAGAGAGCATTACAGGATATTAATGTAGGCACAGCCACAGTCCGATCTTAATGGTTCCCAATCTGCACTGATGTACTCATGATAGGGGGATGTGGGGAATGAGAGAGAGAGAGAATGAGAGAGAACTGAGCCAGGATCAGTTGTATGTGTTGTTCTAAGCCTCTGTAAGTTCCAGGAAGCCCCTCTGAGTCTGCAAGTGGCATTTTGATATAATGATGTTGGAACTTGAGCATCTCCTGGATGAGTTGTTTCCTAATGGTCTGGTCATTGTATCCCTGCTATCTTCCTGTCTGTGTTGGATCATTTATTGTAGCACTCCCTGTACCTGAGGAACATTAGGCCAGAGGATCATACCAGTAATTCTCTTGCCTCAGACACAGCTGTCGCACACTGTTTTTATCATGTCCTCACTGGGCTCTCTCAGACACCAGCCTGCTGTCACTGGTGGGGGTCCAGTCCTGAATGTACCTTCTGTCAAAGATACCTCTATAAGAGAAGGTCAACTACATCTCTGTCAGTCTGTGTATGAGAAAGACACTTATCAACCTGGCTAAATATATTTTAAGAGAGTACAGTGCAGTATATCAACCTTTATGAGCATTGGTTGGAGTGGTAGTCATTTTATTTATAGGGCTGATGTCTACATGTATGAGGGTCTACATACATGAGTGAGAGAGCATAAAAGAGATTGAGTGAATGAATAAGCCTGAGAGAGCGAGAGAAAATGAGAGAGGGGAGGAGGGCGAGAGCAAGCTTACCGTTTCCCAAGCAGGAGCTTGACTGCTGCTTTAGCAGAGGGCTGTCCCCTCTCCTCATCTTCCAAACAGGGTTTGGGCCTGGGGGAGAAGAGTGGAAAAACAAAACAGCGCAGTCATGCACAAGCGCAATGCAGCTTTGCCCAGAGTGTTCCTCAGACACAGTTGGATGGGCCCTTAATGCATTTACATTAGTCTCATAGTATTGACAGATTGATGCTCATAAACATAAAAGTCATTAATCCCGTTGATATGATCTTAGGGAAAGAAACTGGAGAAGATAGCAAGTTGCTGAATCAGTAAGACTATGTAAGAAACACAATGCACGTTCAATATGTAGCATATCACCAACAGATGTCAATGATCCATCATTTGAGTCTTGGTGAGATACAATAACATCTTTAGATCATAGCTGTTCACTCACCTCCTCTGTCTCCGTGCCTCCGTTCCCTCTGCAATCAGGCAGACTATATGAACCCTGGACGTTCCCTCAGAGAAAACCCTCAGTCATTTTCTGCTCCTGTGGTGGTAAGGAGCTAACTCCCTCACCGCCCTCTAGTGCACAAGACACCATCCTTAACTCTTTCACTGCCGCTGCATAGCAAATGACATAAAGTAAAATGTTCATTCTTACTACTTACCCAGAATGCAAATGAGCATGAGTTGGTCATAACTCACACAGGTTACACTACCATTGTTGTCCTCGCACCGTCCCTCTCTGCATATTCTACTGCCGCTCCTCAGTTTAGCAACTCCCTCTTCGGTCTGAGACAAACTGAAAAAGAGGTGCTGACATTCTGCAAAGAGCATATTGTTAAACATCAGTACTTTGTGAAGAGTCCTCTTCCAGCAGTAGACACAGTGGGCCCTCATGTGGAGGATTTGTTATTGCAGGATATCAGGGTTAGATTAGCCTGGTCCCAGATCTGGTTGTGATATCATGTCAACTCCATGGCATGACAAGGAGTGGCAACGAGTGGCATGATGGCACAAACAGCCTGGTACCCAGGCTAGGGTGAGATATGATGCTGCCAAGATGTCAACCTTCCTGTAACTCAAACTACAACCTCATGTATTGTAGATGTGTTTGGATAATATCACCACTCTGAGGTCATCTTCAACACACATGTGCATCTTACCACATGTATGTCATAGATGATCAGAGAGTGTATTAGCTAGCATGAGACAGCGGTGTGGCTCTCCACAGGGCCTAGGAGGAGATCCAGCTTTACCACTGTGCCCTTTTCCGCCACAGGCCTCATGGTGCTTGATTTAGCCTGGCACTGCTAGATTACAACACTAACCCTCCCCTGCTCAGGTTATCGGGGCACTTGTAGAGTTGGCTGGAGAAGACTCACTCACAGAGCCATCGGTCTGCTGCTCCTGATTGACTGACAGACAGCAGGACAGAAGGATATGGGCTTGTACTGTATGAATCTGCCCTGGGCTCCTCTAGCTGTCTGCCTGGGGTAGAGAACAGCATGTCACAGTTGGCCAGAGGCTTCACTTCCTCCATAACCAGAATGGAAAAACTGCATCATGTCTCCAAGTGAAGCATGGGAAAGGAGATGGCTTCTCACTGATATGACTGTGGAAGTGATCAGGACTGCGTCCATAAACAGCGTAAGTATGTGATCTTATCCAAGCCTTATTGTATACTGATATTTGGCTTCCCTGACAGCTTCAGACTGTGGTTATATCACACATGCCGTGCTAACCAATTGATTACATTCATTTGGATTATTCAATTATGCATTGATATCTAATGACATTTAGTGGTTGAGATACAGTATCTTCAATGACGTTGTGATGGAAAGAATGTCCCTCTTGTGACTTTGTGATAACCTCTAAGAGGAACACAAGAATCACACGTCTTACCAAGCCATGGGCTCTTATCAAGCATCTAGGAGGGCCTGGGGGAGTAATTCTAGTTTTTTGACTGATTGGAGACCTGCACTAGTCAGTTTGTAGACGCTATCACACCACTGGATGACTCCTTGTGTCCCTATGGCAAGGCAAATCTATCCACTTCGTTTTCTTCTCAGATTTTTAACAGAACAATGACAGGACCGTTGTTGAGTTTTCCTATGTGAGCAGTCATTCAACTGACTGTAGAGCAGCGTATGGCAAGTGTCAGCTACTGTACCTACCACCAGGTGGCAGAGTCGCCAAGAAAGAAGAGGTAGTACCGTAGCGTTGTTTACACACGTCTATGGATAGAGCGGAGCCTAAGCCCTGATACTGTTGAAATAAATCCAAAGTGTGAGCTAATATGAACATGTGTGGGCAAGCAATTGTCATGTATATTCTATATTCTAGAGGACAGTATGAGATGTGTGTTATTCCTTTCTGATGTACATTACAGTTAAATGATGAATGACAGCCCTAAGGCATTAGTACCGTCTTACTGTGTGATGGGTCACTTCTTGGCTTTGCCTTTATGGACAACTGTCTGGGCTTGATGGTTTTACATACGCTGAACTTCTACTTGGTTAGCCACATGTCTTAGTTCCTACTTTTTTTTCTGGATTTTGTCCTGGAAACTGTTGATACAGTTTGCAGCTTTTGGAGTCTGGGTAGTTTTTAGGTAGTTTGTTGTCTCACTTGGCCAGAAGTCATAGTCTTGTGTTTGCTCTGTCTGCATAGTTCCAGGAAAAGCCTTGAACTTTAGGCTAGCAGGGCCTTCTTGGTGACCCATGGTGGAATTTGTTAAAATCACTTCACAATAAAAATGTGATTGATTAGTATTTGACAACTCTCACATTTTCCTTGATCACTCTTGACCTGTATACATAATGCCTTATGTAAGATCTGTTGCGCCGTCTGTTCTGTGACATTTGTAGTCAGATCACTCTGTTCAAAATCAAAGAGATTTTCACCTCTTCAACTCTAATTATTACTGTCAGAGGCTTTGAAGATGGAGAGGTCCATTGCATGCTTTAGCCTCTTGGCATATTTCCACTGTTTTTCGGTTCTCACACTCAAAACTTCCATTCCTTACATGAAGGAAAGTAATGAACTTGAGATGCATGGCCCCCAGGCTTACAGGATGGCCACGTCTCCAACTGTCCAGGTGTCCCCTGGAGGAAGGAGGATTGATGATGAGGTTTCCAAACACTAGTTAGGGAGACATTTACCTGAGTATACTCATCATTTAGCTCATATGTCACCTTATAAACTGCTACTGTCCTCAATGTTGCCTGTGTGGATTTCAGCACTGCTGTGGTCCAACTGTAACAGGCCCAGGATGTTTCACTACTCTTTAGTGATTTCAAAAAACATTTCTGGAGATTGAATAGGTGACACATCTATTTTCCATTAGTACCATTTAAAAATGATGCTTTTGTGTAGGTGGCCAAAGCGATCACTTTGTCAAGCTGGTGCCATTTGAAGTCACTAGATGGCATTAGAGCCAAAACAATGTAATTGAAACATGTCTCTGGCAAGCTGTCTTGTAGCGCATGCCTTCTCATACAGATAATAATCATCTGCATTGCAATTCCATTGGCGCCTATCCCTGACTTTTACAATGACCCAAGACAATCCATAACCTCTCTCTGGCCCAGTGGAGTTACTAATGACCATGTTTTGAATAAGACAGGAAGGAAGTGCAATGGCCTCTTCTTGAACCACACATACATCCAAATTGTATTATGCATACCAATCAAATAGAGTTCTGGTATACACGTCACTTGCCTGTGCAGCAACATATTCGATAGATTTGGTCAGCAAGCAAACAAAATAGGTAGGGTATACCACAGACAGTTGTTGGAAACCCTTAAATGTTATTCAAAATGTACTTTTGAAATGACCTGTGGAAGAGTAAACTTTAATGAGAACAATTATATTTTGTTAACTGCCATTAATAATTGCTTAATTATTGTAATAACTGTTCCTGACTTAATTAATATTTAATAAATAAACATCATATTTTACAGGCTTTGATATTTAAAACATCCAAGGAGTGACTGTAATCTTCCTGTGGCTGATTAATAGCAATGACACATTTTTGTGGTTAGGAGTGTTCTACCATGGAAAGTCTTGTCAAAGCCACATTGCTAATGAATGCCAGATGCAGGCAGAGGGACCTGGAGCCTAGGTTAAATAATCAAACCCTTAGCTTTATGTTCCCAATCTATTGATCATAATAGACTGTGAACCAAGTGGCTTGGATTGGTTGTAGCCTTGGCTACTCCATGCAAACAACTCATGACAATGAACATGACAATACATCAATCTCTTGGAATAATTGTACCTTTGGTAGGGATGTTGGTATCTTGTATGAATGAATAGCACTGTGGAATTTCCGTTTCTGAGAAGTAAATGTACAACAATTAGATACTCTGAGATTCACATTCCCTGAGGATGGAGGGAGAGGTCAGCAACCTCTCTGTCCTGTCCAGTCGGATGTGGTATCTCTGTCTGTCTGTCTGTCTGTCTGTCTGTCTGTGTACACAGCTCATGAACGCGCTTCACGAGAGCTGTTTTTACGATGTTCTCTGCGTGCCTCTCAGGAATGTTACACAGACCCCCCTCCATCCCCCTCATAGCGCTGCATCCTGATGTCCTGACCATCTACCATTGTGTGCAGATGGAGCTGGGTCTCTCAGTCTCCTGTACTGGCTCAAGGGCCATGCTGCGGTGTGGAGCGAGCCAGCAAATATGCACTGTACTATGCAGGAATGCGCCTGGCACTCCTGTCTACCCTCTAGGGGGGTCACAGGGAGAGTGGAAGGGGGGTTGATTTAATGAGACCCTGAAATCACTTAACCCAGACCAGGTGCTGTGTGTCTCACTGGAGCTGGGCAGACGATAGAATGCCACTTTCAATTTACAACAGTAATTTCCTGTGGAAAAGAGAAAGTCTGGACAGAGTCAAGTTTTATATGCAAAATGTTTATTGTATGACAATGTTAATTGCTTCAACACAAATAAAATAGACCACATTTACAAATATATTATACCATAGCTATAAAACCATTTATCCTATTACCACAGTTTGAAACATATAACATCCATGATGCAAACAATAGTGGAAACAACAAATAGCTACAATGCCCTTATATTTTCTTCCTGTACGAAAATAGGTTAGTCTCCATAAGTAGTTGAATCTAACCTATATAACATTTAAATAATGATATCTGAAATATCTTATATACAAACTGGCAAATAAAAATATACATACATAGATTGCACATGTGTTTATACAAAACATATTCAAGTATAGTTCAATCCATTGTGGACTGGCACAGATATTTCATACAATCTCTAAGGTATTTCCCTCATACAGTGTCCAAAAACTTCAGCTTCATAGCTCCTTATTATAAGTCCATCTCCATATGTCTTATCTCCCTGTTTGGCATGGACCAGATGTCTTTAGATGTATTTTAGGTCCACATGGATGTCTGACTGAGAAGGCTGGGACTGAAAAGTGCAGATGAGTATAGTGGGTTTGGTGAAATTGGCTCCTGTAATCCACAGAGTAAAACTCAAAGTCCAGGATTTGCAGAAGAGGTGTATAAGTCCCAGTATTTACGCAGTGGCCTCTTTTCTGAGTCTGTACCGATGTATTAACCTTGTTCCTCTCCCTCAGCTGTGCAGAGATAGCACCATCCTCAGCATCTCTCCCTCTCTCTCTTCACGGTGCTATCCAGTGCCTGTAGACCAGCTGTTGTTTTGGCGCTCTGCATCGCCGATGCCTCTGCTGAGTCCAGCTTCCAGAGGCACTGCAGCTATCGCTCAGTACTTGCGCCTTTTAGAACAGGGCAGAGACACTAAGCCTCGGCTGCTGCTCTCCTCCCCTGTTCCTCCCCCGTACAAGTCCAGCTCATGTCCGTCTGAGCAGCTCCTCCAGCTTGTGAACATGTGAGTCTGCGTTGCCCCACACTGGCCTCAGCCTGCCCCCTTCCAGCCTCAGTGTGGTCCTGCGCTCAGGGAGGGAACGACGCCTCCGGCCGTAGCCCTGTGGGCTGATCTTGTCGATGGGTGCACTACCAATCTTTAGCTTGTTGTTGAGCTGGTGGATACGGTGGGCCAGGTCGTGCACCGTGCAGGTGCCCAGAGAGCAGCCCGGTCTCCAGGCCTGGTTCACTGAATTTTTTGATCTCTTGGTTCGGACGCTGATGTCAGTGCTGGAAGAAAGAGGATGGAGAGGACCATTAATTAATGCGCTGCATTCCTGAGCGGACACAACTTGGCTCAGAGATCCCATGCGCAGTGTGCATACTTTAATGAGCCTTGTTTGACAAGGGTGATTCATCTCTTAATTCCATTTGAAATCTTGATTTCACAAGGATAACGAAATAGCACCATGCACATTGAGTTATGTAAAGGTATGTATGGTATGGGCTTTTACCTGGAATGAGGAATCAGGGTGTCCCTGACGTCTTCTGGTCTGACAAACTGTACAGACTCTGATATCCTCTCTGCAGAAAAACTTTTTAGATCTCGTCTCGATCTGCTCTGCATCCATATGCTCAACCTGAGAAAAAAATTAATTCAACTCATTAAAAACTGTTCAAAAAAGTCCACAAAGTACACAACAGTATGTGCTTATATCATGGTCACTATGCATTGCAACAAACTAATCTTGACAAATAGCTAATCAATTAGCTTACCTCTTTTTGAGCTCTGGGCTCATTTCAAGTTTGAATCCAGCCACGCTCTGTGCAATGGTGGCCAGCAGACAGCCGTAGAGGAAAGACTGCAGGATCAGTTTCATTTTGACTGGCACCTGTGGGGAAAGTGGAGAAAAAAAAAGTTTGTTATTTACTTATTAATGATTACTTACTTAGTTACCTCCTATCATACCATGAGAGCCCCACACAAGAGTCCAAAAGCCAAGTTATTTGCACTTATCATTCATTTATTTAAAATGTCACACTAAGGTCACATTATGTTCTGTTAAGTAAACTTCCAACCAAGTTGCAGGCCCTGGCCAGTGAAAAGCAAGGACACAGTCTATAGAACACTGAGTTTCCTCAACTAGAGTCAGCTTTAAGCTCCCCTGAGCAAAGTCAATCCCATTCAGTCAATTAAATCCATAGCGCAAAAATAACCAATAAACTTAAGGTTGGATAGAGAGAGATAAGCCTAATCTGTTATTTTTGCCTGATGTCTTTCACACACAAGGGCCACCACCCCCCACAGTCATGCACAATAAGACTGCAACTCCTTATTTAATAAGACTGATAACCTGTCCTTGTCAAACGCACTTGAGCTCCTGACCTCAAAAAAGCAAGGATAAAGCCATCTGTAGTAAGCAGAGCAACAGTCAATATCTGCTTCAATTGAAAGTACATACCTGAAATCCTTCAATAATTCACTTGGGTGATAAAGTAGTTATAGTAGAGTCAATGTGGAGAGAGTATTCCACAGGCTTCTTGAAGTTGCTGTTGGTGCTGAAAGGCAGCTGTGACACTGTGCTAATAGTCTCTACACACCAGACGTTGAGCCTTTATAGTGGAGGTGGGAGGGGCTCACTGACTGACACACACAGACTCTCATCCCAGTCCCCCGCTCCACCCCACACAGCCCAGCACTGGTGGAAGCCTGCTTTATCAGTGGGATAATGCAACAACATAGCAAACCCAGGAGAATAATACAGTTTAAATAAACCAGAAGTAAGTCAATAAATATTTGGGTCATATGAGAGTGATTTACTTTAATACTTGTTAAGGAATGTTGTTGTTGTTACCTCTGTTTTTCATTGACAGAATCTTTATTTGTGATTTGAAATTCACATTTTTACAACCTTAAAGATTACATATATATATTTTATGTCTTCACAAACACATGAAGAGTAATTCTGACAGACTAATGAGTTTCTAAATTAAGAAAATTAAGAAATAATGATTCACACTCCCAACAGAGACAATGATGAGTGCTCATTACTTTGGTATTTGGGGAGGAGGCAGAGAACATTCTAAACCAAATTATTATTTCCACTGACATAATTAAACATTTTGGACATAACTGAACTTTGAGGTCAAGGGAATATTAACTTTTGCCCACCTGCATTCCGGCACATTTTTGTCATATATAATTTCATCAATGTTGAGAAGGCAATGTCTGATTACAAGTTTAGTCAGCTTGAGGAAAAGTTGGTTAGTGGGTTTGACATGAGATAACACAAGAACACTCAGTAGTTATTCATTAATAGTAAGTGTGTCAAATTATAACAACAACATTCTCCATGTCTGCATTTGTTTAAACATTAAACAATTTGACTGCAAAATTGATTATTTATTTTCATATTTTCTGGACAAATGTTTAGAGGAATTTAGCAATTATCTAAAATAAATATTTTTCCTAAGATTATATCTGTTGGCTTTACATAATCTGCAACTAACATAGTATTTGAAAAAACAATTAGGATGTCTTCTTCATGCTCAACACATCACAACTGAGATCCAGAAATTAAGGGGATAATAGGTTCAGTCACAAGAGCCAGCAAGTCTGTCTGCCTCCGTGACTCAGATCCATGTGTTACTGATATCTGCTCCTCACGATCACCGATTATATGACTTCATCTCAAACCAAAGTACAAGGAGTGCACTGAACCCCTGTAGCTCTTTGACCATGATAAGAGCACATTTACTTTCCATTTGTGCTTAGCCAAATTAAACCATTCCAGAATTAATAGTGAGACTTATTTCAACGTATGGGCAGTGAAATAAAGTGAAATATGCAGGGGGGTCAAAACAATGTCAGCGAGGGTCATAAGGCAGATGCTGATTACAGGCCCCTGGGGATAGATATCTGCACAAGATGCCATCAGGATTAGCACAGGGGGTAACAATTTTAGTTTTTTTATTCCAATCGACCACACAGCTGACCAAAAGCTGGTGTCTGTTGAGGGTATGTCTGGGGCTGGGAACAGTGTGTTGAAATTTGCTTGTGTAGTCCCCAAGACTTGGTTTAAAATCTCAACAACACACTGAGAAACATGTAAGCGTTGATGTGGTCAGATAATCACGATTTGTGGGTTTCACTGTGTAATGTCTTTAATAGCAAATACGTAAGTATTTTGGGAACAACATGTGAAATGCTTTCTCAGTGCTCAGAATGTATCTCAAACAACTGATAAAGAACCTTGTACGTGCTGAATAGAACATATCTGTGTGTATCTTTCGAATTTGACTATATCACGTGCAGTAATTCAGAAAGAAAGTCACCTAAATCTCCCTTCAGCCTTGAATAGAAATCCTCTTACACAGCATTCTTTTCATAATTATTATGGCTTCCTTGCTTACCAAGTGTCACTTGTGTTACTATAAATACATAAATGTGAAACACGTGTTGTAAACCAGCAAACATTTTGTAACCATTTTGTAATGATAATTCCCACCACTAGACAAGTAATCCCGAAGCACTCAAGTAATTTAATCTCCTAATATGGAGAGAAGAAGATTGCGCAACCATGACAGCATCATTGCTCAGTGGCTCCTTACATGGAGCAATCATTTGTTAGCTTCTTGTAGGACAGGTGTCAGGAACATTACTGATATTTCTTCAGTCACAGCTGTGGTATGCTAATGTACACAGGTAAGGTGGGAAGGATGGTAAGTTAGGAAGCTATGTCTTGGAAGGTTTATAGAGGAATAGATGAACACATACCTAGATATTGATATGTTATGGAAATGTTCCTCAACGTTGTCATGGTGATTTGATAGACCTGGAAGCTTTGTGGGGTTTGCACCTGTATAGTCATTCATTCTCAGATTTATGTTTCATTCTGCTCCCTTCAACCCCATTGATCTGGAACAATTTCAAACGTTTTTGGATTCAACAACTCAAATACCAAAGTCTGTAGAGGAGATGACAAAAGTCATTATTTATTATTTCATCTGCAGACGGAGTGGCAGACATGTTGGATTATTATAAAATACTTTCTATTTAAAAATATTATGCTATTGTGCAAAATACAACTAGGCTACATGTCTGGTGTTGGAGTGAAGACCCTGTCATGACAGATATGATAACACCTTATGGGAGAGAAGCAGCTGATAGCATAAGCAGAATGGTTGGAGGAGCGGCATCATCAAAATGAACTTAACAATAGGCTACTTGTTAATGAAGAGATTCTCTCTCAAATTGCCCTAGTACGCTAGGGACAATGACGTTGTGGAATATGTTCAGTCCAAGTTGTTGAGATGTTGGCAAAAACAGCACAAGAGGAGAATTCCCGCGCACCGGTGTTTTCCACCCCGGAGCGTCTCCCTCCCCTATTTATTGGCAGGAAAGGTCACTCACTGTCCACAGCATTCCAGAACTGAGTGGAGTTCTGCGCACTTTTTTCACCTTGGACCAAGTCGTGTGTGTGAGTGATCCTAATGCCCCCCGATGTGTGTGTGTGTGTGTGTGTGTGTGTTTGTGTGTGTTTGCGCCATAGACATTAAAAGGTGTGCGCTTGTGTGTCTGAGAGAGAGAGAGAGAGAGAGAGAGAGAGAGAGAGAGAGAGAGAGAGAGAGAGAGAGAGAGAGAGGATGTTTAAGTTTGAAGGAGCATTGTGATTATGGAAAATAGGAATCATGCTATTGACACTGATTTTTCCACCAGCACCCTCTGCTTAGTGCTTCTAGCATACTAAATATCCTACACAATTAATTCAATACATTTGTAAGAAATACTGGATGCCACAATCTGCAATACTTTTAATTTATCTTAACCCACATTCTTGCAAAGAAAATTAGCCTAGTTACTCCTCTATTTTGTCTCATCGACTCTCAAATGGGCTTTAAAATATTTAGGTAACTTTTTTTGTGAATATTCTAAAGCGATTCTAGTGGTCATCAGATGGTTTTCCGTGGGGGTCAACAAGCGGTGTGGCAGGGTGTGACCACCCGTTTGCAGCCACACAGTTTCTATTTGTAAACCAAGCGGCCCACGCCCATGGATGTCGCTACTTCTGCACGCAGGCGCAATATCACTCCTTCTGTCAAACATGGCTGTGGTTTTGAAGAAAGAAAAATGCTGATTTGTGTTGGTAGATTTCGGAAAAAGCAGCAAACATGGCGAGATTGGCTGATTATTTGATTGTCGTGGGATTAGATCAGGACAAAACTGGTGAGTTTTTTAACGTAACGCTTGGAACACGAATGTCAAATTGAGCTTCAAATGCTTGGGTTTATCCAGGCCGTCAGTGTTGATAATGCTAGCTGGTTAGCATAAGCTAGCTAGGTAGCTAGCTAGCAATTGATATCTGAGATTTGAAGCAGTCTGCAGCGTTTTCATTGTTGAACTATCCGTAGATTTTGAATGTGTGATGCACGTACGACGGTTTGTAAACATATGCAACAGTTGCATACTGTAATGTCTTGGGGGCGTGTGACTGTGTGTTGTAGATATTTAAACCACAAATTGGAGTTTCAATGAGTCGAACTGTCACATCCTGTCGAGTTGATGTGACAAATCCAGCCGTTTGGAATTGTAGTTAGTGACCTGCGTGGCTTGCACGGGGAGCAGTTTAAGGAGCATGATTTTGGAGAATGCATACTGCTGTAAGGTTTGCATTAGTTGTGAGCTGCTGTAATTGATTTATTCTCATATAATTTGCAACCTGTATGATATCCCCTTTTGTTTGACACTGGCAGAGTGCGAATAGAAGTAATAACTTCCTGTCTTATCCCGACATTGTTTTTATCCACCGTTCCTACAAGATGGGCTGGGCATAGGGGAGGTCAATGACTTGGTATTTCTGCATTGTTTTGTTTTTTTGTGTCTCAAAAGTGGGGCCCAGAACTGATGTTCCCAAACCAGACCCAGGCTGTGGCCTGCTATAATTCCAACCCAAGAGGTTATGTAGTTCTCTTAAATGGCCTAGTTTTAAAATATTAAATTCACTATTACACAGCTATAACCATTTTATACTGTACTTTTTTAATAAAGTTACTTGGCCTACAGTTGTAACATTCATTTTGAATGGGCTTGGTTGAAATAGAGGAACCTGGTTGAAAGCAAAGAACCTACTGAAGAAGAGCAAACAAGAAAGGTGATGTTTATATTGATCCCAAAAAATGGCCTGCAGTCGAAGAATGATGAAGGAACGTAGACTACCCGTAAGGGAGTAAAGACACATCCTAAGTGCAGTGGCATCTTTCCAGGCCCATGTGTGAGAGGGGGACACACCAACTCGTCCAGCTGAATCCACTCACTTACTAGAGGAAGCCACATGAATAGGTAAATAGTGGCCCCAATGTCACTCAACTGACAAACAACTTTTGTGCCGTAGGAACAAAATGTTCCTGGCATCGCCGGAGCCTAGATGGATTCAGACCGCCATCCTCACAAAACTCCCTGTTCTGACTCTGAGATGGATAATGATGAATGGACTGAGAGAATGGTGGATCTCCCTGATAAGAGGATGTTTCTATTACAGGCAGGGGTGATTGAATACGCCTCTAGCAGGGACGGGAA